GATAGTCAGACGACATAAGTAAGTAAAATACTTTCTTTTCGTCATCATCAGTACTATCGAATATCGGTAACTGTGGTCTTAATTTGATTATTAAATCAGTCATTTGTTGATCACTATGTGATGACAGATTGTCTATCGATTCAAGAGCACAATCATCTTTAGTTGATGGCAAAAATGACATTAGTATTTAGGCATTTGAACCACTTGTTTTATAKCCACTAACTGACGAATGTTTTCTTTTAATCATATCTTTTAAGAAATAATATTATTAGTGTACCATATATTTATTATATTTATTTAGTTATTTAATTATAATTAAAATAAAATTTATAAATTAAAAAAACTAAACATAATTACTTACGATCCGGTGAATGACTAATAATTGCCTATAATAATAACTCTTCAGTGATTTTTTTACTAGTGGTAACAGTTTAGTTGTCGTCGATCCCAAACTTTATCGGTTTTCGAGATCTTCAACCCGATTTACAACACGATTTGTCATCCATATTTGAAATGTAATCTCTTCACTTAACCACTGTTAGAAATACAGTAGAAGCACATTAAAACAAAACACAATAAAAAACTAATAAACTTTAGTTTTAAGTTAATGTTTAAAACAAATAATACAAGCAGTAGATATAAACTTTGCGTCAAMACTTATTGATTCTCAACTATTATTGGATAATATTAATGCATARCAAAAAATTACGCACTTTTAGTAAACTTTTAATAGTTGTTGTATAATTTATATAAAATAAATATATTATTATAATTTTTTTATGTTTAAGTATATATATATATATATATTTTGTTTTTATTTTCCATTCAAGTGAACAAATATATCATTATTTATCATTTACTTAGTATTAACTTTATATCACAATATTTATTTGATAATTAATAAAACAATCAATCAATTAATCATAATGTCAASTGATTTYAAGTGTTATCAATGTAATTTAATATGTATTAATTTGAAAWWTTAYCGAAARCATGTTTATATTRAACATTATTCGAAAGGACTTAATAAAGGAAAGTTTGTCTGTTGTTATACTGATTGTCGCAAAGAGATTTCACCAACGATMAATRTTTCAAACACTGAAACACTGGAATCKCTTAAAACTAAAAAGAAATGCTTATCTCGTGAATTTGATAACCGCTGTGGAAASCATTTAAGAGATCATGTTTCAAAAAACAAAAATTCTTTTAGAAAATATAAGAAATATKTTTCTCAAGWCACTGATGTTAGCTCTACGACTAAAGACTAAAGAYTATCAWCAASTATCAAAGAAAAATTATTTMTTTATATTTATATATTATGTTACTATATAATAAAGTAGTTTTATTACTTTCTCAACTTTTCTTAAAAATGTTTTATAGAKTAAMTTATAYTCTTACAGTTCTWCTAAAATAAATAAAACAGAATCATTYAAATAATAATTTTTTGCTTTGTTTATTAAAATTTTATATAATACATTGAATATTGGTGTTAAAATTAAAATTTTGAAATAAAATCATAGAATTAAAATATTTTTGAAAAACATGTAAAATTTATTTTAAATTACTAAACATAAACCCACTTTTTATAATAATTTTCAATAAGCTATCAAAATAAAATATGACTAATAATTTTAAGTAACTATATTACTTTTTCGAACTAATAAATAAAAAAACTCAAGACTCAACTCTAATGTACAATTTTATTACTATTTTTAAGAAATATTTTTACTTTTCAACATTTTTCAAAATTACAAAACATCACATGACATCACATGACTTATAATGTCGAGTAATAATTTTACTTTTTCGAACTAATGAATCAAAAAACATTCGACCCAACATCTGGTGGACAATATTTTCCCAATATCTGAGAAAAATTATTACTTTTCAACGATTTCCATCAACAAAAACATCACATGACTTATAATTTCGAGTAATGATTTTACTTTTTCGATCAAATCAATCAAAAAGCACTCGACCCAACATCTGGTGTACACTTTTATTACTATTTTTGAGAAAATTTTTTACTTTTCAAAGCTATGCACAAACAACTTTATAAGTGAGCGCCTGAAAGCTCGTCTCTCATTGGTCGACTGAATTTTTCACAATTTTACGCCAACATGCTTCAAATTTTGCGCATAAAATCTCGTCTCTCATTGGTCCATTAGCTTTGAAAACTCATTCTACAGTGGCGCTTCCGCTGCACTTTTCTCACTGTGTTATAAAAATGTTTAAATAATAAATTCATAACATTGTTATGTACTGTAGTATTATAAAGTATATAATATATACTACAATTACAACATCCAGGTTTTGTAATTTATTTTGTCGGAGATTACAATTATTACATTATTAAATTTAATTAATATATAATTTACATATTGATACAAATATTATATATTTGTTATATGCCATAAAAACATATGCTTAAATAATCACTAAAAATATATACTGTATGTGAAATAAATGCTTTAATTATTAATAAAAATATATTTTTTATTTACAATATTTGCAATATTTACAATCACAAATATCAGATACTAATTTATAATTAATAGCTTTAAAATTATTTAATAGTTAATAAATATTAAATTAAAAACTGAATATTTTATATAATTAAAATATATTATTTTAATAATTTATTTGAGAGACACTCAATATTTCACTTAAATGATGTCAATAAATCCGGCGCGTTATGTCTAACCTGACAATCCTAACTATGATACAGTATTATGAAAAGTATATGAACAGTATGTCTATTTTAGTTAAAATATAATTTTCTAGATTCAATTAATACACTTATGTAAAATATTTTAATTTCAATATGTCATACAGTATTTACTTATATTAATAAGTAAATACTTAAATGTATGTTAGTTAAAATTTTTAATTGTAAGATACTGTTTTAATCTCATCAAATATATTGGAGAATATTATTTAACAAATTATTAATTAAATAACTTAAGTGTATGCAAAAATAGTTTATGATTTATTCAATGAAATACATTATTTTAATATTAAAATATTAGACAAAACCATCAGTTATTATAAWATTTTGATATTCATTATTGAAAAGTTTGCCAATTATGCGAGTGAAGCATATATTGAATTTTAATAAAAATTTCATCGCATGATAAATGATTGTAAGTAATGTTTAAAACTAAGATTTTTCTTAAAACCTACAAATCTATTGATTTTTTTAAATACAGTATACAATAAAATATACAATTTATTGCTTAGAAATTTTTATTGACTGTTTTAATATTAATGTTAAGAATTTTTTATATCATACTATACTGTAATTTACTTTATTTAATAGAGAGAAAAACAATTATCAGTACATAATTTTCTTGCAAAAAATATATATAATAATAACGCTATAAACAGTTAATATGAAAATTGTAATTTCTTTCACTTCAGGGGTTGCAGTGTATATTAAAAGCATATCTAACATAAAAGACAATTCAATTGACATTCATTACATAAAAATATTATTTTATTATTAAAATATAAGATTTTAAGTGAATATTATTTTTGTTCTTATATTTTATTAAACATCGTGTTTTCAAATTAAAAATTATAGATATAATAATAAAATACTACCACTAATAAAATCAATATCATATTACAGGTTAATTAAAAAATAAAATAAAATTATTTATTCAGAGTCTTAAACAACGGCGACGGCTATGATAGCGGTGATGCTATTAATTACAATTACCAGGTTAATAATACGTTGAATTAAAAAGTGACCAAGGACAATGTTGTAGATAATTTTATAGTTGATAAACTTGTAATTGGTCATTTTTTTAATTAATTGTATGATTTGCCAGATAATTGCAGTCGACTATCATTTATAAATTTTTTAAACAGTTGACTGTAAATTATCTGGCATATAATGCAATTAATTAAAAAATGACCAATTACAATTTTATCCAGTATAAAATTATCTACAGCATTGCACTTGGTCACTTTTTAATTCAATTACCCAGATAATAAAAGTTAACCAGATAATTGTAATTAATAGCATCGCCGTTGTTTAAGATTCTCTCTTGTTTATTAGATTACATAAAATTATATATAAAATATTATTTAGTATCTTTAGTTATAGGTTAATGAATAAACATTTTTTATAGTATACCAAAATTAATTGCAAATCTTAATAAAAACGTCTAAGAAGTTAATTGAGTATTAATTATATAATATAAGTATTTATGTATAAAAATACTGTATATGATTACTATTAAATTTAATTAACATAAGATAAACTTAAGGTTATAAAATTCCCATACTTTACATTGTTAATTTTTAAAATTTAGAAATCTAGATTATTCATAATATAATCATTTTGTTTATTTAATATGATATATAAAACAAAATAGAAAGACTTTATTTACTAATATATATATAATTTTTAAAGAGAATTACTGTAAATTTAATGCTAATAATGAACATTGTAGTACAAACACCGGTAGTAACAAATTTATAATGTATAAATTAATAATTAATAATTATTTAAATAAAAATTAAAGTTTTAAATGATATTTTTTTGAAAAATATATTTAATAAAACAATAATTCATTCTTATTACAAAATATGTATTACTTTTATTATGTAAAATACAAATAATATATACTGTACTACCATTAATATTCACATTTATTATCGTTAACCTGATTTCATACCAATATTGTATAAAATATAAAAGTATTGTTATAATAACGTATAATATGAATCATATAAATTCAATCTCTTTAAACTACTATAATATTATACTTGCCTTTAAAAAAATTAATTGTGTTTATAATATGTATAAAATCGGAATACCGGTAATTTACAAATAAAACATAAATGAATTAAATTATTACATACAGTAAATGTATTTTTATTTGTGTGAAAATAAACATTTCATTACATTTAGTGTAAAAATACGACAGAATAAAATCAAATCTAATGGAAAAATAACAAAAATAATTTATTATATTATTTGAATTATAAAATATTTGAAAACTTTGAAAACTGAATAGTGTTAGAAAAGGCACATTTTGACAAATAACACGTGAATTACAACCAAATATACAATAATCGCTATTCGCTTATATTTAGCACTTGTCGGACCTTTCATCAAATAGTGTCTCTGTTTGCTTATAAAACGTTTTGCAGAACTCAATCCACTCTTATCTGCCATTCCCTCATCAATAAGCAATGAAAATGACGATTGAGTGTCAGAATTGATGGTAATTGAATCACTATTTCTGTTGGCCAGTGATGGTGTCTGTCCCCAGAATTGACTCTTTTCTGACTCCAATTCTCTTCGTTTCTGGCGTTCAGTTTGAAGAGCGGAGTCGAGATTGGATGCCGTGAACTGCAACTCATCCACTCTTTTGACTAATTCTTCAATACGTTTATCACTATCAATGAGTTGCTCTTCGTTGACATTTTTCGATGCATTTTCTTTAGCGATTCTCAACTTCTCTTCCAATGAGTTTACTTCCCTTTCTTTGACTTTGAATTTTGCGGCAAATTTCTTACATCTTAACTCTAATTCTTGCTTTTGAGCTATTGATATACAAACAAAAAATCTTATAAATTAATAAAAAAAATTACCTCAAATAAGACAAACCTAAATGTAATTGTTTTTCAGACTCTAATTGAGCCAATAATTGATTCACTTGATCAGCACTATGTCCATCATCTGTATGATTGGCCACTGATTGATATAAATCCTGAAACTGTATTTTCTGGCTGCGCTCAGCCTCTAATTGATTGATAAGTGAATCAATTTGTTTTCGACAGTTATTTATTTCTATTTCAAAATTATTTGAATTAAATTTCATTTCCAACTCAGCGTTTCTTTGTCTGAGTTCATCCTCTAAAGCAATTAGTTTAGTATTTTGTGTCTTAAGTTTTAATAACTCAGTTTCAAACAAATTTTCTTTTTCTTGTAGTTGTTTTTGGAGATCAAATATTCGGGAATCAGTTTCGTTTTGACTCTTCATTTGCTCGTATTTGATAAGACCTTCGCATTCGTCGATTTTTGATTTAAAACTTTCCTCTTTTTCTGTCAATTCTTTAGCCAATTCTTCAGATTTGGTTAGTTTTTGTTTAATCTTTTGATTTCTAGTCTGTAATCTTTCAATCAATGTCTCCCTTTCCTGGACCTGAGCCCCGAAACACTCCATTTCGATGGTATAGTTCCTCTTCATGATATCCAATTCATATTCAGATTCAGATAATTTCATTTCACTTTCTGAGTGAACTCTTTTTAATTCTTGTAATTCATTTTCTAATTCATCTATTTTTGTGGTTAACTCTGTTTCCTTCTCACTAGTCATCACTTGTTCAACATTTATAACATTTTCAATCACTTTATTATCTTTTTGCTTGAGATTGAAAATTTCAGTTTCTTTTTCTTCGAGTTGTTTCTTGAGTTCAATTATTTGGGAATCAATTTCGTTTTGCTTCTTTAAGTGGTCGTCATTGAAGTGGTTTTCATTGTCATTGATTTTCATTTGACAATTGCCTTCCTTTTGTGTCAACTCTTTGACCAATTGTTCCGATTTGTTTAATTTATATTTCAGTTTTTGAATAACAGTCTTCAGTTTGATTTCTAGCGCTTCCTTTTGCTTGACCTGAGCGCCCAAAGACTCCGTTTCAATCATATAATTCTTGTTCAAGACTTCTGCTTCCTTGTCAACAGTCAYCACATTTTCATCCACTTTATTGTCATTTTGTTTGACCAGAAAATCRCACAACTCTTGTAGTTTGTGTCGTTCATTGCGTTCGTTCTCTAATTGTTTAATAAGTGAATCAATTTGTTGTTGATTATCAACAATCACTTCTTGTTGTGAATTATTTAATCCAATGGTCAGACATCCCGACTGATTGTCTTCATTAGAGTCCATATTAGTCTCACTTTTAATCATTTATATTATTATTATTATTGTTATTATTATACCGTATGAGACAACTCACACAACTTTATTATAATACTAAACACACAAATCATTACAATTATTATTACATAATACTAGAAACAAACTTACATTTTGAACACCAGGAGGAACCCGAACCCAAACCCGAACCCGAAAACAAACCCAAACCCGAACCTCAAACCAGACCCACACCAACAAACTATTGATTAATTAAAACATATTGATTAATTCAACATGATCAATTTACCATGATCTATTGACCATGATCTATTGACCATGATCAATTTCAATTTAAAAAATATAGTTTTTATCAAATCAATTATATTTTTCTCACAATTTAATAAATCTTTGTTTTTGTTATCCAATTAATTATACTAAACTATAGTTGAATTTATTAATTATATCATAAGAACTGAATATGAAATTTAGTATTTCAGTAATATTAAAGTTATTTAATATTTTTTAAGTATACGTGATATTAAAATTATTTGTGTAAAAATATATTTTATAAATAGTAAAATAGATTATAATAAATATTAAAATATTAATATTACACTATTATATTACAATTTATACATTGATTGAAAAATTGTATAATAAAATTAACTTTTCAAATATTAATAGTACAAACAAAAGTTTATATGATGTCTATAACATTAGGAAAAATTATTATTAACGTAACATAAAAATATCAATAATTTTAAAATTATTTATATTATTATTATGAGTGAATAATAAGCTAATAATATTTAATTTTAGAGGACGTGTCCGATAACTATATTAATTTTTTATGAATTATTTCGTGCTATAATAATAATAATAATGATATTTTGCATACAATACTGTAGATTATATTGCGTGCATATTTGYCGCACAACCGCACAATAATTGTGTTAATTCTAAGGACTTGTATTAGCTTTTGGATAGTAAGGTTGTGCTCAAGAAATTGATCGCAAACTTATGATAGCATCAAATATAGGTGATGTTATGTTTTGTTGTCAGCAATTATAATGCTTACATAACAACCAAAAATATAAAATATGAGACAATAATAATCAAAAATATACCGGTAGTTATAATTTATATATCTATGACAAAAGTGTAATGAATATATAATAAGTGACAAATTTTACTAAATTTTATTTTATTGAATTTAATAATTGAAATATGAAACACATATAAATAAAATTATCACAATTGAAACAAAATGTGACCATTTATTTAAATTGTTAAAATTATTAGACAAATCTTTTATTAAATTAAAATATTTTAGGTTTCGTTAGAATTTCTTAGAATTTCAAGTAAACAGAAATGGACTATAAGTTGATGACTAAAACTTTTGAAAGTCATGTCCGCTAAACATAATCATAATTATACACAAAATACTATAAATATATTCTTTAATAATACAATTATTGTATACAAGTCTAGAATCATTTAATATTAACATTTAACTATAATTAGAAAATTGTTTTTAATTGATATTTTGTTCTAGATAAAATATGACAATAATTAACATAGACACTTTTGTAATTCAATAATTATATTTAATATTAATATTTGTAAAAAGTTTAKTAAAAGTTTTTTATATTAATAGTTAAATAATATAATTTATTATGCAATATTCAATGTATTTGAATTAACTATTAAATTAATACTAAGCGTTAGTAATACTATATTTGTTATAAGTCGATAATGATGAATATTAGAAATAATTGGTCATTTAAGTWAAGTTAAGTTAAGTTTAATTTAATAATTATGTAAACAAATAATTGTACAATAATTGTAGTGATGCTATAGAGTATACCTAATTGTTTTAATTGTATTATTGCTGTCATAAAAGTAACTAAACTTAACTTAAATAACCAATTATTGTTAGTCTAGTGTATAGAACACACAATTATTAATATATTYAATACAGTATTCAAACTAATACTATACTGTATTATAAATTTAATATACATTATAGAGTATAGAGAGGTCTCACATAAAGTTCGTTATAATAAACAGCTGTTATTATGAATGGGTAGTCAAACACAACACACTATACGTTAAGTGTCGACAAATGTGGCGATCATTGAGTGCTTTGACACAAACACTGCAAACATTGCCGTCAAATGTGATCTAATGATACAATTGTTTGAAATGATTATCATTTGATAACTAATTATTGTATTAATTTCATCAATCATGTTGTAAATGATTCATTTGTTATCATTGATAATGCTTTTAACCAAATATATGATATGATATATGCCATTGAAATATGCAATGATTCATATGATTTAACAATTAGCTAATTGTGGTCTTCATTACAAATACATGACATTTGTTTGTATTATATGTTTAACTGTTATCTCATTAGTTGTGAAAAACGAGTTGTGATTAGCTATTGCTAACCATCAGGTGATACCATGAATCGGGTTGAGAACCGCAAAGGTATGTATCATCTAATGACAAATCCAAGACAATTGTTAATTGATTTATCATTTGATTCAACTCATGTCTACTTTTGTTTTATTTGGACAGTGTTTGCCATTCAGGCGAAGAAAAAGCGATCGAAAGCACCGAAAGGCAAACACAAGAAGACAAATGTGACGACCAATAGTCATACCAATAATAATAGCCATAATACTAGTGATGATATCAAGAATACTACCGCCGATGACAGGAGAAGGTTTGAATACTATCATTGATTGCTATTTTATTGTCATTTATATGACTATATGATACGATAATATCTCATATAAAAATAAATTTTGGTCACATTTTTGGCATTTCATTTGTTTTTTTACTCTAAACTTATTTTACAATAAATTATTTGTGAAATACTTTATAAAAATAGGTTTCACTTTTTGTCTTTATTTTTGGTGCCAAATATTTATATCTTAAAGTCGTAGTCTTGTAAAAGATATTACATTACATTATGTTAGGCTGTGTTTGCGTTTTGAATAATGAGTTTTTTGAAAAATTTAAACAATATTTGTATTAAATATGTATATATACTGTATTACCGGTAAATAAAAACTATTGTATAAAACTAGTTTGAAACTTGAAAACTAATTTCATGACTCAATGTGTTTATAGTTTTTATTTGTTTTTAAGCGCTTACTTAAGTCAATAGCATACATATGCACACAATCTAAATTTATTTCAATTGGTATACAATTTTGGTTAACAATAGTTTGTAAATATCCTAATTTTTATAGACATATTTAGTGATAATTGTTTATGTGGGGCACCCCTTCCCCTTAAAATATATCACTTGTCATATACAATACTGTGTAAATAAACTAAATCATATTTATATATAAATATAGTGATTTGTTATGTTTCAAATATTAATTAAATAATTTTTTATTTGCTATAGCAAACAAAAAGATTGTTTTGAATTTGCTGTTAATTTATTTACCTCTAAAACATTAAATTATAGAATAATTTAAAAATCATCCAGTAAAAAAATTACATTATTGATTGATTAAATTGTTGAGTATCTACTGTATTATACAATATACAGTTTATATGTTATTATACTATGTTTTAGTACTAATGGAAAGAAATGAGTTTAATTTTTTTAATTTAAATGTTTTTATAAATAAATGTATGAATGAGTGCTAATTGATATTTTAAAATAGCATAATTGGTTTTAATTTTAAATAGTTTGCTTTGTAATGAAAATTTCTAATGTTATGTAAGCATTATAATTGCTGACAACACAACACTACATATATTTGAAGCTATCATAAGCTTGCGATCAATTTCTTGAGCACAACCGTACAATCCAAGAGGCACTGTTAGCTCATACAAGTGCATAGAGGACACAACAATTGTGCGGTTGTGCGGCAAATAGGCTTTCAATATATAGTATCAGTGCCTATCGTATGTTGACTTTACATTGTATTGTAGATCAACATAGACTTTATTATCCCATTTCGTCATTCAGAGTCTGAAAAATATCAATAATTATGAGTTGAAAACCAAATAGTAAATCCATTTCCTATTTGATAGAAACACTATTATTGTTATTATTGCACGAAATAATTTATAAAAATTTTAATATAATTATCGGACACGTTCACTAAAATTGAATATTTGCTTATTATTTACTAATAATAATAATATAAATAATTTTWAAATTATTTGCATTATTATGTTAATTATGAGCTTTGCAATTGTACTAAACCTATGTTTTTGTCAGTACAATTAATATATAGAAAATTAATATACAGTGTATCAATTAATGTATAAAATAGTGTGTTATTTTAGTATTTGTTATGCTTTATTATAAAATATTTTTTTATGCAAAATATTAATAATTAGTGATATACTAATAATATAAAACATACAAAAAAACTAATATTAATGATATAAAATTCAACTATAATTTACTATTTAATTTATTTAATAAAAAATATTTATTGTGATAAATATAATTAGCAAATGTTGTTATAAAATGAATATAATTTTGAATTGATTGAAATGGATGGCATTCATGACCGAGCCTCAAGATATTTGAGAAGTGCGGCCAAATGGACGGCATCGTACATGGCTTCGGTCGGATCAATGACTCGACCATATATTAAGAGAGCTAATACCGAACCGGTTGATAACAGTGTCTATCATTACGATGAGCCCCGTATCCATCAATTGCCTCTATCTCCTCCCACTTCATATTATCATTCAAATTATGATTTATTTGAGAGTCCACAACAATCACTAATAAATAATAATTATTTTCATTGCGACCAATCATTTATTGGTCACAACTCTGCCGCTACTAATGAGACCAATGTTGTTGATAGCAATGTTCATAATACATATTATGCCATCTCTACTAATGGTATATTAAATTTATGATATTTGTTATAATTTTTATTTGTGTTTCATTACTATAACATTTTGATGATCACTCATTTTGATTACTTGTGTGTATTATTTTTAAGTCAATTGACTTTTATTAGTATTGTTAGCACTTCTCGTTAATGCCTGACAAGAAGTGTCCTTCACTTATATTAAATTTATTAAAAAAACATGTTTAGAGATTATACTAAATAGTTAATGTGATATCTTTCATAACTTAATTGCAAATAAAACATATTAATATAGTTTTAGCGCAATACCTATTTTTATAAATAATACAATACATACTTTATATATAAATAATGCAAACATTCCTTTATATTTAGAAACATTTTTATTAGAATTTTGTTTTAGTTTATGCATTAATATATATATATTACTTATTCAATGATAATAATAATACAAAATATGCTTTTCAAAAATTATATAATTAATGACTTATGCGAGTAAATAATTATTATCAACACATACGTAGATGTTTACGAGTTATAAACCCTAGTAAATGTCAAATTGTTATATTAAATCAATAATTTATACATTTTAGACAACATATTAAAAACAATTTCATATAATTTCTTGAACACAGTTAGCTATGCAGTGAAGAGTCTTTATAGAGTTGGTCTCTATTAGTGTCATACCTCCACATCTCTATTGATTTATCTAAAGACTAACATCTTTTGTACTTAAATTCACTCATAATTCATGTGTTTATTGTATTGAATTCTTATATACACTTAGTTTACTTTTTTGGTAATCATTTATCTTATGGCAAACTTGTAAACTCAATATATCATATACAGTATAAATACAATTATATATAACAGTATACTATATATATATATATATAGTTAGTTTGATCCAATTAAATCAATTTCTTAATGATGAGTTATTTTTGTTYTGAGTATCTTTTAGTTATAAAATGATTACGAAAGAATAAGTTTTTTTAAACTATAATCCAGTAATTTAAATGCAATTTTTCTCATTATAAAAAATGATGCAATTTAATTATTGCATTAATTAATCATTATAGACATTTAATTATTTATATTTTGCAAATTAATGTTTTTAAAAATGAAAAAACTTATAAAATAAATGTTTAAGAATTTAGCAGATTTTGAATATAATTATAATTTATGACATTCTGTTTCATAGCATAGCTGTTATGTTTCAAATTTGTTTATTTAAGTAATCCATGACATTATAGATTGATTTTAATATTAACTTATAACTAAAAAACCTCTGAAAATGCATTTTTATAACAATTTATGTATTTTGTACGACAAGTAATTAATTTGATGAGTGACCACAATATTGTGTAAAATATACAGTATATTATATAAAAACTCATTTTAATTGAAAGATACCATTGAAATGCCTGAGCCCTCACTATCGGAGCAATTGCTTCAATTGGACTCATCGCCAATCAAAAGACCCTCTCCTTCACCCAGCGATCAAAGGCGCCGTAATCCCCGTCCTATAAAACGGCAATTACCAGTAATTAACAGTAATATGTCCGCTAAACACGATACTCCTATGGCAATGAATAGTAATTATATAAATATAAATAATAACAATATTAGTGCACGTGATATGAATCCGCGCGAACGGGCTCTACAACAAATGCACGATAAATATAGTGGAACTCATGTCCACACAATAAGTACTACTCTATTGGCGCCCACAGAAACATCCAGTAGTACTTCACTACTATTTCGTGATAATATAGATTTAAATGATTGTGATGTCAATAATATAATGTGTGATATTGACAGTAGAGATATATTACCGTCAATGCCTCCAAAAGCTCCACAAATCGGCCGATTATTACCACAATTGTGGCCGTAAGTATTGGAGCCTATATATCATATCATGATTTAGTTGTTTATATTTAATGAAAACACACATTTGGCACTTAAATAATGATCTTAAGTTTTTATATATTATGCTTTTTGTATCGTATCATTTATAGTTGGCTAATGTTAGCAAAAGTGACCAAAAAACAACAATTTTATTTTATAAGATTTAAGTTATTGTTTGTGTTTAATGTATCGAAATAACAGAAAAGATAACAAAAGTCCTCCTTTGGCGACATATGACGATGAAGATGATGAAGAAGCTATTGCTTCAGATGATGAGGAYGAACAGGAAGATCCAAATGATTACGTGAAGGGTGGTTACCATCCGGTGAAAATCAGTGATGTCTTCAACAATCGATATTGTGTCGTACGTAAGCTCGGATGGGGACACTTCTCCACTGTTTGGCTCTGTTGGGACCTCACGTATGCTATTTATATTCATTTATATTATAATATATGACTATTTTGTTTTCACTTCCCCTCACTCTCTCTCTCTCATTACATTTCTCTGAAAAAATATTTGAATATATATATATATATATATATTAGCTATAAATTATCCATTTAAAACATACAATATTTACTCTCAAAATGTATTTTAATGTATTAAATAATTTTTTTTGTTGAGTCCTTTTAAATCTAAAAAATCATTATTCACTTGACATATGTTTTTAAATAAAGAGTGACGAGTCTTTTGTTGTTATCTAATGTTTTGTAATTATTTTTTTTATTATCATTGAATTGCTTTTAGTGACAAACGTTTTGTTGCTTTAAAAGTTGTCAAAAGCGCATCACATTATACTGAGACAGCCATTGATGAGATAAAACTACTGAAAAGTGTAAGTTTATTTAACACATTTTATAAATAACAAAAATTAGATAATCCTTATTATTGATTGTATTAATTATAGGTTCGAGAGAGTGATCCCGACGACCCATTTGGTGAACGAGTGGTTAAACTTTTAGATGACTTTAAGATAAATGGTGTTAACGGGACACGTATGTCATACACAGATATTTTTGTTATGTAATTAATTATATTTTAAATTACTAGATGTTTGTATGGTGTTTGAAGTTTTGGGTTATAATTTATTGAAACTCATTATCCGATCTAATTATGAAGGAATCCCTATTTCTAATGTCAAGAAAATTATTAGACAAGTAATGTTATACTAATTTTTATGTAATTTTGAATTTATTATTAATAATATCACATAAATACTTAAATTAATTTAGGTTTTAGAGGGATTGGATTATTTGCATACAAAATGTAAAATAATTCACACCGACATTAAACCAGAGAATATTCTGTTGACTGTCGATGAAAGTTATGTGAGACGACTGGCTAACGAAGCGTATCAATGGCAGCAAATGGGTGTTAGACTCCCGGGATCTCTCATATCTACGGCACCTAAAGAACTATTAGGTTTGTTATATCATTATTATTATTTGCATTTGTAGACGAAGTATTAATTTTTTGAGGATTAGGTCCTTCAGTATCTTCTAAAATGTCCAAAAACAAGAAGAAGAAGCTTAAGAAGAAAGCCAAAAAAGTGGCCGAAATTCGAGAGATTCAAATGCAGCAATTGGCTGAAGTAGAACTCAGGGAACAATTGAATGCTGGTAATGACTGTTCACATTTAGGCGACGAATGTGATGGTAATTGTGGACATAGAAATGGTTGCGAAAGACTTGCTGCTTTGGATGAAGAGGTTTCACAATATGAACCATCCCATCATCGAAATCACATCTCATCATTGACTGAGTCTTCCGGTCACGATATGCGTAACGGACATCCTTTGGATTCGCACATAAGAGTTAATGTTACCGACGGTCAAAATATTTGTCCACCTAATGAAATGCGGAATCGATTAGAGCGTTCGGAAAGTACATTGGCTCCTAATTATCAAAAATGCAAAGAAACTGGAATTAGACGTGTGTCCAGTTGCCCAGGTAGTTATGGGAGTTATGGTAGTTAGTGTATCACAATTTTGTTTTAATAAATTGATTGTTTATCAATTAATTCAGATCARCAACAAATGAGGGATCGCTCACCCGATCCTTCACATGAAAATTGTGATATTAATGTTAAGATAGCAGATCTTGGAAACGCCTGTTGGGAGGTATTGCTTGAATTAATCGATTAATGAATGAGTGATATATTAATTAAAATGAAATGAAATATTTACTTAAAAAGGATCACCACTTCACAGAAGACATTCAGACTCGTCAATATAGATGTCTTGAAGTAATACTCGGCGCCGGTTATGGTTCTCCAGCAGATATTTGGTCCACTGCTTGTATGGCTTTTGAATTAGCCACAGGAGACTACCTTTTTGAGCCACACTCGGCGGAAGAGTATTCCCGAGATGACGACCATTTAGCGCATATTATTGAACTGTTAGGTCCCATCTCAAAGAATATTGCGTTTGCCGGTCGATACTCACGTGAATTCTTTAATAAAAGAGGTTTGTTTTAACTTAATTTACAAAAATATTATTTTATTAATTAAAACATCAAATATTAGGAGAACTGCGGAATATTCATTCATTAAAACCATGGGCTCTCTATGATGTGTTACTTGAGAAATATGATTGGGAACCGTCTAAAGCGGAACAGTTCACTGATTTCCTTTTACCAATGCTAGAGTACGATCCATTGAAAAGAGCAAAGGCTCGCGACTGCATCTCCCATCCCTGGCTGGCAGACACTGACACCGAAGATTCGTTAAAATTTATTTGAGATCCACACTAATTGATAACACATTTATAAAGACTAACGTTAAAACATTGTTAACAAAAAAAGTTGTTTTTAGAACATGAAAAATGATATTTTATTTCAAAATGCATTTTATTTAATTAATACACAAATGATATAAATTTTTTGTTTATAAGTAGTTTATTAAGCTATTGAWGCCATAAGCGATATTAAGCATTAATATTGTATAATCTATGATCAAATCAATGCCGATTATGACAACTTATTTAATTAAAAACATAATTTTATATAAGGGTCTCTCATATTTTTCTCAACTGATGTTATATTTATTATATTAATTTTAGTTATTATTTTTTATTGATAAATATTAAAAAGTTTTTATTATTATCGATGTGTCGATCGATATTAAGCTTTACTTTTACTTATCGCTCAAATAATAAAATTGTTTAATTATTTATAGCACATGATTTGTWTATATATATACAGTACAATATATACGGTATATTGTATACATAATCTAGAGTTTTATTTTTATATCTGGAGTTAAATTTAATAATATATTACTTTAGCTTAACTTCATTTAATACTTGATGTCATTCAATGTCCAACATTTGTGAAGATGGTATCCATTTGTTAATATTTCAAATATTATATTTTGAATGATTTGTAATCACATGAATAAATATCATTGTCTTCAATGGCATTGAAAGGCTCTGAATAGACGTTTTCAGTAATAGATTGGTCCATAAAATATTGTCCATTAATGTTGAAATCAATTGGTTCACTATATGTGTGTATTATTGATGCTTTTCTTCCGGAGTCCAATACAACACTCGATGAAAACCGAGTCTCCATTTGAGTGTCTGAACCATAAAATGTTTGACCACTTAATGTATTATTTGGTCCATTAATTGTTTGACTATTTGCCACATTATGTTTGATATGAATTATTGAGAACTCATTGGTCGGTTGTGACGATTGCCGATAATCATTATGACAGCTATTATTTGATTTTTTCTTTAAATAAATTATTAAAACAAATAATATGAATAAAAACAGAGTCGTTGTAATTGCGGTCAATGTCGACACTATTAACAACATTTTAATTGACATTTTCTCTGCTTTCATATGATTATAGCTTTTATTTTTTGATAAATTTTTATAAAATAATGAAATATTTTCAGTAGTTTGACATAATTTATTAAAATCGCTAATTGTTTGATAATTATCCATATCATCGGGTTTTACCCAAAAACCATTTACTCCACAAACTATTTGATGTTTTATATCATTATTATTGCAATAAATAGTAATTTGTGTCAAATATTTAGCATTTTTTGATGATTTTTGAAATGATATGTTTTGAATTTCATACAAATCATTATAAGTGCACTCAATTTGTATACAATTTTGACTATAATTATGAAAATGACTCCAAACGCCGTTTGAAAGACACTGAAAGACATTAGTCTTCATTGAAATATTATATCCTTTATTACACTGAAGAATGGCTTGACTTCCAATATTAAGGCCATCAGTGAAACTGAATCTCCCGTTACTCTCCACTAATGGCAAACATGTATTCATTTTATTGTCATTTTTGTCGACATTTGAATTATGTTTAAGAGTTATATTTCTTGAATTCATATTTAGTTTTTGCTTTTTTTGACAGATAGGAGACACAGCTGACCACAGACCAGATGACTCACATCTAATCGTTTGTTTGCCAATTAATTCATGGTTTAAGTTACACATGAACTCTGCTATTAAACTGTTATTTATAAACTTAGTCCTAACGTATCCATTGAATGGTACGTCAGGTGATCCACATCTCAGTCCKTTATTATAGTCGACGGCAAAGATTTGAATTTCGCAAATAATTAAATCAAAATCTTTGGCAAAATTAAATCTTAGATAATCAGCACCAATAAGACCGATGCACTTATGAAGATATACTTTAATATATGAAGTATTACTTATTGTCAACGATTTTTGTATTTCAAACAATTTTTGTTCACTTTTATCACCAATTTTTAGACTATAATCTGAAATATTTGATATTTGACCGCTATTTTGAAGAAATGACATCCGAATGCCTTTGATTTGAATTTTGTTATTTAAATAAACTTCTAATAAATGATCGTTTGATTTAAATGGGTTTAGTTTGAAACAAGTATTGATTTGGTCATCAAATACGCTCATCAAGTCTTTGTTGCGGTTAATCTTCATATCAAATATCGTCATATTTATTAATTGACTAATTTTGATGGTTTGAGTACATTGTGGTACTTTACTGTCCCAATAACCCCTATGATAACACTGTCGCCTCTCATTACCCAACAATATTGAGTCTGAATTACAGAAATATTGGACAACTGTTCCCGGATTTGATTGTCCAGTAATTGTTTGATTAGACAAATATCTGAGATAACCATTGTTGGGAATTCCTGGTTCACCACATGGTGTCTCAAAACTTAGATAATTAAGTAAATTTAAATAAAACATTACAAAACAAACAATAATTTTAGTCATTATTTACAATTAAGTTTGAATATTTTTTTGCTATTTTATTTGTATATTTATAAATTTGCTAAATATTTATTGAAAATTTACTAAATAAGTCTACTGTTAATGTTATTATATATATATTTTTAGTCAATCAAAATAATGTTTATTTGAGGAAACTTATGGATAAGATCTATATTTTGATTAATATTATATTTAATACTAATTTTGTAGTTTTTTCAATATAAAAATGAGGAGGAAATGAATAATAAGTCCATGTATTTCTTATCGACGAAAATAATTTATACAAATAAACCAATAAATTAACTATTTATTGAACATAATTATATAAAATATATTTGTCAAGTGATTGTGGGATGTGATCGTTCAAAATCCTAGACATTTGTTAATATTGAATAAAATACTAATAATTATTTAAATAACTTCTGTTTAGATCATTTTAACTAAAAAATTGTTAGCTATTTAAGTATGCTTTACTTATTAATTAATTTAAGCCTATTTTTTATAGTAAAAAATTAATTTAAAACTGATTTAGCACATATTTTGCATAAATACATACAATAGATAGTATAATACATAACAATTATGTATATTTTTCAAAAAAATATGGCACATTATATACTAATTAGTAATAAAAATTGTTAAAGTTATAATAAGTTATATATTGTATTTTTATAATAACTTAACAAACAGCTGTAAGATCAAATAGATTTTAAATGTAAAAACTAAGTGATATTTAGTAATAGTTAATTTATACAAATATTAAATAAAATATACTCAATATATATTTATTGTATTATAACATTATTTTATAAAAATCAATACATATTTTTTGTGGTCATAAATAAGACAAAATTCTTGCAAATTATAAATTATAAATAAATGCTTTAATTGTCATAAGTTATGTTTTAAGTCAATTTTTTATGAGATTTTACTAAATACAGTTCAATATTATTATCATTTTGGTAGCTTTATTTATTTATTATATACAATAAATATACAGTATTTTAACTAAAATACTTTTTATATCAGTAGTCAATTTATAGTTTTATTAAACTTTTAATATTGATTTAATGTCATTAAATATAAACTAAATTTTTGATAATTTAATTTATTATAAACAAATTGATAATATTTATTAGTCATCAAAAGAAATTAAAGTTTTAAAAATAATATTTATTAACAGAAAATCTTATATTTATTAACTTTAACTATTTATACTGTATATCATTTATTAATATTAAAAGTAGATATTGTTTTTTAAAGACATTGAATTTAAAAAACACAATTATTAAAATTTAATAATAGATTATTTTTTAATAAATTCAATAAAGCATATTAATATAAAACCAATTGTTTATCCATTAATTTCTGATTAATAATTAATAATAATTAGTTAATTAATCCAATATATGTGTTGATGTAATCATAAATAATATATTTTTTGTTATTTAGTTTTTGAATAAATTATCAATTATTTTTAAATAATCAACTAATTTTATAAAATTAATTTATAAATTTCCAGTTTATAAATAAATAAAACATTAATTTCTATGATATAAAAATTATTTAATTATTAAAAATTGAAAAATAATAAACATATAATTAAATTTTTTATTATTATAAAATTAAATATATTATTAAATTCGTAATAATTACAGTTTTAAATTTAATACATTTTATTAGTTTGAATAACAGTTATATTTAATTATTTTTATAATATCCAGCTTCTGGTTGTTTACCTCTTATTAGAGATCAAATTAAATCAAACAAAATCCAAACCATAACCGAAAATATACAAAAAGTAAAATATGATTTAAGCAAATATAGAAAACTTTAATAATATTTGCAAAAAAACTATAAATTTATATAATCATTTATTTTACAAGTGATCTTAATATAATTTTTTATTCAATTTAATTTTTGATATACTTATAGATAAATAATATTTATAATTATTATTAAGCGGTAATAACTGTAGACTAATAATGAAAATCGAAATCCGTTTGGATTTCGCTATTAACTGCTATACAGTATAAGGAAAGAACTATTAATAGTTTTACTAATTATTATTTTTTTTAATTATTTTAATTTATATATAATATATATAAAAATCATTTGCAAAACAGTTGAGACTCGCTTTTACTTAATATCTATTTCAATATATTGAGCTCAACAACAAAATTTTATGCAAATATGGAATTTCTGGCAAATTATAAATGGTATTAATATAAATTTTAATATACAAATTTTCATAAATTCATAAATTATTCTTAAATATGAAAAATTGGATTTTAAAATGATTAATACCTAATTAATACATACATAGAATTTGATAAAATAAATTGATAATTATCAATTATTTTGAATAAAACATATTTTATATTGAATACAATAATACAATTAGCTATCACAACAACTTTTTGAGATACCGTTATAACTAATAAATTCTATTATAACATAAAGAAATTATTTTATAAATTAAATACAAAATACTATTAGTTTATAATTGGAAACTTCATTTAAATTAATATTTCAAAAAGTACTTTTGCCAGTTGATTGTATTCAATATAAAATATGTTTTATTCAAAATGATTGATAATTTAAAATAATTTTCAATCAATTGTATTTTTTATGTATTAATGATTTAAAAATCTAAATTTTTATATTCAAATGTAATTTATGAATAAACTAAATAATTTCAAGAAATTTCTTGAAACACGTATTAAATGAATCTAAATTATGTACAAAATGGTTTAGTCACAAATGATCTAGGTTCTATAGTTTTCCAAATATAATACACCCCTGTCCTTACATACCTGTACTGAATTACATGAAAACTTCTATATTATTATAATTTGCCAGAAATTCCAAAGTTGAAAAAAATTTGGTTGGACTCCAATATCTTAATAGAGTTATTAAGTAAAAACCAGTCTCAGCTATTTTACAAACGATATTATATATTATACTTTATTAATAATGTTTAAATATTTCAATAATAATTTTAAATATAATTTTATAATAAATATTTAATTAAATATAACAAACTATTATAACACTGTATTAATAACATAATTTTAATAAGTATTATATTATAGGAATTCAAAGCAAAAACAGATGTCTCTCTCGTTTCTATTAAACCTATTATTTCTTACAATACTGTTGTCTGGCMTTCAATTCAATTGAATAGTTATTGTGTAATGAAATACAGGTTATGTGTGACGACAGGACAGGTATTATTGTTGGCAGCCTTTCCTTTGAATTTCTCCTTCAAAATGCAATCCAATAAAACTTAGCGCATAGTATCTCTAAAAATAAAATTAAAAGTAATTAACATTTCCTATAACTTTGTTTTAACTATTATTTATTGGGAATGGGATTAGAAATTGCAAATATCAATGGCTCGTGATTTTGATCAAATAATATTTGATTTAATCATCTGTTTTTACTTTTACTATTTTTACCAGATATTTTATATTATTACTACTTTTTTTTATCAGATTTACTATTGTTAGTAGAGTTGACACATCACTACACTAGCATAGTATAGGAGAAGGAATAGTAGTCTAAGAATTGATTAGAAACTTCAATATTTCGAAGTTTGCGCACAGAGTTCATGAAGAGAGAGAGAGAGAGAGAGAGAGAGAGAGAGAGAGAGAGAGAGAGAGCACAGGCATGTGGGGCACGGGTAGGTAGGGCTGGTGTATCACTTTTAGTTTATAAACAAAATATTTTAGACCATTATATGCATTAGCATAACATATTATAGTCAAGTCTGAGGGCTGACTGGTTTCGAGGTTTAAATGTTTCAAAAAGTTTACTCTCTCTCTCTCCCTCTGTGTATATGAATGTATGGATTGGCTGCCAATTGCCTGTATGTGTCGTAACAGCAAACATGAAGCACAAGAGTGAAAAAACTTGTGTATTAATAATATTTATATCATAATAAAGTATTTAAATGTTTATTGAAGTTATCGATATGGTTGCTAACTAATGGATTTACAATTATCACATTACATATACTCGTTATTATATGATAAGCCAATTAGCAGTTTGTCAGTCACTAACTTTGTCACAACAGAGTCTTAAATACAATACCAAAAGGTTTGTCATGTTTTAATGTTTATTATATATTTAATGTGTATATGTTTACAAATTTTAAATATCTATTAATTTAGTCATTAATTATTTTAATTTAATGTTTATATCTAAAAGTTTTAAATGATATATAATTTATATACAGTATATTTATGATAGACATTAGTTAAAAGTGCATTAATATTACTGTTAAATTGATGTATAATATACTACTGTTTAGAGCACTATAAATATGATATAATTCAAATAATATTAATATATAAATATAATATGAAAATCAAATCTAATCTATTATTTAATATTTTCAGTATTTTAATTGACAAATCAGTATTATTATGACTATAAATGGCACAAATTGACAGTCCATTCATCACATTTGACTCATTTAAACAATTTTTACATATTATTGCCAATTAAATCAAAATTTATATAATAATAATAATACTGTAATAAATACAATGAATATTTATTATATAATACCCGTTGCGGACAACAAACGTACAAATAATGGTTGTATTATTCATCCCTCACTTATTGTCATCAAATTTATATTATTATTATTATCATTGGAGACGAGGGCTCAAGTGTCGGTTCCGCTGAAGACCATCAGGAATATGCAGATAACGACTCTCAACAATAATACGCCCGCATTTCGGGTAGTCGTCAATCGAGACAATAATGAGGTCATTGTCGGCGCACGTAATTTCATATATAAATTATCACCAAATAATTTGGAAATTATTGAAGAGTACCGCACGGGACCCGTCAATGACCACATAGAGTGCTATCCGCCGCCACACGAATGTCATAAAAATAGACGACTTATTGATAATGACAATCAAGTTTTACTGTTCAACTACGACAACAAACAATATCCAATTCTATTGGCGTGCGGTACGGCCTATCAGGGGATGTGCTATTTATTTAAGTCATCCAATATATCGGGATATCATCTGCTGTACGGCGGTTCACAACTAAATGAGACATTGAATTATGTGTCGAGTCGGACATCAAGTGTTGCCTTTTTCGCGCCGTTCGGTAATCGGAAGTCTGATCTCTATGTGGCCAACGCTTATGACGGCAGACCTATTGAGATGAGTCCGCCGACACTTTCGAGTCGAAAAATGACGGCAAAGAACAACGGTTTGTATTATTTTTTTTTTTAAATTATTAAATTTACTTTTATATATTTAAAATATCTTTTATTTATTTTAATCAATATTATTATAATATTTAAATATATTCTAAAAATATATTGACTTTTATTTACAATTACAATAATTACAAAACACTAACTTTATTTAACTGATTACAATTAACTAATTTATTTTCCGATAAAAATAGATATATAAATTAAAGTTTTAATTAATTATTAAAATTTAATATTTTTATATTAATTTTATTTTATTAATTTATAATGAATATAGYTAAGCATGGAACTAATTAATTAATTGTCAGGGTGATATATTTTATCTAACATTTGATAACTAAAATTACTAATATATACTAATTTTGATAATCATAGTTACGAGAACTACATAACAAAAGTCATTGTGTTTTCATCAGAATTTTATTAAGGATTTACAAATATAATTAATTCATGTATTATTTTATTATTTAGCTATTTAAGTATTATTAGTAAAACTAGTCATTCAATTGAGTTGAGCCTTGAGTTTGAAATAAACTTTTTTTTCATAAATATTTTTTCATTTAAGAAAATAACGTACAAATTCTTGAGAGATGAGACTAAAAGAGGTTGTGAATGAGTGATACATTTGTGAGGTTAAAAAACCTGATTTTTTGGGCGTTTAGATCCATACACTACATCCCAGACTCTTAATCAATTAGTTACAGACGTTTTATTTACAATTATATATATATTAGCGTAGGTTTAAATCCTTTACTATTAATAGCCGGTAATGTTTGCTACTCTTATAGTCGACTATAAAGACGTTTCCGTTTCTCATACTTTCCTAATGAATCACTTAACACACACTGTATTATAGATATTGAATTTCTTGTAAATTATTTATTTATTAATTATTAATAATTAATAAGTATTAGTATTTTACATATTATTTTGTTTGACAAAAACATGTATTTCATCAGTTAGTAACCAAAACTATTTGTTGATTTTTATTTTTTTACAAAAACAAAAACTTGCAATAGTTTTGAATATTAAACAGTAATCTCGTATTTCAACAAAAGTTTTTTTTTGTTTTTTTTTATAAAAACATCAAGAGATGAAATTGAAAATCTAAGCCATGACATAGTAATTATAAATATAATTATTTGTAATAAATAAAGCAAATATATTATAAGACAGGTTTATTTTTGTATTTTTAATATTAAAAGCAATTTCATTATTCATTTATTATTACAGTATATCTATATATTATGTCTTTTTAAATAAAAATTAATTTTAGATTCAATGTACAAAACGTGTGTTATTATAGAAATAAATAATTATTTTTGAAAATAAAATATTTGTTAGTACTAAAGTCGGTTAAAGTCAACAATAATTGTTTAGATAATATAGCATTGAAAAAGCTTTTAAATTAACAATTATGAGATATATTAAGTAGTATAATATCCATTGAAATAAATTGAATAATTATACAAAACTAATTAGTACAGTATGTGGTTCAACAAACAATCCCAACTCTATATTTAACAAAATTAATTTTAACTAACATTTACTATAATTTGAAATTTTATTTTTATATATTATATATAATTTAAACAATGGCTCATAAAGTATCGGTTGATCCCGAAAAAGGTTTTACATTATCCCACGACTCGGACGCCGCCTTTACTAAAGTGGACTTTGTTTCGTCATATAAGCAGACATTTAATGTCAAATACATCTATGGTTTTAATCACTCTATATATTCATATTTTGTGTCCACACAACCATTAAACACAATTAGCTCAGAATACGGAACAAAACTGATCCGCGTTTGTCATAAGGATAACGATTTCTTTTCCTATATGGAGATACCATTAAAGTGTTCATCTAATGCTTCAACTAATTTACATAAGAAAGACTACTTTGTTGTAACCGCTGCTTATTTGGGACAAATGGGATCAAAAAATAATAAGAAATTAGACACAAGTGATAGTAATGCTGACGCGTTGTTCCTTTCAATGGGTGTGCCGTCAATGGCCACTGTCATCAACAAGACTTTGGGTACAGTTATTTGTGGCTTCAGTTTACGACATATTAACAGAGCCTTTACTAATGCGGCAAAAGAATGCTTTAGTGGCCAAACCAATGATAAAGTTTATCTCTCTGAGCTAATCCTCGGCCAGAAACAGGATTGTCGAATAATACAATCAGATGTAAGGGACGACTTCTGTGGAACCGGTCTTAATAGGTATATAGTAAGCAATCGTGAATTGGATGGAGTATTATTAAAATCAGTTAATGGTAATAATATTTATAATATTAATTTAGTTTATTTGGCATTTTTGGCATTTTTGGCATTTTTGTTGTTGTATTTGATGTATTGCTGATTATGTGTTGTAGGTTTAGTCACATCTCTTGCCACTGATGTTCATAACGACAGGACTGTTGCTGCTATTGGTACAGATGATGGTATAATTAAGAAAATTATTTTGGACGACCCAAAAGAGTCGGAAGAAATTATATTTGAGATGAATGTGTCCACTCATACCTCAAAAGATCGCTCTATACGTCCTAATCCTGCATTTGATAGCAAACGCAAGAATCTATACTTTTTATCAGATAATCAGGTGATTCAGTTCCCATTTGGTTCGTGTTCACTGCACACTGATTGTGCGTCTTGTTTATCAACAGTGGATCCATTGAAATGTGGTTGGTGTGGATCTTATTGTGCCACTACTGATGAATGTGATAATCCAGAACTCATGAGCAACGTTGAGTGTCCGCCAGAAATTGATTATTTTGTACCAAATTCTGGTCCAACACGCGGTGGAACTGTTATTACAATTATTGGCCATAATTTGGGAACGAAACTCGCTTCCGAAGAAAATAGTAAAATCAATATAACAATTGCTGATACAGAGTGTGATGTCGTTTCTTGGAATATGACTTTAATTGAATGCAGAACTAAGTCGGTTCCCAAAGAAGTTTTCGGTATTTTTAAAATAATATATTTGTTTGAATAGTTATTAAATAGTAATAATATAATTACAGGAAAAATCAATATAAAAGTTCACAGCCTTTTCAATGGACAAACACACGGAAGAAATTTTGACATCAAAGGTGTCACAGAATCGGGTGAATACTTTAAATTTCTTGAACCACAATTGTTGGGTATTAATCCTTCGTATGGTCCCATCGATGGAGGCACTAATGTGACACTCGTCGGAACCAATTTGCTTATTGGTTCCAATAGAAGAATATTTTTGGCAGGAGTTGAATGCAAAGAAGTGATTATTTGATTAAAATAAGTTTTGTTTATTCAAATATTGATAATATATTTAATGTTTTAGTTTGAAAGTGAAAACAATGATTTGAGCTGTACTTCTGGTCGACAATCTTCACCGTCCACTGACACCAGTATTAAATTATTTATCGATTCATTTGAATACATAGTAAACCAAAATAAGACAATAACTAAACCATCGTTGAAAACATCTAATAATGAAAAAGTGGAGAACTCTTCGGTTATTGAATGGAGTGAATACTTTTCATATAAACCAAACCCTAAGATCACCAAATATAGTCCCAAAGCAACCATTAAAAGTGGAAAAACAAATTTTACTGTTTTCGGCGAAAATTTGAATTCAGTGGCAAAACCAAAGATTATGATAACTTCATTTGCAACCTATACTAAAGAAACTATTGTTATGGAAGGCCAGTGCTGGACAAACAAATCGGGAACAAGTATGTCATGTCAGACACCATCATTGAATGACAATTTACCCACACCTAAAAAGAAGATACCAATTGAGGCACAGTTAAGATTTATATTAGACGGCGTCAAACATACTGGTCTTAATGCACACACCACTCAAATGATTTATTATCCGAACCCCATATTTGATAAATTTGAAAATAATATTAGCCAGGTTTATGAAAATGAATTAATTGTTACCATTAAAGGAAAAGACTTAAGTACTGAATATCCCATTGATATACAAGTTGGTCAACACATATGCAAACCACTCGATACTAAAAATTATGATGAAATTAGATGTCAAATTATGGATAATCATAATTTTTTTAACCTTGATACTAAACATGAAGTCATTATAAATGTTGGATTAACCATACATTTTAGGTATTAATGATAATTATTAAATATATATATATATATATTATATAATAAATAAATTTTTATATTTTAAAGTCCCGGTTTAATAGAAGTTGTGCCAAAACATGTGAATCCACTTGGGATCGGTTTAATTATGGTTATAGTGTTTACGGTATTAATTTTATGTGCAATAATTGTGTTCGGAGTTGTCTATAGAAAAAGATTTTTAAATAACAACGAGAAGCCACCCCTTCAAGTCATTTATAACGCCACGGCTAACGATAGCGGTTCCAGTGATAGTCGTCCGGCTTATGTATCACAACCCTCTTTCAATGGTATGTTATATTAAAATGTTATTTTTGCACTTTTAGCTAATATAAAAAGCACTAAAATTTTAAAAATTAGCATCTCATTTACAATAGATATCATATTGTATAAAATATAGATTTAAAATATATATTTTATACAATATCTATCAATTGAAATGTTTTATATACATGAATATTGTATATTCATATAACATTCTTTAAATATGTTTTTGAGATTTAATTATCACTAAATTATATCTCAATGCAATTGGTTTTTTAAAATAATACAATCAATATTTAAAAACTTATCAAATGAAATCAAAAACCAATTTTTATAATCTAAATTATAAACATACTGTATATAGACTGTAGATATGCATGTAAATTATAATTATTGGGTTATATATTATTTAATGGGGAATCGGTATATTGGCAATGGCTTTAGTTTTGATTATTTTTGCTAATTATTATATAATAATTAGCAAAAATAAGTGAATAAAATGCATGGCTTTTGCATTGAATGGCTTTTGATTGCATCCAAAAAACATAGATTATATTCGCGGAGAATCAACACATTTATTATCAGTTGAACGAAGATATCAAGTGTCCGAAGAAACGATGGCTTTGTTACGATCGGAACATATTTACATCGATAGGAATAACTTAAGACTTGAGTATGAGATCGGAAAGGGACAGTTCGGTTGTGTCTATAAGGGAATACTGAGTGCACCAGAAAAGGATGCCGAGCGGGAAGTGGCCGCCAAAACTTTACATAACTGTATATATAAACTAAATATTTTTTTTAATAAAAATAGTTAGCAATAGTTAGCAATAATTTCAATTTATAGCTAATATACGCGACGGCGACGATGTCGAGTCATTTCTTCAAGAAGGCCTTATGATGAAAGACTTCAAACATCATAATGTATTGACACTAATAGGTGTGTGTTTTGAGGACGAAGGGACACCTATAGTGGTCTTACCGTATATGTTAAATGGAGACCTATTATCATATATAAGAAACGAAAATAATAATCCAACTGTTAAGACATTATTGCTATTTGCCATCGATATAGCTAAAGGTATGAATTAGTAAATGATTGTATAATTTATTATATATGACTGTAAATGCTTAATAGGTATGGATTACTTGTCGAGTCAGAAGTTCGTGCACCGGGATCTGGCCGCCCGAAACTGTATGCTTGACTCAGACTTATGTGTCAAAGTTGCAGACTTTGGTCTTTCACGAGATATTTATGAAAGAGATTATTATAGCAGTGATAACAAAAAATGCAAATTACCGGTCAAATGGATGTCACCCGAGAGTCTAGAAAAGGGTACATATAATACTAAAACTGACGTTTGGTCTTATGGTGTACTCGTATGGGAACTCTTGACCCGAGGAGTCACTCCATATCCCGATGTAGACAACTGGGAAATATTGAATTATCTAAAACAGAGCCGTCGTATGCCACGACCGGCCTATTGTCCCGAACTTCTATATTTCAATGTATTGTTGCGCTGTTGGTGTGATGACTCGCGACAGAGACCAACATTTGAAGAACTGGTCTATGAAATCGAGTCACTTATTGCACAGTTAGAAAAAAGCGCAGACAAACAACAGGTAGACCTCGATAAGTGCAATACATATATCAATTATCCCATCAATACTTACTATAATGAATTACAAGTCAAACCATTGAAAGTATATGACGACAATATTAAACCACAAACATCTTCGACATATGAGACCACCTGTTAAGCCAAATAATAGGCTCTACACATACTTCACAAATCATTGTTAATAATTTATCATTTAATTAACTTAATTGTTGATCTCGTTTTGCGCCAATACAAGCGATCCTAAAATTTTATGGTTTGAAATAAGATTTATTTAACATTTATTTTTATAGAATCCTAATAACAGTGTTTCCACGTCAATCATAATGTAATGTAATCTAATTGTAAYCAAAAATGTGGTATAAATTGCCTTAAAATTGCGAAATTAGTCCCTATTATGACTTATAAATATAATATTACATTATATAATTTGGTAATTGTAGATATTTTTATAAATATATAGCATTTAAATTCATATTTTAATATATTGTATAAAGCATGTACTATATAGTAATCATAAATACAAAGTTTTAACAAATCTAAAAGAAATTACCTATAGTTGCAATCAAATAATTTATATTTTATCGATAATGAAATGAATTTATGTGCCATTTGTTGTATTTGTAAATTTTATTTTATATACAATTTTAGTTTTATATATCATATATTTATTCAAATGTAGCCTTTATTTGAACAAATACATCAATTTCTAAATAATTTCTTATTGTAATGCATTGTATTTCATTATCATTGTTGGTAATCAATAAAATTTTATTTTACATTAACTTGTTTTAAATGCATATTTTGAAAGTAAAACACTTGTTCCCAATCATTGATAAAAATATAAATCATTTTTTTTAAAAACAAACTCATGTTTCGTTTCATTAATTAATTCATATGATATTTGCACAAACTATCCATATGTTTATTACTCATTAATTTTTCATTGGAAATCAAATCATTTCAATTACCAGTATATATAAAATTGCAATAATTGTAATTATTACAAAACAGGTATAATTTATTAACTCAAATACATAATAATTATCCATATTATATGTCTTTATTCAACTATTTGTTATCATAACAGAAATATGATTTATTTTGAAAAATATATTATCAATTATAATAAAAACAAATCGTAATTAATTATGTAAAATGCAATCCATTCATTATAATATTATTCAATAAATTATAGCTAATATTAATTAAATAATATATACATTTTAAACCAATTTAATTAAAGCAGTTTTCTAACATGAGTTCCAGTCAGGCCATAACATCGGCGCGTTTGTCCCGAAGCTTACCTCGAGTTTTAGTCCGAGCCTTACAACTAGCAATGTTTGACATGTTCTGCAATATAGCAAAAGTTACATTAAATTGATGGCTAATTAATGACATAATTATGTCTTACTCTTTCAAATTTTGTTAACTTAGAATTGATGTCTAGTGCTGATAGCGGTGCACCCAATTCAAAGATGTCTCTCAATAAATCATTTTCAGCTATAAATCAATAAAGTTTTAGTTATGATTTTAGAAACAAATAAATATAAAATACCTAAATGTAAATTCATTCCCGATTTGAGGACATAACATAAGGCATCGTATTGTCTCTTCCGACACCACGAATCAATGACTAGTCTTTCTCTGCCAAACTTTATCATCATATTTGGAGACTCTCTTTCTTCAACAGCCTTCAAGATATCTCTAAAACTAGATCTTTGTTGTCTCCGATCCTTTTTCGCTCGAAATTTTTGACTATCAGTGGCCAAAGCACGCAATTTATCACATAATAAATCCATTTCATCGAATTCAAAGTCTTCATCACATTCTCGTGATATTTCATTCAACACTGCAATGCATTCTCCGGCAGCAATCCTAAGATCAACATCAGGTGAGTCTAACAATTCTGATATTCTTTTTGCTAGTCTTTCAGCCATATGTATAGCAGCTGAAGGTGTGTATAAAGTCAAGAGTAGAGTCCACGAGTAAAGAGCACTGGCATGAAGTGATGAAATCTCGTTTGTATGCGTTGGGACCGCACCGTTACCTTTGAAGAATGAGGCGCCAAATATAGATTGAAACAAATCCATTACTGAATCCACTGAATCTAATCCGTTATTTGTTATGAAATGTCCCAAACTATTCAATAAATATAACAATTAGTCATCAATTAAATAGTGATAAATAATAAGACAAACCCCAAAGCGATGGCACACTTGGATCGGATAACTGGTGATACAGAAGCGTCAGTCATGGCTGCAATCAAATGTGACTCAATTTCAACAAACATAGCATCACTTTCAGTACTTGAACCCAATGTTATCAATACAACACTCGAAAGAAGAGCAGCTGATCCAAGTTCTTCACCCTTTCGTTTGACTGAATGTTCCAATACGTCTCCAATCGTTACTTTCCTAATAATTATTGATTAGTCAATCAGTTTCATACAAATATATTATATAATTAGATATCAATCAATAGCTAACCTATCAATTAGGAAATCGTAGCAAAATCTGGTGGTTAATGCTTTTCTGATGGAATCCAAAGACAATTGTCTTGTTTTGGCACTCTTACCACTCGTCTGATCGATCGCTTCAATCAATTTGGACTCAAAGTCATCGATATAAGACATGTTGTTTGTGTCATCATTTATATCATCAGTTGGATTGTTAAAGTCATCGCTTCCATTGTCCCATTTGGCCGAAGAAGTCAACGAAATGACAGACATGTTGTCAGCAATGGCTGAATCGTTATCATCGCTGAGAACTGATCGCAGGTCTTCGCGCCGATTGGTCACGACATTAGACCCTAAAGACAAAGATATTCAATACTTGTATTACACTATAATCACAACAATTGTCTCAAACATATGGATCAACAAATTATTTAAATTAATATTAATATAATAATTAAATTACAAATAGTTGTCAATTATAATGTCATTTCAATCAATTAATCCATAAATAGTGTTAATTTCAAATCAAAACAAACTATTGTTTGTCTAAACGTATTGATTATGTAATACATTGAGTGTTGAAATGCATTGAAATTCAAATGTTATGACAAAACAAACCTTTTTTATTGCGTCGAGAGTTTGAGTTTTTGGGCATTTTTTCCACAAAATATTCACTAAATTTACTAAATCTATTCAATTGATTATTAAAATATAACTATTATATACACTATAATCAAGATATAGACAGTGATAATGGTATCAAATATTGTTTAAATTGTCTTAAAAATTGTTGGTTTGAAATGAAATGCGTTTTATTGAAAGTCATGTTTTAGTAATAATAACGAAACAGTTGTTTCAATCAATGGCTTCAAACAACACAATCACTACTTATGGCTGCCATTCAACACAACACACACTTTATTAATATATTATTGTTTTGCGCACATTTCACACATGCGATGGCCGACACATATGTGACTTATGACTAATTACAATAATGTACAGTAAAACGAATATTGGGTTTCAATAATACAATTTCACACCAATAATGTAACAAATCATGTTTGTGTACGCCATCTATATGACTTTGATATCCATATCAGATTTAAGTTATAAATTATAACTTATAATCTATTGATATTAATATCTAAAGTCAATTGTATGGACAACATTATGTTTTTTTATGTCTATGTTTATGTCTTATAATTTATAACATATAATTTACAGTAAATTTTATATCTAAGTATCAAAATAAAACTATTTGACATATTTTTAATGCGGTTTCTTTTATTTTATAAATTCAATCCCGATTTGTGAATTAAAAATAATATTTTATAATTTATATAATTTGTAAAATTAAAATTTTAAGCATCTAGTTTTTAAAAAAAAAATATTTTTCTTAATAATATTTCAAATTAGATCTAAGTAATTTATTTATAACTATTGAATTTAGTTTTATACAATTGGTATAAAAGATAATGGTTAAAATATACAAAAATTAAAATTATTAAAAATATTCTTAAAACTATAGATTTTATATTTATAAAGCGGTTATTTTTGTATACATATAAAGTTTAAAATAATTTTTATTATTCATCAATCGTCTAATGTATAAATTAAATTAAACAACACTAAAATTGGTTAAGTAGTTTTCGACACATTATTAATTTTATCTTGATACTTAGATAAAAAATTCACTGTATAAAAGCATATATTAGAATATATTAGCACATATTAGCATGCTCATTTTGAAAATATTAAAATAATGCAATTTATGTATTAAAATAAGTGCTAATATCTAAATTTAATACGATTTGAAAATAAAATTTTAACAATTTTTTCGAAAAAATAAGTTTTTTCATATTTTATATAAAGTGTTTTAAATAATAAAACAGTTAAAATAATACCATTTATGTGATAACCAATCGTTACAATAACATAAGTTATAACTAAGGACACAACTTTCTAGTATTTAAAAGTACCAAAAATAAGACTAAAAGATTTTCTAGGGTTTTCACTTAAATTATACATTAATTAAGATTATATTCAACTAAGATTAATATACAATAATTTTAGTTACAAAAAAATATTACAAATAATTCAAAAGGTCTGAAGCTACTTTAATTTTTTTAATTTTTAAAATTTGGATTTTAAAAATGTTATTTATAGTATTATGTTTATGTAGTATTACAAATAAATAAATTATATCTATATTTATATCAATGTTAAGCAAAGTTTTCGGTGATATGGGGTTTAGTTGGCAAAAATTTTAAAAATTAAATATCTTAGGGGTATAAGATTTAAATGATTATAAATGTCAAAAGTGATGTAATGCTTAATATGTAAATAACAAATTATTTATAAGTATTTGTAAATTAAATTTTTGCTATGTATTTAAAATTTAATATAATAATGGTGATATTTTTATTTAATTTAATATAAATTTTAAAAAAATACATTATTTCTAGAACTTTAGGATTAAAAATAAAAATTTTTAGAACTAACACTTAAAACTAGGATTTAATATAAGCATAAAATTATTTACACAAATATTTTTACAGACAATAAAAAACTAATAAAGTTTTAATTAAGTTATACGATCTCTTTCATAGTATAATAAACTGCATTAATTTTTTATTGTTTGTAAATAATTTTGTGCCTAAATTTATAGGAACAAAAAGTGTGTTTCATTTAGTTTTATAACTTATATTGAGATTTGTCTAAAAAATGTTTTTCCATAATATCACAGACTCCAAAATAAAAGTGGATTTTAGTATAAAGTTGTGTCTCTAGTTATAAACTTAGGATACAATAGCTATTAATATATGGATTACCAAAAAAGATTAGTAATAATAATGTTATATTCATTGATTACAAACAAATTGTAATTGCATTTCCTTTAACACATCCTCTAATTTGTTACAATACTATAATAACTAATTGATTTCATTTCAATGTTTATTATTATAGTACAGTACAGTAAATATCGAACTCTATAATTGTATGAATTTGTATGAATTAATATTTTATATATAATATATTAATAGACCATGTTTATTTTGTAAATTACTAGAAATAATGATTTTAAAATTTAAATTTTTGCTATTAATTCATTTTGGTATTAATATTAAATATAATGTATTTTTAAAAATATTAAACTAAAGTAACTTTTATTTATAAGTTATAGGAGATGATGAATGTGATCCACAGATCGCTAATACGTGTTTCAGTGGTTTAAACATAAATTTCAAACAAATTATTGACAGAAATAATAGTTTAAATATAAAATTATCGAATAATTATTTGGAAGCTCTTTGCAAGTAATTTAATCGATAATATATTAATATATTTATTAATAATTATAATGAATATCAATATATCAGTTCAATTGATGATACCTTGAACTGTACGAGTGATGTGATTGATGGTGACTGTGGTGTTGATGACGGCAGAGATAGGTTTGATAAGTGGAATATGGCTTTCCTTTGGACTTATTATGAACTCTGCGATTATATTGGAATCGATGATAAAGTTTTACTGAGAGGTAAATTATTTTTATTAATAATAAAATTGAATTTTATTAAATATTAACTGTAATATAAATTTTACAAATTGTTAACTTACTGTATAAGCAATACTATATAACATTAATTGTTGGAATGCATCATATTTTATGAATTGCTTTCAAAGTAATACCAATATCTCATCAATTGATCATTTGATGGCTACGGATATCAATAAAAATGAATGCAAGTATGTCTTCATTTGTTTGATTGTATTTCAGTTAWGATAACAATCAAATATTTTTATATAAATTTATTATTTTGTAAAATTCAAGATACTTTATATTAAAATTTATATTATTATATTATATTTATATTTGTAGCACATTGTATAAGACATTTGAAATGTGTCGACAAAACCAATTGAATGCCACCAAAAGTTTGTGTACTAAAAACCAGACCATAGAAGCCGTTAAAATAGTTCACCACTTGTTTGATATATTCATGGATTCATCTCATTGTTCACAATATTATACCAATAATTTTAATCTTATTCATAAAAGTTTAGCTAATGTTGTCATCAGTATATTTGGTTTATTTATTATATACATTATTAGAAATAGCGATTAAACTAAAAATATTATAATATTAATTATATACGATATATATTTTAGATATAAATAATTTAGACATAATAAATGACAGTCATATGACTAATAATGTTTAGTTTGTTTTTATTAATAAAATTTTTAAGAACCTTAAAGACTTGTCATATTTTTAGTATTATGATTATTATTGCTATCATTTTTATTAATTGATAAGTTATGATCATTACTTTGTAAAATCTTTAATATATTAAGTACAGGACTTTCAAACAATATGTACAAAATATAAGCTAATATTATGGTTATTAGAGTGTTGAATGCAAAATTAGTCCACTGTAACCAAAATATTGTACTTAATTATATATTTCATTTATTTTGTATATATATATATATATATAATACTTACCATTAAAGTGTCATTTAATTCAATCATCTGTTTTGATGAAAACAGTGCATAAATTGGTGGTAAAAAGTTTGTTAAATATATTCCCAATGATAAACGATATATTGGAGTTAGTGATGACCAGGATAGCAATTTATTCAAATATACTAAACAATTAATAAAAAATTAGTTTATATTATAATTAAAATAATTTGATTTTTTACCGGCTCTTCCAGTACTACACATATAGAATATCCATAGAAATCCTAAGCAATAAAATAATTTGCCAAAAGTTAGGTTAAGATAAACTTCTAATTCAGTGGAAACTTCATTAATAACAAAGTTTTCAATATCGACATCGCTTTTCATTAATTGTTGCGTCCAATGAAAGCCCCAAACTGTAAGACCGGGAAAAACAATCCATAAAATAGTTTCTCCAACTTTTCCGCCGAGATATATGTTTGGCATCTTTCGGATCAAATATCCGGTGATAATTCCCACAGCAAATGGCGATATATGATGAATGAAAGGCCAGGTATAGAATATTGAATAAAATGATTCCTCTAATATTGAATTCATTTTGGACAGTTGGTTCATTACAGGAATTCCCTTTACTAATATATGTCCTAAACTCAATAAACTTCCCAAAATAATAAGAAATAAATTGAAATAAATTATTTTTCGTGATTTATAAAATGGTATAATGAATATCGGAGCCAATAGTAGTAAATGAAAACAAGTGTTGGCCCACCAGCTGGCGATATTGCACTACAAAACAATATATGGATTATGTTTTAAAAGTTTTTTTTAATTTTAAAATATAATGCAACAAACCATCGATGACTGAACAAATTCATCCAAATCCAGTATATAATAATTGAAAGATAATAGATTAGACAACAAATGATTTCGACACGACTCGACATATTGAGTGTCAGCCCTGTGCCAAAAGGGTCCGCTTCCCAACAGTGGTAATATATAATACATTAGTATTACGCCAAATATTGATGGATAAAATCGCAAATATATATTAATAATATATTTTATATAATTAAACTTTCCTTTGCTTCTCTCAAGAGCACCAATCATACTATAGGCCGTTAAAAGTCCACTAAAATTATAAAATAATAATATTAAATAATGGATTATATTTTTTATTAATTATTTAATAAATACATACGAGAGAGCAAAGAAAAAATCAGTATTGTGTACATTACGAAGGAAAGCATATTTATAATCCGTTCCCACTTTACTGGTCATACCAGTCATCAATCTTTTGGTTAATGGTATTGCACTCCAAAACATATACACATAGTATTGATGCATAAGAATGGTTTGCAATAACATAACAAATCTGATGAAATCAATGTTAACAAACTTTTTGGTAGATTTCTTGAACATTGCTTTTGTATTGGAAATGATTGAAAACGATATAATCAATTGAGATATTTTTGATATCTTTAAAGTGTTATTATCGACATTATTTGTCGGCAATAAAGATGAACTTATATAGTACTCATAAATAGCGGCCAATATTGTTATTAATAGCAATGTCAGAAAAATAGATCTATTGATATTTTTTCAATATTAAAACATTTACCAGTATTTGAATTTTATAAACTGTTACTTACAGTGCCATTAACTGATAGTTATCTAATATTAAGGGTGCATCCTTGATACTACATATTGGTCCTATTTGAATAGGCATTTGAATTAATGGGAAGAATACTATAGTAAATAATATAAATATATATATATATATATTAAATATTGTAATTAAATTTTATTATAGTTATAGTTATGAATGTTTATACTTTGATTTATTGCATTTTCCACATCTGATGGCTTACAAGTAGAGGGAATACATATTCCTATATTAATAAGTGATCCGTTAACCAAATAAAGTGCATCTATGACTTCATCGACAAATTGATCGGGTAGTGAAAATAAATTATTGAATGGTTCACCACTTTTATATGTATGTCTTTTTGGATGAGGTATTATAGGCTTTGCCAAACAGTACTGACCAGTGATTGCTATTTGGCTGTTTGCGGGGCTTTTAATATCTAAACACTCATTATATTCACCAATACTCGACAACACGCCTTCCAATATTCCGGATGGTATGCCTCCCATAGAGTCAATAACTACAGTTTAATATTAAATGTAATGTTATAAATTATTTTTGTCAATAACTCCCAATAAATCAATAAATCAAGCAAATGCTAAAATAAATTTTAAGTTTAATTGGAAATTGAAAGTTTTTGAATACAATTTATAAGTAAATAATAATACTAATGATTTGTCATACATTTGAGTGCCCATAAATGCCTATTGTTTATTGCTTCGGCAATTGTAACCAATGATGCCATACATAAGGGCTCTAATGAAATCTCATATATAATAGTCGAGAACCGAGCCATTAGTTTCTGAAATATTGGACTTAAATTTGTTGAGTAGTTTGACACAAGTTTCATAATGCGATCAAATTGTGCAAACGTTTGATTTATGTGATCAACTCTTGAGCTTATATTTGTTTGTTTTGACTGTTGATAGTCATCCGGAAGCAATTTGTCGATTATTTCGTCAATTTCACACAAATCTTCAGCTATTGTATATCCCGAGTCATAGTCCGACAAAACATCGGATTTATTGACATTTATGTCAATTGTCACATCACTAGTTGTGTAATCACTCTCTCTTTCAATTATATCAATAGTTTGTTGATATGAAAAATTATATGTTAACATAAAAATCATAAAAATTAATAACTTCATTGTTAGTAAATTGATTCACYAAATTTAATTGAATTAAAACGCTAACTAAAAGTTTAATATATTAATTATAAAAAAGGTTAAAACATGAATAAAAAATTATTTTGAAATATGTTTTAAAAGGATATTTAAATAAAAATAACCACATCTTATCAAACAAATAGAAAAATATTTTTAAATACTTTAAAAAATATGATAATAAATATTACTTTATTTTTTGTTCCTTGTTTTAAGTGGGTATTAAAAACTATTAATTTGAAAAATTGAATATTCAATGACAAGTCAATCAATCAATCATATATCTGTCTAATACCACTACAGTAAGTTATATGTGTTAAAAGTATACAAATGTTTAATGTTTTATAATATAGATATTTCTGTAAAATAAGTAACTTAATTATAAAAATATTTAAAATCTTTAGAATATTTTTTTTATATTGAGACTAAATTAGTATTGTTTTTACAAATCATTATTTTTTATCCATTATTTTTATATTCTTTTTATTAAATGCTTAAATTTTTAAACAATCTATTATAATAAAAATATATGATACTTGAGATCATTTGATTTGAGTCAATTCAAATTTCTATTAAGATATAATCTTACTTTGTTGTTARCTATAAAAATAATAACAAGTTTGTTATAAAATATATGAATTTTTATTTCAATTGATACTTTAGAAAATCAATTTAAAAATCAGCTTCAATTGAATATACAAATTAGCTATTTCTAAATTTAAATCCTAACAAGTAGTGCTAATTATAAACTTTTAATAACAAATTAACAGTTTTATAACAATTTACTGTATAATAATACACAATGCAATTATAATTGACAAGCGTTAATAAAATGATTTTAAATGAAAAGTTAAATCAAATTAATTTTATATACTTGACACTCAATTTAATTAGATTTATAACTTTAATTTTACTTTAACTTAAAATTGTTAAATTTATTAATTAAACTAAATTAATTGCAATAACTAACGATATATTTGATATATTTCTGATAGACTCTGAGCCGTCTTTACAATTAGTGAGGTTTGAGTGCAAGTGTTACGGMATATTGCAGTGATTGTGGTTATGTTTGTGTGTAATATTATATAATTTATTAAATAATTTAAATTTATAATAAATAAGTTTAAATAATAGAGTTAATTATATGACTGATTTATTATAATATATTTAAACTACAGGTGAGATTATATTATTAAAATTTATTTCATTATTGTAGGTTAGTTTTTAGTGCAACATTGGTTATCAATGAATCGCAATGTTTTATATTAATTGTAATTTTATTAAATACTTTTACTTATTACTGTTGCGCTTGAATTCACTGTTTTGAATGAATAGTAAACTAATAAATTTAAAATTTAAAACAAATTACTGTATTTTAATTTATACTTTACATACTTTTTATCTTTATAATTAAGTTTTCTTCTCATTTTAATCATAATTTAGATTTATTTATAAGTTATAACTAATTTTATTACAAATATTTAAATTAATAATAATAATAATAATAATAACCTTTCTATTAAAATTTAATTCATTTAGAGTATTGAATGATATTAATTAAGCAGAAGTGTCTAATAAATATAAGATTTATTATATGCACTCAATTCATCATATTTTTCTAAATACTAAATTCAATATCTTACTTGTGATTTACTTGTGAGTAAAATTTWAAAAATATATATTTAATTAGCAATAAAACATCAGTTTCGATGTACATCACTAAATATGGTCTATAATAAATTATGTATTTTAACATAATCAATATTAAATTACAATCATATAATATAATAAAACATCAATATTATTATTTTAATTTAAAATATTAATTCAATTATTTTTTTCCTGATACTTATTTTTAATTTTTAATCAACATTTTATTATTATTAAAAGTATTTGCTTTCAAAACTTATGATTTAATAAAGAAAATTATATAGAATTTTGTAGTATTATTTATTAACTATACACTATATAAATTTATTTATAATTATATTTTAATTATTTGATCTTGGATGTTATATTTGAATTATATTAAAACAAAGATTATATAAAAACCATTTATATTTATTAAGATGAAATCAATTAAATGAAATTAAATTACCTTAATATCGATTTAATACATTTGATTCAACTTTATATTAATAGTTTGTCAGCATTTAACATCAAATTATATTTTTATTTAAAAATATAAATAAGTTATAAAATATTTATTTTTATTAATTTATTCAATTTTGATAAATACTATACAAAATTAATTTTAAAATATTTTGTTTTATACAACAATTTATGGAAAATAATTAAAGTGTAAATTTGTAACTAGATTTAGCTGTTATTGACTAAAAACAATTTAAAATAAATTAAATACATATTTAATGCAATGTTGAAATAATTATTATAAATATAATTTTTATAAATTAATAGTTGCCTGTAGTTGATATTACAAATTGCTATCATATTGATATTTAAAGCATATTGACATTAAAATTTATTTATAAATTATTTATTATAGTTAATTCATTCATTGAATCAACAAAAAATCTTTGATTTTAGTTGAAATAATATATATATAATATATTATAGCATACATATATAGAGTCATATATTTGTTATTTATAATATTAATAGTGTCATATTATTTAATAATACTAATATTGTAAAAATGTTTTATCACAGCAATTAAACGATTAACTTATAAAAAATAAGTTTAGTTTTTATACATTTCCAGAAATATGTCTCATCACATGAAACACGCAAATATCAGACCAGTTATTGATTGGTTTTGTTATAATTGAATATTAGTTTATATTTGGTTGTCATTTACAGTGGTTTATGTTTCAAATCACTTACAAGTATAGACTTCAACCATTTGCTCGCAAACTGTTAATTAAGAGAAAAAAATGCATTTAGAGATGAAATGATTGAAAAGTTAGAGTGCAAGTCATAAATTGATAGATACCAGAGCAGGTGACAAAACAGCACCAGTGGAACCGGCACTGACACCTTTCCACTTGTCTAAATATTTGGGTATTATATCCACGACCACAACATAGAAGATTACAGCTCTCGGGTCCGGTCGATGTCTTATTGCATTGTCGACCAGTTGTGCCTAAAATACCTTTTTTATAGTCTTGAATGCAAAAGTTGGGCGACTTATGGATGTGAACCAAATCTTCTTTACTAACGGGAACCTTGCGTTTCACTTTGCCTTTAGGTCGGAGCCGTTTGCGTGCTTTCGGTGATATTTGCACTGAACTTTCATACTTTTGCTTCAACACGTGTCCCACTTGACTAAATGGTGGTAATGTCCGCCAACATGTCTTCAATTCACAAGAACCACTCACTCCATGGCACCGGCATTTCAACTCCATTTGATTTTGAATTGACTATTAATGAAATATTAATATATTTAATAAATCATTGGACATTACATTTAATTTGGCATAAAATATCTATAAAATGTTTGATATATTTCTGTTGCATTTGAATATTAAAACAAAATATTAATTCATTACTTATATATTATAGTTTAAGTTGTTATGTTATTATACTATATTAACTATTATAATAGTATAGTTTAAGTTTTTATGACTAACAAACTTATGAATGTACTCTCTCTAAGTCTAAACTTGAAAATCAAGCAATTTTTAAACACATAATAAATACTGAAAATTTTGTGAGCGATTAAAATACTTTTTTTCAGATTTAAGCGATAAAACAAAGAGAGACTTAAAAGAATAGCTGTGCTCTCTCTCTCTCTCACTCRCTCTCTCTCTMTCTCWCTCWCTCTCTCTCTCTCTCTCTCTCTCTCTCTCTCTCTCTCTCTCTCTCTCTCTCTCTCTCTCTATTTCACACATTCACTGTCTATGACTCTCTCGCGACTCAAATATTAGTGAAGAAAAAAAGACAAATAAATTACTAAAGATTTTTACCAATAATAAAAAAATAATAAAATAAAAGGCAGTGTACAACAAAAAAAACAAAATGTTATTTTGTATGAAAGCAATTGCAATCATAAATAATTCAAATACTTTTATTTGTTATGTTTTTGGTCATCATTTTAGTAAAGTTAGTATTAGTATTGTAAGTGTCCTATAGTTATGCGCATAAATCAAAGCCAAAAAAACTTTATTCTGAATTCCCATTTCTTTATAAGAAATCAATTGCTATAATAATGTAATTCAATGGGCAATCAGTTTTAAAGTGAATGACTATAATTTGCTCGTAAGATATGCTATACTCATATTTCGTATAAATATTATAGTCAATAGCCTCATATAAAATATAATTATTTATTAACTTTTCTATTTATTTGCATCCATTATATTAGACTGAATTAAGTGAAACATACGGTATTTCATTTTGTATTCATAACTTTTTATATTACAGTATATATTATATATATATTTCTATTATATTATTCAATAGGGTTTGTTTAAAGTTTGTAAGATTTAAACAATAAAATATATATCACTATAAAACACTGTATACTTTTTATTAAATATTTAAGAGATTATAAAACATAACTTATTTGACAATAAATAAGCAATAAATTATTATATATAAACAAATTATTGTATATATCTTGATTTACGATCATTTTGAACTAATATTGTATAAAAACATTACCATTACTTGAATAAGTCAAATCAATGTTTGCCCTGTAATGGAAATAATAGCTACAAAGTTATGAAAATTTATATTTCATTTCTAAACTTGACTTTCAATGTCAAAAATGGTGTGACCAAATTTTTGCTAATAACAAGTAAATGCGTTTAATTATATGCATTTAAAACAAATTTCAAATATTCACACATCAGTCTCAACGAGAACACCCTAAGAGTGAAAACATTAACTTTTAATATCTCTTTAAACAAACAAATGTATTGACAATACGGTATTGTATTATATATCATCAAACTCTAGAGGTATTTATACATTAATTAACTTAATATTTATATATGAATATAATTAATGTATTTCAAAAACAACTAATTGTCATTCACGCTGAAAGCTAAAATTGATTTTTTATTTATAACTTTTATTTTAATTTCTTAACTATAATAAATAAATTTTTCATGCATTTTATGACACTTATTATTATTAAAAATAACAGTATTATTGTTAAAATATAAATATCTCTTAAAATAATTGTTGACATGGATTGACATAAAATGTTTGCAACATTTGTTTTAAAAGCAAAAATGAACTAAAAGTTTGTTATTCGATATACAAATGCAATGCAATTAACTTTTCTTTTCTTCCGAAATGTAATATTATATAAATGTTTGCCGTTTAGTGATAAATGACATATTACTTAAACCAAATTTAAAATAGTTTTATATATTCATTAACTCATKTTAAATTAATGTTTTAAGTATGAATAGGTTTATCGACAATATATAATCAAAATGATAATTATTTATATAATATCTAAAGAAATAAATTGTAAATAATAAAAATTATGTAATATATATATATATATAATCTTTTATGTAATACTCATGCAACTAATCACAACTGGCAAACACTGATTAGTTTAAATGTGTTTTAATGTCTAAATTCGTCTAAATGTGTAATTTTCTGTTGAAATAATCACATCATTTTCTTTTTTTGTGTATTTCTAATGCTTTAAATGGTATAAACAATTTATAAATACATTTTACAACAAAAATATACATCACTAAAACATTTAGTTTTGTAGTTGAAGTCAAAGTTTTCAGATATTTAAGATTATAGTATAAAAACATTTGTTTTGCTCATTCACTCTAAGAATTCATTTCTCATCAGAAAATTGTATCTCATGTCTGATCATTAGATTTAAGCGTTTAATCAATTGTTTGATACAATCGTCTGGACTCTGCTTTGCTAATCCATAATACAAAATAAACTTAAAATGATTTTGTCTGTAATGACAACAAACAATACTAAACTAATCATAATTTAAACCAATATATCGTAAACTAACACTCCGTAAAATATTAGCTAATGTAAAAACAAACTTTTTAAAAAGCTAAATATATGATACATTATATTTTAATATATAAATTTTAATAAAATATAGCTTTTTAGTTAACAAGTTTGTAAATAAATTTAACTTTTGATTTTGAAATTTTCAATTATGACAATCATGTTTACAAAGCATTTGTTTTCAAACAATTCGAGTTTATTCAGTACTTAATGATTAACAAAATAATATAAATAAATATAGTTTTGCGATAAGATGTTAACTGTGGTAAACTTAAAACAATCTCATAATTTATCTTAAGTATAATATAATGTTAATAATACTGTTTTATTATTTGTTTTGAAAGTCAGTGTTACACTAATATATAATACAGTATAATAGGGAAAAAGGGAAGAGACTGTCATTAAACCGACAAAAAATATGAATTTCAAAACACTTTTGTCAAACCAATGGTCAGTAATTATATAAATTTCCATCTGTTTTTCATTTACTATATTATCATATATGCTGTAAAATTGACTGATTTAGTCAAAAGTAAGTGTGTGTTTGTGTGTATTAGAGAGAGAGAGAGAGAGAGAGAGAGAGAGATAGTAATAAGAATTAATATAACAATAAGTGAAGTAATGATAAAACGTTATATTTTTCGGGACAAACAACATAAAGCCAGTACTAGTGTTACTACCAGTGCCTTAATACAGGTGTCTCAATGAGGTATATAAAGTGACGCCTTTTGAATTTGATGGCTCACTAATGATTCATTTATGTTAATAACAATTTTGTGGCCATAAAAACAACATTTCCTGTCTTTATAATACTATTTTTTATTAACAAAACAGCTATACGTTAATACACGATACAGTGAGACAAATATACAATGTTATAGTGTTTAAAGTTAGTCTATAATTGCATTCATTTGATGCGTTCATTAACACAATCAAAATCATTAAAATTAAAACTTTCAGTTGTTTATGATATTATATATAACTATTTAAAGTAATTTCAATTTTAATGCACTCTCCTTTATATATAATTCTATATTATACTATAGTATATATTTTACTATTTATATTAGAGAGTAGATTGATATCAGTATTTCATAAACAACATTTAAAATCAGATAAAAATGATTGTATGATAAATAATTTAGATAACACAATATAAAACAATATAATAAATATACTGTACATTATATTCTATATTACAACAGTATATACTGTATATAATTTTGATTGATAGTTGTATACAACAGAACTAAATGCAAAACACAATCAAAAGCATTAATAATAAATATTGAATTTAAGTTTACGTATATAAAAGATATGCAGTTTTAATAAAATTTTATTATACGAGATGTGTTAACTTCAAAATTATCATCAATAAAATGTTTTTAAAAGTTTAGCAAATTTTTTAATTTATATTTATTTTATTTTAGATAATTGACTCATTTATGACAAACAATAAATATATTATATATAATTAAATGCAAATATATGCACTAAAAATTTATTGATAAGTTGTATAAAATTAAATGAAAACTTGAGGGGAAATCTTAATCATTTAATTAAAACTTAAATTTATTTATCTAATCTATTGAAATGATAGTTTTTATAATTATTTTCACTCATATTCTGAAAGATTTCTAATAATAAAGTTAATTATTTATCAAATACTGTAATCGCGCTTTAAATTAATGGATACTTTTTTATTTTATATTTTATTTTTTCATATAATTTTTATTTTAAAATCTTATATTTTTATAAATAATGAAGTAATCAATGAGTGAATTATAGGAGAGCAGATTTTATATATTTTTTTATTTGACAGTGACTTCAAATCAAATGCCATTTCTAATAATAATAATAATAATTCGTACGATAGCTTTAAGCAAAAATTATTATATATTAAGCAYTTTGAAGTCATAAATCTTGAATCGAGACTCCATTGGATAATATAAAACATATTATATAAGTTATAGCAAAGAAATAAATTGATAAAATAAAGTATTTCTTTCTAATTATATTTTGAGATCAAAAATAACTTTCACTTCAAATATGCTGATTCCCAGCCCTTCAGAAAACATAGAAATAATATAAGAAATAAATTCAAGTATTGAGAAATATTTGGAAATGGATGACACATATATTCATATCACGTCTATGTTTGATATGAAAGTAGCAATTCATCTGAAAATTACTTGAAATTTGCACAAATATGACAGCTTCCGAACAACACACACACACACATCTCTTTTGATTTTTGTAATTATAAAACATTTATTTCTTAAACTATTTCTGCTAATAACAAATGTCGACAATTGGGACTTTGCATCAAAAGAGGATTGCATTGATTTGTTTGAAATCGCGTTTCAAATCTCGTATTCAAATGTTTATTATATTTGAATGAAATATTGTATCTCATTTTGATCACAATTAGCTTAAGCGTGATTGACGTGTACTCCCCATAAATACCATACAAACCATCTTTTTGTTGACTCATATTATAAGACTATTATTGAATAAACTGATCAATTGATTAATTTCAAGTCAGACATATATACATCSCATACGATATACTCTTGTAGTTGACTCACGTCTATGAGAGCCAACTCAGGGCACTGTTATCTAAATGTCTTTGAGAAGACATCTCTGACTTCTAACACTCCATATCTCATACTTTTATCAAAATGTTATGAATCTCTCTCACTATTACTGGTCTATGAAATGAGAGTCTCTTTCTCTGAAAAATGATTGTATAAATCAATTTCTTGCCTTAATATTTGACTAATATATGGCCTCTTGTGTTAAGTTTTCAAATAAATCAATAATTGAAGAGCACTTATAAATAAATAAATTATAGATTACAGAGTATAGACATAGCTTAGATTGACGGCTAATTGAAAGGTAAAGTAACAGTTATTGTGATTATTGAATAAATGGTAGAAACAGTTGTCCACATACCAGACGACCGGCCAGATTGTTGTGTAAGTTCATCATCGCTCGGATGTCTCGGTTTTTCTTTCTGGCGGCCCTTTCGGGTGCGTCGACAAAGGTTTTGGCAAATTGCATGCCATACCGTATATTATCGGAACAACCGCCCCATTTCCAGCCCTCCGGGTTGTTATGGCCTTGCGGTGAAAGATCACACGAGCACTCGGTTAGGTTACCGGCCGAACACGCTTGTGATATGGCGTGAACGACACCCGCACTGGTGATGGCGTAAACAAATGCCGTTTCCCTGCTTCCTGTCCGGACATACCATTTATATTTTAATCATACTTTCCAACATATTATTTAATATTTATAATTTTAAGCATTTATGATCATAACATCAGACACTAAGGTATCATTAATATAAAATTCGTAAATAATGAATCACTATATGATTCAATTTAAAATAACTTTATGTCAATTAATAAATTAATATTCAATTAGAAATTCATTCAAAATTATAGTCTGAGTTGTTTTCAAACTAATGTAATATCGTGAACAACATAACGACCCAAACTCCTAGTTCTCATTTATTTTGCTCTTTTAATCGCATTTTATATTTAAATTGCTATACAATTCACGTATAAATTATTAAACAGCTTTCACTCTCTATATCTATACATTAATGTTAATATAGGGAAACGTTAATCTATACTACTTTAGTGTAAATGTTTTGTATAATATATTTAATATTATAAAATCTAAAAAATTTTAATATTTAAGTGTCATTTATATATCTTAAATTATTATTTAATGTTTTTAAATTATACTTTTATTATTCTATAAACATTTATAACATAAAAGTATCTTGTAGTAAATGTTAAAATTAAGCTATTAAAATGTTTATTGCATTTTACATTGATTTTCATTGTAGTATCAAATTATTTATAAACTTTTAAAGTAATTATTTTATAAAGTGTATGTATTAGCGACACCACTAWGATCTTAGTGTTATCGGGACTGTCGTTCAAGTGTTGACCAAATGGCACACAATTGACGGCAAATCTGATTTAAAATGTTCACAAATGCTTTCATTTTGAATAATTGTTACAATAGTTTGAGACAAACCTCTTTGTAAAGTGTGTCCAAATACAGACTTATCTCCTTCAGTGGTACAGTTCCACCGCTCATTTTTGAATTGTTTTTGGCACTCTTGGATGGCCCTCTTGGCGCCCTCACTTACTGCATACATAGCATTAGGATGTCCCTCACATACTTGCAATTGTTTGGACACCAGTCCAGGCATTTTAGCGCAACTACTACTCTCGTGTTGTTCAACTGTGTTTGAATGGGACAGTGAATCCAGCGATGAAGTATACGATGAATAAGAGTTGGACACACTGTTTGAGATGCCGTTTGATATGCCATTAGTTGGTATTGATCCTACATTAGAGGCCATGGCCTGTCCTAATGGTCCTACATTAGAAGCCATGGCCTGTCCTATTGATCCTACATTAGAGGCCATGACCTGTCCTATTGATCCTACATTAGATGCCATGGCCTGTCCCATATGTCTTTCAATATCTGTGCGCATCATATGCTGTCTCATTGGATCTTCAGATATATAATTGTTAACATAATTTGCTCCAAAAATGTTATTTCTTTGTGTGGGAGTCCGGGGAAGGTTTACCCCTACCATTCCTAAGTGCCTATTTATTAAATACATAATTTTTAAAGTGTTTTATTTATTATTTAGAATATTATTCTTAAAAACTATTTATTATAAAAAATCTTGAAAATATGATATATTAATAAATATATTGATAACATAATACTAAATATAATATAACTATTTATTGTTAAAATGAGTTTTTTCGGCACTAACTCTAATAACAGTTATCACACATTATTATGAAAATTTTCGGCACAAAAATTGTAGAAAAACTTTTCATTTTCACTATTCATACAAAAAAAAAATTTGTTTGTAATATCTGTAAGTTAGAGGCGTTTGACTCAAAAATAGGAAATTTAATGAACAACTGATATAAATAAGTACTGTATAAGCATTTCAACTATGAATTCATTGATGAAAAACATACCGAAACTGATATTATATATTATATTCAGAGTCTCTAAAATAAGTGAGACTTTCAATAGTAAAACTAATAATTTTTTCCAAAGTTTAYAATTTCTATCTTTTGGGCTAACATTGACTGAAGTCGTGACACAAGAAATTTTTGCAGAAAATGAAGTTAAAAAATAAATTCATAATTTGTAACTGAATTTTATTATTAAAAATATTTCCAAATTTCTATGTTTGGTGTTTTCATTTTAATATMAAAAACTAATGAATAATATAAAAATTATAAACAAATTAACTTTTCATAGTGTTGTATATTTAAAATATTCTGTAACATTATTGTTATATTGTATGTTAAAATGTAAAAAATAAATATATAAGAGTCAATGAGACTCTAATGGATTATACTATTTAAGACCTCTCTCTTCTCTCTCTCTCTCTYTTTCTCTCTCTTTCTCTCTCTTTCTCTCTCTCTCACTCACTCACTCACTCACTCACTCACTCACTCACTCACTCACTCACTCACTCACTCACTCACTCACTCACTCACTCACTCACTCACTCACTCACTCACTCACTCACTCACTCACTCACTCACTCACTCACTCTCTTTAAGTCAATTCTATAGACAAAACTTATAAACATTTAAAGCATTTTCTCATTTAGAAGTTTTCTTTACTGTTAAGAAAAACTAAACATTACATTAAATTTAAAATACAGGCTATATATACATATGGATGGATAGACATACAACTATAGCTACGGGTGCTTAAAAGCGCCTGAAGGCTAATAACTTATTCTATTGGACTCAAGAAAAGTGCAAAAATATATATAAGTAAAATAAAAAATAATAGCCAGCAATAAACGCCATTAAATTTTGCTAAATTTTTTTAACTGAGACAACAAAAACACATTTGACTACCAATTAATATCAATCATAAAAACACTGAAATTATTTATAGTCCTTTCTTTTGTTTATTATTTTTGGCACATTTTTATGTATAATGTTTCAGAGAATTGATTTTATTATTATTGTTATAAACGTAATCAAAAGTTATTGTTACACTACTAGATTGGCAACAAAAACGTAATTATAAGGCAAACAATTTTTAGTTTTTCGTTTAATTTATATTTTTATACAATAATAATGAATTTTCGGAAGTTATTCACCACTATTTCGAGGCATTTCTATAATTGATGATATCTGGGGTCGTGTGTCTCATTGGGCAATACATTGCCATTGATTTGGTCACGGATTTAGCCACAAAAATAGAGAGAGAGAGAGAGAGAGAGAGAGAGAGAGAGAGAGGTGTAATTATTTTTAGAGGTTAGAGGTAAGCGTCAAAAGTAACTAGTATGTTTAGTGAGTTTAGTATTTTTAGTATATAGAGAAACTGTATGTTTATATTAGATATTTACATATTTTTTCTTTTAGTAAAAGTTTGTTGTATTGATTTTATAAAAATATTTTCTTTAAATTTATAATTATAAGTCAATATTAAATTTGGGTATTTATTGTATCCGTAAAGCATTAAAATTCCCGGTGCTATGAGATTGTCATATATGTAAATCCCAATAGACTATAGAAGAGAATGTGAGAAATAAGTTAACAAAGTTATTGTTATTAATGATTACAATAAAATTATTATTAAATATTGACCAAAAATATATGTTAGATAAGTAGTGGTGTATTATGTAATATAATATTCAATTTATAAATATGCATTAAATAAACCACTTATTAAGCGATTTTTAGATATTATATTTAGTATATAATTACTGATGAGTGACACACGTCAAGTGATAGTATAAAATATCAGAATAATATTAATTAATATAATATGTTTTTAACAATAATACTTTCAAAGAASATTAAATGTTAAATAATTTTTTTAACTTATTTAAGTAATTTAATATCATTTTAGTAAAATTATAAAATTATTTATTTTTATTTGTGAGATACAATATGTCATATTTAATTTCTTACTGTATTTTTTAGTATTTTAAATAATAACTTTAAATAAATATTATTATATAAAACTTGAATTATAAAAGTAATAATTGTTGAATTCAAGATTTAAAAATATTATAATAATTAAGATAATTTCAGCATAAAAAAATCATACTATAACTTAATTAATAAAATTAAATAATTTGAAGTAAACTTACATCCAGTTGGCCATTGACTGACTATTAGTGAGTGTTATCAAAGATGTAATTAACAAAATATAAAATTCATTGAATGCAATCATTTTTCTGGTTTTATTTTGATGATAAACTTTGCTCAATAAAAGACACAATATTTTACCTAAATATAAGGCACATAATTTGACACAAATAAAACAATTTATAAATAAACGATAGAAAAATTAGCCAAACGTATACATCAACTAAGATATGATGCGATAAACTATTTCATTGATAAATAATTGAAAGCAAAGAGAAATCTATTATCGTTTTAAATAATAGAGAAATTCTCGTTTGTGTTTGAGTTCATACATCTCAACAACACATGAAATGATGTTTAAGTGATTCACTACTAGTGAGACAAACACTGAGATTTCAAATATAAGCGTATATTGAATAGCATTTACCACAAAACGTGTGAATATAACAACACCACCGGTGGTATATTGAGAGTGTGTATCACTGAGAGAGACACCAAACTTTAAGCCAATCCGTAAGTCCTTTAGGGCGGTTCAGGCTTGCATTGGACAGCCTATCAATAGTCTGGTATTCGGAGCAAAAAAACGTCGGTTTCCCGATATATAACTAACACTAAATAACATTAGATACACAATAATAGTAATTGTGATCCGTTTTCTGATTACACACAACACTGTATATAACATTATATTCTTTATTTATATATACTGTATGTATATATTGTCTAAAAGGTGTTGTCGTGATTGCCTGATCTCCAGTATTACAGTCAGTATTACAACAATTTGTGTTATGTTTTAGGCGTGGAGTTGCACTTTGCGTGTGTTTTGCCGTATATTTGATTATTAAAGAAACAACAATTACATTGAAAGCATCACTTAAATATAGCAATATATTGCTTATATACAGACCAACAACAACAATAAAATTATTATTCACTTATTTATTATTATTATTATTACATAACACACGCTAATTAAGACATCGGTCATCACACACGTGAAAGCAAATATTGAGTGATTGCAATAAATGTATGAATTTTATTACTTATTATATAATGCATTAATTTATTGAAATGCTTGAGGCATTTAATAGCAATAAACAACATATAATGCATAATAGAGAAGAATATTTGAAATAAATTTTACCAAAATTCTGATGTATAGCGTGTGTGGTCTCTCCCGTGCCTTAAACTCATTGTTTGTTAGATATTATACATAACAGCTTAGGTGTTATGCACCGGAATATCTGTATGTATGTGCCGCTACATAGCTTTTTAATAAAGCATCTCAACTGTCTGTATTTTGCTAATAAATAATTATAATGTTTGAAATTGTTTTTACAAAAGCAAAAATATAAGTCAATTTTGTGAGAAAAATTTTATTATGCATTTTAAAAGGACAGCTCTGACTCAAACAAATTTTTGATGTTATAATTATAATACTGTATAATGCATTTGACTCTTGTATTATGATTATCATAAATATCTAATTTTAAATAATAAATAGAGCAAACACATGATGTGCACCGGCAATCAAATACAACCAATTTAGACAACTAATGTCTCAAAATTATATAAACAAGATCTACATCAGGCATATAATAGATGTACATTAACTTTGCATATAATGGTCACTAAAAAATTATACAAATATTTCTCTGTTTATTATTATGTCTACTTAAACATCACGACAACAGATAAAAGAGTTATAATAATATATCGTTTTTTAACATTAATTATWTGTGAGACCCCTTAAAGTGTATATTTTAAGCATTTTTGTTTGAAAGCTTAAAATTCAATTCTTATTTTAAATGAACACTTAAATTGGTGTTTGAAAAACAATTTTAAAATTTTTCTAAATTTTAAGTTTTGTTTTTAAAATTAATGTATATTTTCATTCAATTGGCTATAATTTCTCTTTTGTTCTTCATTACCATTTTAGCTACTCCTCCACTGAAACAAGAGGAGAGAGAGAGAGAGAGCATAGAGAACATAGAGAGCATAGAGAGCGAAGAGAATGAGTATGAGATGGGTTAATATACGGCACTATTGCAAAGGTTTTGCCAAAGAAAAGAAAAATAATTATTTTGGTCGAGACATAAGGTATTTAAAGTATAGAGTATGAGAGCAAATGTATTGAATTGAGAGAGAAGAGAGAGAGAGAGAGAGAGAGAGAGAGAGAGAGAGAGAGAGAGAGAGAAAAGTGTTAGTGAAGGGCAATACTAGTGAGCCTTATAATAGTGTATCGCAATATTTAAAACCTGACAGTGGGGTACTCTAAGCCATTATATCGTATTGAATGTAAAAAAGTTGTTCATTTTACACATTTTTACACCTCATAGGCATTACATTTGGATTTTTGAGAGGCACTCCAAAACTACATTTGTAAAACATCCTCAACAAATAGATACTAACTTATATATATATATATATAACTTTGTACAGTATGTGTGAATGTAAGTGTGTGTGTGTGTGTGTGTGTGTGTGTGTGTGTGTGTGTGTGTGTGTGTGTGTGTGTGTGTGTGTGTGTGTGTGTGTGTGTGTGTGTGTGTGTGTGTGTGTGTGTGTGTGATTTTTAATATAATTGATCATAGAATTAACCTATTTTTATATTATTTTTCTAATTAAGAAAATTATAATTCTGGTATTAATTATCATTACATATTATAAATAAATTAGAATATATTAATGCAATGCATATGTATGTRCTATAAAATATTTAGTAAATATTATTTATTGCCCAGAAATATATATTTGATAACAAACGTAATAAATTAGAAAGAATGAGTTAATTTAAAAAATCATTTACAATARACTATAAATGTTAAGATTATCAACGAAATACAGTTATATATCCTATACAATACATACTTTAATTTTGATATATAAATATTAGATCTATTATATATGTTATAGATTATCATAAATGGTATGTTTTATATATATATTTATAAATTATAAGTGAAGTATCATATAATGAAAAGCAGTTGAAATGAGTTAATCAGAAATATGTTTGAATGTATTGTTTCATTAGTACTTTGAATAGTTATTTGAAAATATATCTCTCAATTCACTTCAATTCAATTCAATTCACATGAGGGCAATAGTATTTGTAAGATCTATACGGTATAACTCATAGCAATCTCAGTGTGAATATTCACTAATAGCCGATACTTGTGGACAATGTATAAGTAGTTTTCTCTGTCAATGGGTAAGAGGTATAGCTTATAGGTCTTGATGTTGTTCACACACCGCAATAAAGGACACGCTGGGCACCGGTGGGTACCGGTGTGTCGGTCAAGTTGTATGCTTTATTGCGGTGTATGAATAGTATGAATAGCACATAAGCAATATCTCTTAGCTATTGACAGAACTTGTCCACAAGTATCAGCTATTAGTGAAAATCACACACAAAAACATTTGTAGACCAGTATTACCTTTTGTGAGCCCTATTGTCAATATATGGTCTTTGAAAATACATTGCAAACATACAAACATACCATATATACCAAACATACATAAGTGAATATATATGGCGAATGAGCCGTCAATAAATACCTTTAAATAATGACCTGAATAAATACCTTTCCTTTTGAAATATACATACAATAAGTGAGAGAAAAGAGAGAAACTTAACTCTCAATATTTGAATCCCACAATTCATGTCTATTGATGTCTATCTAATTTACAATGTTATTATATTTTTGTTTGTCACCAATTTTGTTGGACAATTTAATTTGCCTTAATTTTTACAACCTATATATATATATATATATATTTATTTATTTAACTTTAGAAYTTACTAAAAATTTTATCCAATGTTTTAATTTTGGGACTAATTATACAAATTGTTTATTTTAGACAAAAAATGTACAATATTAATTATTAATTATATTATTAAATTATTTTTAACATCATTAATTAAATACCTATTATTTGTAATTTATTTTTCTACAAACTTTATACGTTTTTAATTAAAATAAATTAAATCAATAAAAAACTTTAATTATATTAAATTACCAGTCTTTACATTTATTTTATTAATTATAATATAAACATAGCATAGTTTACCAAAAATTTACATATTAAATAATTTTAAGTAAAAAACTTATTTTAAACTGAAAACACTTTGTAATCACAATACTAGTGAATTGGTGTACAATATATCGATATTGTTTCTGTGGCTAAACAGCACAGCATCATCAGCACCGGTGCACTGTTTTTAGTCATTGATATTGATGATGGTGTGCAGTTTAACCACCGAAACAATATCGATATATTGTACACCAATTCACTAGTATTGTAATTACAAAATGTTTTCAGTTAAAAATAAGTTTTTTACTTAAAATTATGTATCAAAATAATTACAAAKTGACCAATAATTCATATATATTATAGTTATATGAAAAACATATATTGGAATAAATTTTTAAAAAATTGTTTTTTGAAATCTATACAAGCGTTTGTGTGTATGTATGTGTGTGTGTGTGTGTTTGTGTGTGTATGTATGTATGTGTGTGTGTGTGTGTATGTATGTATGTATGTATGTATGTATGTGTATGTGTTTGTGTGTGTATATGTGTTTGTGTGTATGTATGTGTGTGTATGTGTTTGTGTGTGTATATGTGTKTGTRTGTATGTATGTGTGTGTATGTGTTTGTGTGTGTATATGTGTTTGTGTGTATGTATGTGTGTATGTACTGTATACACTGTATACTATACAGTATGTGTGTATGTGTTTGTGTATACTATACACTGTATAGCATTTATCGCGAATTTTGAAATTCTGATTTCAGATTCGGTATTACATAAAAAATAATGTATATGTGATGATTCTCAAAATTGACCATGTTCACATTGTGAACATTGTGAACATGGTCAAAATGGTCAAAATGGTCAAAATGGTCAAAATGGTCAAAATGGTCAAAATGGTCAAAATGGTCAAAATGGTCAAAATGGCGAATAACTAAAAAATTTTCAAAATATCATGTCTTTAACCGAAACAAAAACCAGGTTTTTTTAAATGAAAAATATTTATTTAGGTCTTAAAATACATTTATTGATAATAATTAAAGCGCGGAAACTTGTTTTTTAACAATTAATTTTGAGGATAATTAAAAGTAATTTAGTATTTAAATGTCTTGAAAACAAACAATTTTTATTGTAAATTATTAATTTTAATTAGTTTATAAAAGTTTATAAAAGTTTATAAAAGTTTATAAAAGTTTATAAAAGTTTATAAAAGTTTATAATGGTTAGTTAGGCGTGGGTTAAAATAATGGCCGATAGATTTAGTGGTATTAGATTAGTGTATATTTATTGAAATTAAGTTTAGTTTATGTTAAGCAACACAACGATTAATACAATGTATATTACAAACAACTAAAATACTATTTTCATATTAATTGTAATCAAAATTAATTGTCAAAAACAAGTTTCCGCGCTTTAATTTTTAACAATAAATGTTTTTTAGATCATAAATAATTGTTTTTTAATTAAAAAACTTAATTTTTGATGTTATACCAAAAGTGCAGTTTAGGCATCAATTGTCCATCAATTTAATTCAACTAATTTTATAACAATAAAATAATTGTAATTTTTATGTTCAGTGATATATCTGTAAACAATTTGTATGAAAATATAGTTTAAAATAACATAACATATCCAACATCCCTGAGCTAACATTGCTTTCAATTTACAAACAACTGTATACTATTTGATAGTTATGGTTATATTGTATTTAACAATATTAATGTATTAATGTATTAATTATAATATAAATATTTGAAAGTTATTGAAGAAAATGTGTTGTCAATACTTTTACATATAAATTGATTGTTCACAACAACTAAACCATATAAAYCATATAAATATCTAAACTTGTATTCACTTATCATTTATATTCATATATTGATATTCAATATTGAAATGAATGCATAACTTTGAAGGACATGCATATGAGGTATATCCCAGAGCTATATCCCAGAGCTATATCCCAGAGCTATATCCCAGAGCTATATCTTATATTAATAGCTATTTGYAACAAACTATCTGTAATATGAATAATAAGACAGACATTGATCTATAGTATAGATTCTATACCTATATTAGTGTTGATATGAATTATATATTAATAAATACTTAATCAATAAATGGTTTGATTTTTCTATTGACTATTGTATTGATAATACATTTGTATTAATATTAATACATAATGTGTTGATTGCATACAAATCACACATCAATGCACTGCTTATCACATGTTTATAGTCACGTAATGAACACACAATCAAATCATATTCACATACATTACGACTCATATGTTTGAAACCCTATGTAGAGTCACACATATATAACGTTACTCTTATGTTTGGTGTGGTTGTCATTGACTGATAACTTATAGTTTAAGTAAATATTTGATTAATTGTTGTTTTTAATAAAAACAACAATTAATTGATTAAATATTTAACTCATTTGTTGTGTTTGTCAGTGATATCCACTTTAAATGAGTTGTTATATTGTTTATCACTTAAAGGGATCTCATATATAGTGATAATAAAAGTGATGACATTTAGTGATGTTTTGATTGAAACTACGACTCAATGATTGAAACGTATGTAATGTTTGTTTGATTGAATTGAAAGTGACTTTTAATGTTAATATTGGTATTGAAAACAATCAGTCAATTATTTGATCACAACTTTTATCACTCAATTGATCCAAAAAATTAGTGATTTCATCAATTGATGTCAATGTGAATGCAATGAATGGATTTGTTGTGTCCTCTCGTCTCAATGGATTTGCTGCCAAATCGATGGCAATACTGACTAATGTCTACAGACAGAGACAATCAGTAAGATGTATATCGATTGCGGCCAACAAGTGGTCGCCAATCAACCGAAATGTCGACAAAAAKACGACTGAAGTCAAACACAAAGAGATGTCTTTGCGTAATGAAATGGTTCAACGGATCACTGCTTGTGGACCACTGACTGTTGCAGAGTATATGCAAATGGTATTAACGCATCCCATCTCTGGTTTCTATATGAATGCAGATGTCTTTGGATCTAAAGGACACTTCACTACTTCACCAGAAATATCACAAATATTTGGAGAGGTTTGTCAACATATTGATTACTATAACGAATCAAATAATGTCTTAATGTATTTATTTATACAATTAGTTGATCGCAGTTTGGATCTTAAATGAATGGCAGAGATATGGATGTCCTAAACCATTGCGTATCGTAGAGATGGGTCCCGGAAGGGGAACACTGGCCGGTGATATCGGACGAGTGATGTCACAGTTTTCACACTCGAAAGACGTCACTTCATTGCATTTGATAGAAATCTCACCGCATTTGACACAAATTCAAGAACAGAATATCTGTGGAACCGTTAGTCTGATTGAGCGCAACGAGAATGCCATTGATGGTCGTCACAGTGCACTCACTCAGACTGGTCTTCCTATCACTTGGTATCGATCATTAGATCAAATGCCTGTCAAGTCTGGATTCACGGCTATTATTGCTCACGAGTTTTTGGACGCACTTCCCATTCATAAGTTTGTCGTATGTTTTCTATGATTTATTTAATAATATTTTGTAAATATTATAATTGTATATAATTTAGAAATCACCGTCTGGTCAATGGAGAGAAGTTTTGATTGATTGCGACCAGAATAACGAATTGCGGTATATTATAGCAAACAATGACACCCCGGCCTCCAAATTATTTGTTGACCCAACACTCTCTACTGACAATCTGGAAGTGTGTCCACAGGCAGCTCTTGTCATGGATCAAGTAATCAATAGATTTAGTCATAAAAATCCAGGTATTAATTAATATTAATTAAATACTTATTTTTATATTATTCTCGTATATAAAATAGACATTTTATATACAATTTTATAAAACCTGTAAATCGATTGTAATTTTATTTTGTTTATATTATCGTAATAATTGCATTGAGTTGTAAATAATTATTTTCTTTAAAGCTATAAATAGTTTAGGCATCTTTGAAAAAATGAAATTTTCCAAATAAAATTCCTCAAATTTTACCGTAAAATTAGGAAAATATTTTTAATTATTCATTCCTATTCATTTAGAAGGAATACACTATACGCCACACATATTGTAAATAACTTTATTTATTTGAATTTAACTGTTAATAATGACAAAATCAATAATTTAATTATCATAAAACATAAAAAATCATTAAAATAAAATGTACAAAAACTAGAATATTAAACAACATTTCACTGGAATATTTAAAAAATGAATAATTTATTATATTCACTGATATTATGAACTCAATATACAATTTAAATATACAAAACATAATGTTTTGACATTTTATGATAAAATCATTTATGAAAATTGATGGTAATTTTGTTATAATTATTTTCTGAAAAATTATAATCGATATAAACTACTGTATAATACATGTACCGTATATTGTATTTAATTTATTATTTGAAGGATGTTTCTTGGCGTGTGATTATGGATATGACAACAATACACAAAACAGAGATACATTTAGAGCTTTTAGGGACCACCAAATATGGGATCCACTTCGAGAACCGGGAACCGCTGACTTGACCGCCGATGTCGACTTCGGATATCTCAAGCGACACATAAAAGACAAAGCAACTGTTTTTGGAACTGTTACTCAACAACATTTCCTTAAGAGTTTGGGAATTGATTTGAGACTTTCAGTAAGCTTTACTTATATTATTTTTATCGATAATAAATTCATTTGTTTTTATTTTTAGCAATTGTTGAATGAGGCAAATGAAGAGCAGAAAAAAGATTTACAAAGTGGTGTCGATATGCTTCTCAAGGAAATGGGAGAGCGATACAAGTTTTTGGCTGTTTTTCCATCAAATTATACGAAAACATTTGCAGACATACCTCCTGCGGGATTCGTATAAATATTTTTGACAATTTAATGATACTGTATATCAAATTTTATTAGCATTTAATGTAACAAATATTTTGTGCCATTCATTAAATTTGAATAGCCTTTTGTGAGCACTGATGTCTAATAGTGCGCAATAAATACAGGTATATATCAGACATAGATTATTAAACAATTACCGTATATAAAGGTATAATTATTGGCACTCATATGATGAGTATTTACGTAAATATATACGTAATTAACAAATAAATGAAAGGCTATATTATTTACATAAATTTAACTATTGATAAACAATTATTACAAATAAATCGATTTACAAATGTTTGTTTGTATTAAATCTTTTTTTATAATGTTTTTAAAAAACGAAAATAAATGTTGAGCAATACTTATGATGTATATTTATATATTTTAAATGTTATAATAATAATATATAGATATAAAAATAAAATAATTAAAATCCAATCAAAATTGTCATTTGTTTTATACTTAATAAAAACGACACTTAAAAACTTTAAAATATAAAAATAAAAACTATTTTAGGTCTTAATATAAGCCGTCATAAAGTAAATAATACAATTTGTGGAACAGTTAGCACTTAGTTATCCCTGAACATCGATTCCTGTGGCAAATACAGAGATTAGCTGACAGTGCACTTTGACGTGAATGGCCGCCTCATCCACTACTTCTCCATCACAGTTCCAGACACTGGCGTTCATTAATTGAGCCCTATTTGTAGATATAGTGTTGGGACCAACAATCGGATTGAATTCAAATTCACGAACTCGATAAACATCAACAAAGTTGAGATCAAACTATAATTATTTAGTAAATTCAATAAATTTGAGATAATATTAGTAAATCATAAGATACTAACCGGGCTTTTAGATGACATAGCAGTGCGTAACAGATATTTTAAATACTCGAGTCTTGAACACTGCGAAACCAAAATCAGATCAGTACAGCCATTGCCTAAATGAGCTTTGGGTGAGATTCCGTTTTTGGTCATTTTGCACCGGCAGGTCATTGTGGCCGCATTAATGGCTAGAAATTTGCCGCGTATTGATATGCAAGCTATGAATTAATATAAAATAAGTTTTATATAAAACAGTGTTTAATATAATCATCGAAATACCGGGAGAATCATCTTCATTGAGTTGATCTCTCTTTTTCAGCACTGCTTTCGCACATATTTCACAACTATAATTAAAATGCAATATACAGTATATATTAATAATCAATAATAATTAGATTTAAAAAAATATTTAATGTTTTAATTAAATACATACTTATTGGTACAAATGATGTTATCTTTTGGAGAGCCATCACTCGGTTCAATGCAAAGTTTTATTTCTCCGGAATAAAGTCTATGTCTAATAAACTTTTTAATTCCGGCCCAATCATACCTCTTAGGTCCCATCCATCTATTTGATTCACTATCCGCTATAGTATCACCAAAAAAACCATAGCCTAAGAATGAAGTTGAATATCTGATAAGTTTTTCCTCTCCTCTGTGATGGACAGCGCAGACATCAATATTCAGTCGTTTGCCTAAAACAATAGCAATGCTAGAAGTCATGGGATCATTGATTCCAGTGGTTCCATAAGCAACTGCGTCTGTAGAACCGGCAGGTATTACACCCAAAACTGTTTTTGCTGGTTTCAAACTGTTATCAACTGAGTGCCAATTAATACCATTGTCTCTCTGTGTTCTTATCAATAGCCCGTTTAACAATTCGGCAAACATACCATCCCCTCCAACACTTATTAACCCATCATAGCTTGAAATCCTAATTTGTGGGTCAAGTATAATGTCTTTTGCGTGATTGGCCCGTTCGGTGACAACACAGTCCACTTCAATTGACGCCAATTTAAAGATTGGAAATACTTTATTCTCATATATTTTGCGCCCTTTTCTGTTACCACCGAATGGATTCACAAATACGAGTAAACGTTTCGGTCTCTTATAACCTAATTATTAATAATTGTTTTTTTCAAAATTTAAGTAATTATTTACATTAAAAACATACCATCAATAATATCACGTATTCTTTTAACATAATTGAAAAGAGCGCTATCAGTGTATGTGTGATCAGTTTGAAAGGTAAGGAATTCCACTTTCCAACCGTGTTTTCCCATAGGAATGGCATAATATAACTTAACAAATGTCACCTTATGTTCAATTGGATCGTCTATTAAGATATCGTTTACAACACAATCGCAGATCAATTTCTTGGTATTGATTTTCGGACAAAAGCACGTCCGCACTGATATCACTTGTGATAACGGGATTGTTGTTCGCGCTATACATTCAAATAGAAATTACAAATTACATCATTTATACAAATTTTGTCTAATTTATACAATATTATGTATTATCGTCTTAATTAAAGTGTATTACATTTTATTCAAATAATATATTTCGTAATAACTATAAAATTTTAATAATTGACACGTCTATGAAAGTTAATATCTTAATAATTGTTTACAGGATATTTTAATTCAAAGTAAATTATTTATTGCATAAATTACATTAGTATTTAGTAATAATAAAAATGTTTATCTTTCTATTATGCAATATATTTTAATACAATAAATGCATTAACATGACATAAAACAGTATTGCCTTAATTTGATATAATATAAAATTTAATGAAACTTCAATCTGTTAAATATATACATATAATCATTTAATATAATTACTGTACTGTACATGTATTTCTTATACTTTATCAATAAAATAAAACAAATATTATTGTTAAATATATAGAAAATTAATTTATAAAAATGTTTTTGAAGGATATAATAACAAATGAAATGTAAATATTTTTAATGTATTTTTCCAAAATAACAATTTACTAAAAGACAGCATATATTTGGCATTCAGTTTGCCATATATTTTAAATCTACATATAGTATGTATAATATTTATAAAAATAAAGCTGTCTAAATAATACCATTAAATCCATAACTTTTTATTTGTTATTTATATTAACTAAATTATTCTCAAAATTTGTTTTCACTTTAGCTTTAATTCTTTAACAATTATATTCATGTATTTGCAATAATCAAAATAAACAAATTTGTGACTAAATATTTTGTATTATTCCAATATTTATAAAATATATGATTACAGTACTTAATAGAAGAATTTAAATGCAAATACATAATAGATAAATGTCAATATTTTAAATTATAGTTATATTAAATGTGTAAAATCACTTCAAAAAACTTCAAATATGTTAACTAAGATTTATGTAATTTACAATTTTGGTAAAATTCAAATATCATATAATCTATGGTTTCATATCATATATCCATTTGAGTGGTAACTAATAGTTATTTTATTTTTTATACATATTTCCATATGTAATGTAATTACACAATTCACTTGTTTTTTACACAATTTTCCTCATGCATTAGTGAATAATTTTGTAGTTTTTWAAAATAAAATTATATGTATTTTACGATTTAAAGAACAAAATTACTAAATATGATATTTATTATATTATATATAATTTATTGCCTAATATTTAACATTAATATACTGTATAATTATATCATAATTTGTATCAAATAAAATGACATTCAGTTAGTATGTACTTTATCTATAAATTCGTTTGTGTAAAAATTTATAAATATAATATAAATAAAAATATTAAATTTATATAAAAAAATCATTATAATAAATTTATATACTGTATATATCTCTAGTCAGGTAATTAGTTTCTAATCAGGTAATTAAAACAAATTGTAAATTTATTACTCATAGAAACAATAAAAATCATTAACTTAATTAAAATAAATTATAAGGTTTTTATTATCAAATTAAATGTCTAACTTTCAACAACAAAACCACATCATAACTGAGTTTAATAAAGTAAAAGTTATTTAGTCAAGGATTCACTAAGTCATTGAATTGTAGCGCATATAATCACTGCAATAATAATAAATGTTTTATTAAATTAGTTTAATATGATATGATATCAAGAAAAACCCATTAATAAAAATAATAMAGAGTTTGATGTACTGATGGGTCAAATCAATGTCAAAATTATTGTATATCAAAAATTATTTATTTAAAAAAGTTACATTACATCAAATAGCTTTAAATAGTTTGGCACTTAATTAAACTAAAAAATTTAACCCAATATTTGAATTAATGTATAATGTTTCTCATGTCATATTATAATATTTGCATTACTCGTAGAGCATTGGACTGGATATTCACACATATTGTATGCCAATTATACCATTCAAAACAAAAACAAAATAATAATTGCTATAATTAAACAAAATATTTTCTTTATGCTTTATTTTTTAAAAATAGGGATATTTTTTCTATGGCTGATTCAAGTTTGTTAAGAAAAAAACAAATTATAATAGAATTATATATATATATATATATAATTGTATTATTAACTTTATTTTAACAAAAATTTATTTAAAAAATATAAATTACTCAACCATATTAAAGCTAATAAAATGTTATTTTTTAAATATAATAAATCGATTATATAATCGATTTAGTCTTATTTCAAAACTAATCTGCAACTAAATGCCTTATTATTGCACACATTATTGGTTTTATAATATATATCATAAGTTTATTAATTTATTGTTTTATCGTTAAAGGTTTTTTAAGTTTAAACTTTATAAGACATAATTTAACAAAATTGAAACTTTTTTTATCAATAATTGTTTTACTTGAAGACTTTTTGCTGGCTATAAATCTAATACTGTATAATGTTTGCTCTCATTTTACTGTATCAGCAATTGATATCTGCAAATGTAAGGGTCAGGTCAATCCACACCAGTAGTACATTGAGAATGAGTTATCGGACACAAAAAGCCAGTTATCAATTAGTTGGTTGATTTGGCATCGTTTTGATACAACAAATAAATGGATAATAATGTAACATTTGTGTGCTCTTCATATCAAACAGGTTTATGAAGATATATTAGACTTCCTATTTGTCTATTAAAATGAGAGTACATTTTAATTTAATAATTAAATTGTTGCAAAACACTATCAAAAAATCATTAAATTAATCCAAACAAAACTGTCGAAATAAAATTTTAACAAATATGACATATGTTTAAATAATAGTTAATTAATTAATTGTGGTTATTAGTTAATGACTAATAATAATAAGCTATTAATAATCGTTTATTTCATTAAATATCTTTGTTTTAAAACTAATTAGAAATAGTTTTCAATAACACTTCCTATAAATGATTAGTCCTTCCGATATATGTAAAGCACAATTCATAAGGCAATGTCAATGTATTGCATTGAAAACTTTTAATAAATTAAATTTAATACATATATTAATATTCAAGGAATAGCCACAACAAATAAATACAAATTATTTCAAACTTTATTTAGGGTTTTGGGCAATAAATTTGATTTTCATTATTTAAAAACAAACTAATTTATATTATAATTGTTTCTATTCGGCAATACATTGTTAAGAAAAATAAATAATAGTAAAATATAATCTCACATAAAAATAATGCTATAATTTATATATTAATAAATATTAGTGAAGGACAATAATTAGTAATCATAAACGCGATCTCAATGCTAATGTAGTGTCAATTATATTACTAAATGATAGCTAAACTCTTTTGTTATCAATTTATAAATAAACTAATTATTATCATAATATTTTTCCAAATATTATTTATCTTAATAATTGTTTTCATCGTTTTTCTAATAATAGAAATACTTTTACTCTTAATAAATATTATAAAATGACATTGAAGTTTCATATGTTATAAACAATAATACATTATTTGTAAATAACATTAAAATGCATTGAAAATAGACTTAATTATTAAATTTATAAAAGTGATAAACCAGATTATAAATTTATTATATTTTGAGATTTAAAAACAAAAATACAGTATAAATTAAAGATAGAATCAATTATARTTGATTTTTTTTATTTTTAAATAATTTTATATATTGTTATGATCAGTTATCTATTAACAAAAACATATTTATTAAAATATGTAAATAGTTMATTTTTATATTTTTAATTCATTAATTTAATTAAAACTAAGTTAATACTTATTAAAGTACAAAATTATTTTCAAAAAACRCAAATGAAAAGTTAAAAATAATTTWTTTWWAAAAGTTATATATACTATAAATTATACTAAAAACTTAACTAAAGCCAAAGTATTGCATTTTAAATGAAAGCTAAATACTATTAATTTTTAATTACCATTTTATTGTTTACCAATAATGAAAAATTATATTTTTGAAAATACTATAAATAGCATTTTAAATTGCAATTCTATAGTATTTTATATTGATTATAATTTATTTTATTTTTAGGCAATGAATTTCAGTTGTAATTGTTATAACATAATTTGACAGTAAATTTTAATATAATAAAGATTGATAATAATTATATAATTCGTGGATAAATTAGAAATTAATTATATTTATATTATATGATACTGTAATTTATTAGATAATATTTGACATCTAGTAGTTATAATATAAWAAATCACTTATTCGTAATTTCAATATTTGATATTACATAATTTTAACTGTATGTATACATATCTAACAAAATATTTTTGATTTAACCATTGAATATTTGAGATAAGGTCAATATTAAATAATTATAATTAAAATAGCATAACATAAAAATACTATATAATTAAATGTGTAATTAAAATATTTTTTTATACATATRAAAAACATAATGTAGGTTTATAATTTTAATTTAAAACTTAATTAGATACTAATATAATGGAATATAATTTAAGTAACTAAATTAAGTATAATCAACATTAAAATTTTTAGATTATATCGCAATATAGCTATATTTATTATTTTACAATAAATACAATTGTATAATATATATATAATATATATATATATATATTGAAAAAGGAAACCATTAAATTATATACCATAAGACATATAAAGTAATAATTTTAAAAATTATAGGAAACACAAATATATATAATTTATATATTGTGCAAAAATTGTCTAAAATTGAATTTTACACACTTTTTTCCTTTGTATGTGAAAAGACCTTCACATTAAATAATAACAATAATATTAGTGTAAAAATAAATTATTATGAAAATTCCTTAAAGAAAAATAAAAACATAATTTAAATGTAAAACAGATAGTGTTTGAGCCACTTGTTTATACTGTACTTATAGTTATATTACAGTAACTATTGATTTGACGTTTACTTTCGGTGACCCCAAAAGCATCCCATATATTGAATGCATTCTTTATGAGACCGACTTTCACTGCCGGCACTCACTTTCCCTCCCTTTCTCTCTCTCTCTCTCTCTCTATCTTTTTCAATGCACACATACAGGTATACTCACGACAACTATAAAGCTTTCTATGACCTAATTTTGATAATTATAATAATAATAATAAAATGTTTAAAATGAATCCAAATCTTCAAAATACAATACAATAATAATAATATACATATCCGTAATTTGACTCGTATTGCATAAGCACATCATTGAACGGACAGATCATGAAATCTATGGACTTTTTTATATGCAAAACATGTTATTATTGTATTACAAGAATAGTTTATTATTATATTACATAACTTTTTAAAGAAATACTGTCATTAAAAATAATAACAAAATTAAACGCATTGTCTGTTACTCATAGATATTGCCAAATCTTTGCATAAAAATATTTAAGAAAATTATGATTTTTTTTTCTTTAAAATATATTCTATGTAATAGTAATCCCTGTCCTCAATTCCCTCAATTCCCGTTATAAACATTTAATTACAATAATATTAAGACTATATTAATGAATTTCATTCTTGAATTTTCGCTAAATTAAAGAGAGAGAGAGAGAGAGTTTCATAATCGTCACAAAAAATGCATTTTCACGAACTATTACTATAATATTATAAAACAAATACATTAAATTGCATTTATTGCTGAAATTAATGAATTATTTGTGTCACTCGTCACCTGATTAAAGGCATTTAAACCATATAATGTAATATCGTTTTATGATTAAGTAATAACTTTAATTAAAAACGGCAATAAATTTTTAATTCACAAATAATCATATTATATTTAAATGATTTACATAATAAAAAAATAATATTCATAATATAGTTTATACTATATAAAATAACTAATTATTGTAAAATATTAATTTAAATTAGAAAACAATTTTATACAATAAGTATAATTTGCTTTATCATTGATAATAACAATAAAAACATTATTCCTAATATGTTACAATAAAATTAATAGTTGACCATAATTTAGTTAATATACTATATTTCATTATAACTAATTTCAATTGTAATTTTACAAAATAACGTGTCATCATTACAACAAATATTATTACTGATTAACACCCATTTTTTAGAAATACTGTTGTATTAATTAATTATTTTATTAAAAATAAATATATATAAAACTTGTTTCAAATTGTGTAAATTATAATGAGTTTTATTTTAATTATTTTATTAGAACACGGAAACCAAATGTTTACTAATTAAAAATTATAATATTGATGTTATTTAAGTTAAAAAAATATTTATTAAAAATATTGTTTTGTATGTTAACATTGTTTGCATTAAAATCTGAATTGCATTTATGATTCATTTTTAAAAATACGAATACAATAACTATAACAAAACAATTCCGGCATCCCTTTCCTAAACTTAAATTTATTAAAAATGCATTATTATATTTGAATTCATTTCATAATAGATATAATATTAGTGACTTAATTTTCATTAAAAAGTTATACAATTTTAATTAAATATTAAATTCATTAACAAATTAAATCTAACTTATAATCTAATATTACATTTCAAATTTTATAACACTTTTGTACTTATAAAATGTATTACTAATACAGTGATAAAACATAAGGTTATATAGTAATATCTGTAAATGTCAGTAAATTGTGACAATTTGTGGTCATCGATATTATCAGTTTTTATGTAATCTTATCTTTTGAGGTATAACTGAGTATAATGAGTTGTTTCAATAATACTTGTTATCTTTGATTGACGTAATAGTAATTATTAAATAACTTTGATTTTTTCACTTTATTGTCACAAATGTATTGTCAATAACAGCTAACTAACATTTTGTTATAATATAAATTAAATATACATTTGCATATATAATGAATATTCTGTTATATAAATATAATTTGCCAACTCATATAGCAGTGCACTGAAGTTCAATCAATACAATAATTGCTATAAATAATGTATAAATAATAAATGCTATTTTGATATTAATATTATTATGGAATATAATATATTTWTATTTTTAAATAAACTTCAATTTATATATAAATTATATGCTTATTATAAATATTGATTTTAAAACAATAAATTAAAGTTGACATTAAACCAATTACACTATATATTCAATTTGAAATAACTAAAGAATATTCTTTGAATATATCAAAAATAATTCATTACTTATTGATATAAATAAAACAATAGACTAATTAAAAATAGTATGAAATAAATATCAAAATAACGATTTAATATTAATGGGAGTAAAAAATATTAGATAAGCATTGAATGGGATATAAATAAATGTGATAATCAATTATATAATAATAAATAGTTAATTAGTAATAAATAATATAATGACTTACTATTGTTATAAGTGTTGGTCAACTCCTGTTCCCAAATAATGTTTTCATTAATTGTATTCAAATTGAATCGACATTTCTTGCCATTGATGACAACCGGATGAAAACCAATTGTATTATTATTATTTAAATTGTCGTCCGACTCAACCACTGATGTCAACTGTAATACTATTGATGAAGTCATGGTATAATTGTCTGTATATGGACTTGAATTTAACCATCAAATGAATACATTGTCAATAATATGATTACTATTAATATATAAATTAATAGAAATATATCGAAATGTCTTTCAACAAATCGATTAATACATTGAAGAGTTGAGACAACTCTTTGAAAGTATTGATTCAAACAATCGGAGCACAGACTGACTGCTAGACTGTCATTCACTCAATGCTATGTTTATGCTATGCTTTTGACGCACACACTGTATGTCCCTATTATTTACAGTACACTACCTGTGCCTTCCATACACACTATCACGTGCTTCAAAACTACTACTACTACTACCACTTCATCAATACTTTAAGTTCATTATTTTAAACCTGTTTTCTAATTCCCAGGTGTAAGGGGAACGGGTGGACATATAATATATTACTGTATATTAATTTTATTTAATAATTATTTAAATATATTAACAGATTATTTAAGTTAAAATTTTAATTCAATTAAAGAGTTGTCAATGGATTTTTAAAAATAAAAATAGTGATGGATATGACAATTAAAACAATTGCTAACTAATTGTCTTATTAGAGTATATTATATGAGACATAATTGTAAATAAATTGTTTAGTTGTTGTTGTTTAAGGCAAATATACTTTGTATTAAACATCAAATCAAATATTCACAACAGGTTTTGCAAAGTCGTTAAAAATGATTTRAAATAATTATTAAGAAAATCCTGAACACCAAATAGTTTTGGGTAATATTTTTGAAGGTCAGGTCATTAAAAGTGAAAATGTAAGGTATTTTATAGAGATTTCTATCAAATTTATTGAATTAAACTATAATTTTTAGGCTATAAAATAATCAAGTATTTAACAAAAATAAAAGGAAAACTTAATATACCTGTAAAACATATAAAACTTTATTCAATACAATTTTATTTTAATGATATTTTATTTTTTGTATCACAAAARTTATTTAACAATGCATAAAACAAACTGTGTTATAGGTTTTAATAGATTATTCTACTGTACTTTATATATATATATATATATATATTCAGATTAATCATTAAAATTATTGTTTATATTTATAGTAATATTTATTAAATTTGAAATAACTGTCAAGTCATGATAATACAGTAATTAATATTTTATATGTTTGTAATACTAGTATAAATATTATTATGTATAAGCTTATTAACTTTGTATTAGAGTTACAATATTGTACTTAATTTTATTTTTATAATACTGTATAATTTAGCTATATCCTATTAAATAATGAATCAATATTTAATTAGATATTATCAAACATAATTATTATTTATTAATTTAATTAATTGAATTTAAAGTACATATGTGAAAATTATATATATATATATATATATATATTAAAAGTAAGTTTTCTGATTTTAAGTCTCATTTTATTTTATAAACAAATGTGTCAACTACTAGAATATTCTTGTAAAGTGATTTTAAAATATTTAATTTGGATAAAAATAAAAACAACTTTAATGTAAATACCGGTACCGTATAATTTAAACGATTATTCATAAAATTGACAAATTTTATGATAATTTTATGATAAATATGAAATTCAATAATGGTTAGCACCGTTAGATCCTTAACCTAATAATTTGGTAAAGAGTTATGTGCTGTTGTGTTAAAACGTTTCAATGACTATAAAACTTACAAAACTAAAAGTCTTTCTTTAAAAAATAACAATAAATCAATAAATTATAATCAAATGTTTACCTTCAAAAATCATTAATATTTTTATAACATTTGTTTTATTAAATACTCGTCAAACAATAGCTTTGAGCTAAAAAAATCCCTTTTAGGAAATTCATTATAAATTCATAATTATTTTTTTTATTAAAATTTTATTAAAAACAAATTAATCGCTTCTAGATATTAGACTTAATTAAAATATGTTTTAAAAATAATCATTTGTCAACATAAATCCATTAATAACTATAAAGATCAATGAAATACATGATTTTGTGGTCTAATGTCTCACAGTTTTTAATTTATTTATTTTACTAAAACTAAAGAAAGCTAAAGAAAACTAAAAAAATGATTGCATTATATCAATGAAATGTATTTCTAATTGATGTTAGTTTCACTTGATTTTTATGATTTTTTAACTTTATAATTATTCATTTCAATTTAAATCTGGCATTAAATATAATATATTTTTACTAATATTTATTATTTATTATCTGAAATAAAATTCACGGAAACTATATTTTCAATTATAACAAACTTTTTAAATATTTCAAATATTTTAAATTAACTCTTTTAATGAATAATTCATTTTTTATTTGAATATTTTATGCAAATTATTGACTATAAATGATTTATAATGACTACAAATATTTAAAAATAAGTGAATCTAATCGTCAGACAAAACAATTTGTGAAATATTTTGTTTATTACTATCCCTTGTCTGACGTTTAGACTCATCTTTATCTGACATTCTTTGAATGGAAATGTCTTCAGATGTCGTCTCGAAATGTTTAAGACGTATTCCATCCTTTGTGATGGCATCGGAGGCCATAGCAAACAGTTGGTCATCAGTGAGTGTGTCATCACTTTTTGCAATTGATATATAATTGTCGATAAATTTCTGTGAAACACTTTTATAGGATCTATTGATTTGGTTGAGACCATCAATCAGACCTACACTTCCGTATTGAGCGTAAAATCGACTGTCAAATGACACAACATATCAGACAACATATCCATACAATTAGTTAATACTTACGCTCTGATATAGTCTTCGGGATATACAATGTCTTGAATATGTTGGTCATCATCAACAGGTCGGTTGAGTTTAGGCTGAATATGCGGTCTGAAAGACTGATAGACATCAAACCAAATGGGTTTACTCTCTTTAGAGACGGCGCCTGACTTTAACAGGCCTTCCATTCTGTAAAACAATAGATATTGTTATTCAATGGTAACTCAATTCATGTCATACCGGCTGAAGATTGTTCCGAAACGATGGATCCGATTGCCAGCCATAAGACTATCAAATATTATTAATTAAATTTAATGTTAAAATTTATTATCAAATTTTTGAAAATAAATTATGTTTTTATTCTAATCTAAATATTCACTGAATTTTATGAAAATTAGTGAATATTATTTGACGTAATTTATGTCTAAAAAGTATATTTTGATGCATTCAATGGTATTAATATTAATATTTATATTGAATCACATGTTTAAACATATTGTCGATCAAAATGTTTCAAATAAGACCACAATTGATATCTTATTGTCGTCTAAGACATTGCTGGCAGACATCACACACAAGATTCATGTCGTCGTTAGTTAACAACAAACGAATTACTCGTCTGTCAAGTGATGTCGAAGTGAAACCCGAAGAGTTAGCAATCGATGGCAATGAGTCACTGTTGAAGACACGAGTGGTAAACAGAAATCCAAGAAATTTGGAACAATTGCTTCTTCAGTATAAACCACTGGGATTTGAGTTGGATTTACCAGAGAAGACATATTATAATAAGTGAGACAATTGTTAACATTTAGTGTATCATATAATTTATGAATTGTTTGATTTTGGTTTGCAATTGATTTTTATTTTTTATAGGATTTCTTTTGAAGTGATTGGCAAACATTTGATGGCAAAGATTGTCCACAACTCTGGAAGGGTTATAGTCAGTGCGTCCACTAAAGAGGCTGCCATTAAACAACAGCTAAAGAGGTTTATTGAACTAAAGATGTTTTTTAATTGTCATTAGTTTTCATTTTAAAAAATGATATTTCAGTTCTGGTGGTATAACTGCTGCCTCTGCTTTGGGTCACATATTAGCGATGAGAGCTCTGGAGAGTGGTATCCATCAGGTGTTTGTCAGTACTCAACACGAGTCCGACAAATCAATTAAAGTATACGTTTTTGTCTGTTTTTTAAAAGAATATTTTATTTAAATTTATTTTTATAAATATTAGGTCAAAGCCTTTATTAAATCTCTTAAAGATAACGGTTTGGTATTAGAAGAACAACCATTTATTTTTTATCGCAAACATAGAGACCTTTAATTAATAATATAAATTTATTTTTAAACATTACCTAACATTTATTACTGTATATTATTTTTGTGGTTAAAATTTATAGGAAATATTGCAAAATTGTTTATAATTACTTACTTCAAGTCATAAATTTTAAAAATAAAGTTTATTATGTGAATTGAAAATGTCTAAAAAAAATTATTTAATAATTTTTTTACTAATTGTTTTGTTATTTTTCATAATATATGTTTATTTTTATTATTTAAAAAATGAAATAAAATCAAGTGATAATGTTTATCTATTTAATAATAAAATTAGTGTTTCGACCACTATTGGACACTTTGTCGGCAATTTACTAACGTATGATAGCAAACAAATTGCCACCTTTTTAGGCATTCCGTATGCATTGCCACCAATAGGTTTGTTGCGTTTTAAAAGACCGATTCAATTGCCAAAAACAAATGAAACATTTAATGCCAATCTTTGGCCTAATCCTTGTCTTCAAAAAGATAATCATTTGCAACTTAATAATTATAATTTTAGTGAAGATTGTCTTTATTTAAATATATGGAGTTCTGCTAAATTGAATTCAAATGACACTCAGCTTAAACCAGTTATAGTGCACATACATACCGGTGCTTTTCTATTTGGGTCAGCGTCTGAACAAAACTATAACGGCATTGTGTTATCTGCTTTGGGAGATGTAGTTGTCGTCACTTTTAATTATAGACTTAATTTATATGGATTTATTTATACTCCTAATGATAAAGTCTCAAAAAATTTAGGAATGTATGATCAGGTTATGGCACTCCAATGGGTAAACCATCACATTTATAATTTTGGTGGTGATCCAACTAGAGTTACAGTATTGGGACAGTCTACTGGAGCACTGTCAGTTGGATTTCATATAATATCTCCAATAAGTAACAAATTAATTAAAAATGCTGTTATGTTAAGTGGTTCACCATTAGAGCACAGTTGGCTTTCCGAACCCGAAAATGCCCAACAATTTTGGATTAATTATGCTAAAGATGTTAATTGTATGGGAAATGAACATAATATCACTGATAAAGTATTGAATTGTTTGGTTAAATTAGATAGAAATCAATTACCAGCTATGAGTGATGTTAAGCAATATTCAATCGACCCATTTATAGTATCAGCACCTGTAGTTAATGATGATAATTTTTCTATTAAATTATTTACTCAAAAACAAATTGATACAAAATTGTCGATATTATTTGGTTATACCAATGACGAGGGCTCATGGATGCTGTCATTACAAGATAAACATATGTTTGGACCAAAAGTTCGCCAGAATTTGTCATTTAATCAAACATTTGACAAATTAGAGAGTTATGTCAGCAAAATAATTTCAAACACCAATATTACTATTAATGGTTAGTAAATATGTAATTAATTTTTAAATATTTAATAATAGTTACTATAATATTTTTAGCATTATTTTAAATTTATATGAAAAAATTATAGATAATGTTTTATATTATTTCTTATTATAATTAACACCATAATATCAATATTATATTATATAATTTATATAAAAATTTAAAAAATTTAATTTTATTATTAGCGGAGATTATAGCCAATTATTATATCAACAGAATCTCAAGTAAATACAGAAACGACAAGAATCAGTTGAGCCGTACAATAGGCATAGCTTTAGGAGATTTTTATATTGTCTGCCCTTTACATCAATTTATCGATAAATTATTGAATTATAACAACAATTTAAATATTTATCAATATTACTGGACATATAAGGGTAACCCAAAGTCAAGCTCTTTTTGGCGAACTTTTGAAAATGTTTGGTGCGGGAAATGGATGGGTAGTTGTCATTCATTTGAATCATACGCTATATTTGGTGTACCTTTTTATCAAAACATTGCATTTAATCACATCGACAGAAGTGTATCATTCAAAATGATTAAAATCATCTCTAATTTTGCATACAATAAGTAATAATAATTTTTAAATGTAAAATATTAACTATATTTGTATTTTAGACAAACAAATTGGCACAAAATGAGTGATTGCACTAATAATTGCACCAAATCTTATCGTCAGATTAGTGGAGATATTAATAAAAAACAAGTAATTGATGTTAATCTTAAAGATTATGAATGTAATTCACTTTGGAAATCAATTATAATAAATTAAGTTATTATAATTTAAATTACTTATTTACAATGTAACGGTATACTGGTGTTAAATTAATAATTTAATTAAATAAATACTTAATATTATATAAAATTTAATTAATATAAACTACTACTAGTTTTACACGCGCAACATGTATAGTCGTGCAATTCTTTTGCTAATTTTAAAATACTTATAAGTAATTCGAATGATTGCCTAATTTGTTTTATATAACAAACTACTTAACCTAATGTAACAAAACTTTATAATCAATACACAATAATACGTCTAAACTTTTGAGAATTTTAGATTTTTATGTATAGTTAAATAATTTTATAAAAATTTAAAAGTTTAATAATTTTTGTGAAAAAAATTGCATTTGAAAAAAATTTACAAAATTTTTCGCTTTTAACTAACCTCCCGGTGCCCTGTGATTCATACAATATAGCAAAATGTAATAACACAGCACCTGCCTACCTGTCCATAAAACCTACCTGAGCTCAATAATCATTTAAAATTTTCCATAGAAATAGCATTGCTTTAAATAAAAATTGAAAATTTTTTGCATTTGAGAAAATTTTATAAAAATTTAGCACAGGTAGCTTACCTCCCGGTGCCCTGTAACTAAGCCCCTCAGATTTCTAAAACATATTTCTATTATTTTAAAAAATAAGCATAGCAAATAATTTATGTCGGATTTTAAAATTTTTTTTATTGAAATAAAAAACTGTTATAATTTACAAGTAAATACATTTCTAAATTGTTATCAAGAAATGTACGGTTATTTCTATGAATATTTTTTAATATTGAAAAAGACCGTTCACAGTCTACATTAGTTAGAGAAACAAATTTATATTCATTATTTAATACATTATCTCTAAAAAAATTAATATTAGGATTATTTTTAAGCGATGATTGAAGTTTTTTTAAATAATCATTTGATAATGTTGACTCCAATCTATTAATAACGTCAATTTGTTGTTTAATTGTTAATTCTTGTTTTTCTAAATAAGTAATATTTTGACAAATGTGTTCAAATGATGCAACACTTTGTAATTGAGTTTTCAATTCAGGATTAATAATAAATTCTTGCAATTCTTTAATTACTTTATTTGATTTTTTAATCAATTCTAATTCCAAAACAGTACTATATATTATTGACACTAATTTATTCAAATAACTGTTTATTAATACTATTGTTTAATGATTTTAATTCACTTATTTAATATTAACTTTTAATATATATATATATATATATATATATATATATATATATATATATATATATATAAACTAAATAAAATTATAATAAATAATTATAATAATAATTTATTTATATCTAAAATGTGTTTTTATTTAGTCACACTTTGCGCGCACTTTTGATTTCATTTGTTATACATGTATCACATGTTATACTTTAAACGCTGGAATTTATTTGCTGTCCTTATCTATGTTTACTTAAAGGATTAAAATAGAAAAATATTTAGAAATCTGAGGAGCCAACCTGTAACTCATATAATATAGCAATATGTTATTACACAGCACCTGCCTACCTGTCTCTAAAACCTACCTGAGCTCAATAATCATTTAAAATTTCCCATAGAAATAACATTGCTTTAAATTAAAATTGAAAATATAACAATATATTTTTAGCTTTGAATTAAAAAATGGTTGTTGAGGAAGTGTGCACACATACAAACAAACAAACAAACAGACAAAACTATTATATTAAATTATAGATAAAATGATTAGTCTTTATTTTTTTAATTAACTTTCATAAATATAGCATAATGTTGTTAAGTTCGCGATTTACTCTTAAGCAATAAAATTTAAAAATCAATCAGTTGTATACTGTAATTACGGTAAAATCCAATAAATATGAAGTAATTAAGAAACTATTTCAAAATTATCACTAAATGGCAGCAAAATTCAGATCACATAAAATATTAGAGTTTGTCATTTACTACGACAAGAGACCAAATATATGCAAACCTATGGCCACATTCTTAGGCAAAATGATTGGACAGACATCACATGAGATTACTGGCAAAGAGTCAAATGCTGGTACCATCCGAACAATTTTGGTTAATCCAAATGATCATCAATTGTGTCAAATTGCAAATCATATCAGAAATTCAACCAAATTGTTGATTATTTTAGTCAAATCTAAAGATGCGATTGTAATCGTCAAAGGAGACAGTTGTGGAGGTTTTGTCTTCACTAAAGGATCGTCTCTTAAAATACAGACAACAGATATTGAATTAAATAATCCTCATTCTGGAGGACAACACCGACTAATTCGTGGCTTAAATTCATTAGTGATTAATAGTGGCCAATGTCTTGTAGTTATTGGCCAAAGCAAAGCTGTCATTACAATCAATTCATTTGATTTCATTATAAAAGAAGCGTTGAATAGTACTGTGAATTCATTGTCTGCTCAAAAAACAAAAGACAACTCAAGAGTTGTGTCTCTAATTACTGGCAATTCGGTCACTCGTAAACAGACTGACATACAAGATATAAACAGTGATCTACCAGTCTATCAATCTAGTGGTCAATACAATGCACGTGAAGGCAATGATATTAAGGCCTATGACTTCCGACCCATACCTGAGAGACTATATCCACAAGGAATTCTTGAACCAATCTTTTAAGAAAATAAAGCCATTATTAAAGATATTTAAATGATCTGATTATTTAAATATACAATAAAATTATTATTGTATTTAAAATACACTAAAATATTCATTTATTCTTTAAGAAGTGATTTTGTTTTGTTTTGAATTTCTGCAAAATCATAGCAACCGATGTATTGAATTGTTATTTTTAAAAAAAACATTTTTATTATTGATTAGAAATTTTAATTTATATAAATATAAATTTAATTGTTTGAAAGCTATGGAAGAAATTAAATATATTATAAACGAATTAAACAAATCTCCGTTTAATAAAGGATTAAATATTGTTAGCTATGATACGTTAAGAGGCGAACAAAGAATTGATATTTTATTGAAGGTGTTTGAAGAGATTGATCCAACAGTATGTCTTCAATCTATATCTTAATAGATATTTTGTAAATTTATATACTACTGAACATTTTAGTTTAAATTATTTAATTTAATTTTTTAATTAATGTAAATATAAATAATTTAGTTTAAGAGCGACTCTTTTCSTGCCTTTGAACCAGAAGAAGTTGTATCAAATGTATTGGAAATGTTAAGAATTATGAAATATAGTCCTCATAATGATATTCAACCGTAAGAAATATTTTTAAAAATTAGAAATAAATATTTTTAATTAATAATAATAATCTGTAATTAAAAATAGGAGTGAATTTCGTCAGGCATTGATATTAGGCGATCGGACTCTAACCACTCATATACTCGGTTGGCTTCTTCATAAACTACCAGCGCTTAAGAAGAGGGCATATCTCTCAAAATTTTTAATGAAAATTGAATTATCACCAGAAGTTGAAGGCGATCACGACGTCCTTGTTATATATCAACAGGTTTTTTATTGAAAACAATTTTTGTTATAAATTATAAGTGATTTTTTAATTTTATTTAATTATAGTATCAAAGAATGATTGATGAATTTAAGACAATACATAATTCGTATGAAAGTCTGAAAAAGAGTATCAGTTCTGTTCATGAAATCCAAAAAGATGTCAAATCAATGGAAGAAGAGAGAGAACAGATCACACAAAAGCTCAATAATATTAAACGAAGAGTTGATATCAACAGTAATGCCGATTACTTTGCTTTAGTTAAAGAATACAAAGAAGAAAAAAGCAAAAACGATAATATCTTTAATCAATTGCAACAACAAGAAGTCCAATCGGAACAAATCGACAACAAATATAAGCGAATTGAACAACAATTAAAAGATAACAAAAACAACTTTCAATCTGCAGGTTCTCCACAAGATTTAATTGTTAAACTTGAAGAAGAAGTAAAAATCAAACAACAATTAATTGATGAGGTCTTACCATCTGAATTGCAACAACTGAAGAGATATGTTGAAGACATCGAACAGATTGAGTCGCAGCCAAACCTAAGCAATGATTACTTAAACAAACTTAATCTTCAAATTCAAACTTTAAATCGTGAAATCAATACAATTGTCGAAAATAAAATGCTTAACAACGATCCGATGGCCGATAAAATGGCTTTATTTCGACAAAATGTAATTTATTTATTATATTTATATTTTATAATTTTTTTTTATTTAATTAAGTAATTTATTTATTCATTTAATTTCAAGGCATTACAAGTGGCGAAAAAGAGAGAGGAAACGGCTCAATGTCTTAAAGATGTGGAACAAGAATTGGAACAAATGGAAAAAGAACTAAAACATAAAAGAAGTGGTCTTAAAGATGGAGATCAACCACTTAAAGGACAAGCAGTATGAGATTATGAGATTAGTATTATATTAAAAATGATTTTTTAATTAATAAATGATTTTTTAAAATTAATTATGACATTGAAAGTTAAAACAATTTGCTAATACATTACGTGATAAAAGCAATGAATATAAACTTAAACGCAACGAATTGGCAGAAATGCGAACTGAAGTGACAATAGTTCAAAACACATTGGATGTGCTGAAGACTAAAGACAAAGAAATAAATGATAAATTGATTGCATTAGAGGAACACAAAGGTATAAGTGGTTACTTCTCAATGCAAGAACAGACACTAAATAAAGTCAATAATGACAATAAACTTCAGACAAGAGATGAGTTGATAGAACTACTCAAAGATTTAAATGAAAAAATCAATGAGAAAAAGACAATTCTTGCTCCGATTATCAAAGATTTGAGACCAATGAGACAAAAGTGTCAGGACTTACAGTTAGAGTACTATAAGAGACAACAGGCATATGATTCAGTGGCCGCCGGTCTCGAAACAAGTGTCACTAAATTAGACAAAGACATTGAAATTATTAATAAACAAATCAATACTCTTCAGTCTAAACAATATCTCACTGAATGTCAAATTCAAGTATTGGAAGCAAAACAAAAACTACTCGATCGTGAAGTTGGTCTCTATGTCTCAGATGACCCTCAAGATCAACACAACTCTATTCTGTATGCAATTTATTACTACATATTTAATACAATCTAATTGTAGTTTGAATTTATTTATAGCAATCAAATACAAATTCATTTAAATGAACAGCAGTTAGAAAAAGATATTCTAAAAAAACAAGAAAAGGACTTTAAGAGCAATGAAACACAATATATGAAACAATTAAAAATGTGGAAAGACTTGAAGGCATTGATGGCTATTAAACACAAGTGTCGACAACAGGACATCGATAAGAGTGTCCTCAATGAGTACACAATCAATAGTAAACGCGATCATCTGGTTCTTTGAGATCATTCAACTAATACTGTATTTATAAATCTCTAAAATAATTAAAGTTTGTTAATTATCGATAAGTTGATTATATAAATTATTATAATAATAATTTTAAGTTATAGTATATTTAATTTTATGATGTTTTCACTATACCGGTACTTGTAATAATACTTTTTAAATAACTTTTCATGAGTTACCTATTATGAAAATTGATAATCTCTAAATATGAAATTATTTATTATTAAGTTATACAAACATTTATGGCAATAAAAATTATTACTACAATATTATATAATATATATTCAATTAAACTTCACTTTTTAACTGACAATGACTTCGTTTTTTAAATTTATAAACAATTTAAATGATTAAAGAATATTCATAAAAATCACTAATAATTGTCTTAAAAATTAATTATAAATAGTTTTTAAATAATTGTGTAAACATTTGCCCAATTCTGTCACATCAAGTCTATAAATATGAAAGACATGAATCATATGAAGACATTAGATCTAAATATTTGTATAATTATCTAATGGTAATTGTATTTTATTGGTAATTTAATTTTGTTTAAATTGAGGTAATTATAATGCAGTAATAAATATTTCAATTTTATTTGTATTAAAAAGATATAATGATATATGTATTAAATGAAAAGTATATAATTAGAAACAAGTATTTTATGACAAACTCAAGAGGTTTGACCACTCATTTTGTTAGACATAATTTTGCCGAACCCACCCCTGCCCTCATCGAAATCAGTTCTGTATTCATCGCGCACTTGTCCTCCACTTTTTCCGCGACCATACTGTCGGCCTTCAATAAAGCCAGTGTCCCAATCGGTACGTATAATGCGGTCATCAAGACGTGTGCCGTTGACATATCTGATGGCATTTGCGGCATCTTCTCGGTTATAATACTCGACAAAACAGAAACCGCACGGAGTCTTGTAATTTCGGTCCAAACCAACTATGAGTCGCGCTATTTGTCCGCATTTGCTAAACAGCTCATAGATCTGTTCTTCTCTCGTATAAAACGACAGATTTCCGACGTATAGCGTCAAAGACTTTTTCAACAACTCTTCCTGATCTTCACGACTGCCCTATTCATCACAAATACAACCAATTGGTCACTAAGTTATCTGTTATTACAACTGCAAGTCATGTCTTACTTTGAACTGTTGGTCGCGATATGAACTCATCTCTGCTCTATTGAAACGATTATTACGATCCATCACTTACTGTCACCACAATTGGATCAATTCATAGACAACTATTTCATTGACAATAAGGTTATTCAACGCTTATTACAGTATTATTATTATTATTATCAATAACTTGATTCACAAACACTGTTACCATAAATAGTCTTCAAAAGTGTATCAAAATATGACATTACTTTTGGTGAGAATGTGTGACATATTATTGCATACAATGACTGATATTAACGATGAATATACAGTGTGTTTGAACTATAATTGACAAATAAGTTGACAAATAATTCAATAATTAACTCAATATTATTATTATTATTATAATAACAAACTTGTCATTCAATCACAACATTTGGCGCTAAATCATTATAACAATCACAGTAATAGAGGCCATCGACATTCAATTGACTTGTTTATAGTATTCAAATATGTGGTCAATTGAATGCCATTATATTTGAATGGATGACCAACCAGTTATGTTGACTACATTAGTGACAAATACGATGGCATTGATTTGTGTGTAGAATTGCGTCAGTTTTAAATGTAATGTTATATTGAAAGAGTGAGAGTCTATGAGTATATGAGACACACATTGTTTAGACAAACAGTTAATCAAACGTGTGATCAATGGTTTGATTGAATGACTGACAGCAATGACATCGACCAGTAGTACCACTCATCAGATGAATGGCAACAATGAAGAAGACAATGATCTGAGCGACGATGAGATCCGATATTTGTCATCCACTCGTGTGGCCACTCATTTCACGGGCGAAGATCTATACGAAAGAGCGGGTATTGAGAGACGAAATGTGATGAAGGGTTTGGATAACATATCGGTGCCATTGAATGAATACAATGAAGGAATGGTTGATATGATGATCGACAGAGACCACACTCAAGACTCTAATCTCAATAATGTATTAACCGATTATCAAATTAAATCAATGGTCGACTCATATTTCGATTCAAGAGATGACAATCAATCAAACAAGTCTTGGGACAAACAATCCGATGAAGACAATGATGTCGAAGTCATCGAAGAACCACAAAACTGGACACGAAGTGTCTTTTTACCGCCAAAACAGGACATCGAGTACTTGGAAACGGACTTTCAATACTATAATATAGGTTTGTATTCATTAAATGAATAATGTTTTGTCGATTACTTTAATTTTAAAAATTAATGACTAAATTACAATATTTTGAAATATTTTCACTTTTCTCTAATTTTTGTGTTAAACTGTTTGCTATTTAAAGTAAAAACATTTATCGCATTGTTTTGATTTTATAACAGAATTTTATTTAAGTTTTTTATTTTCATTTTGTTAATAATTGTGATAACTTTTAAGTATATTAATATACATCGGTTTAAACTACATTTTAAAATGATTTTTTACTATTTATAGTTTTTTTAAATTTCTTATTTGAATGTAATTGAAATAATAGGATTAGTGGCTAAACTTTACGCTCTATTAAAATAGATAAATGATTTTGTTTCAAATTTTTAAAATTGAACATAAAATAAGACCGAATTAATACTCATTTAATATTTTTAAAAGTTTAATAAAATGTAAGTTTTTGCTCACTTTTTTGGTTAAAAACACTAAACTAATGATAATGTGAACGATATGCCATCGTTTTGCTGATACCACTAATTAGTTTAATCACTAGTAGTGATTCATTACATATGCACTGGTATTTTTTTATACCAGTGCTGTAAACGATACGGAAGGTCGGCAGGGGTTGAGTGGACATGTGGTATAGTTTGCGAACTTTTTAGTACTCAATTCACATATAAGTAATATATTATATTTAAATTGATATAAATAGTTAAATGTCTAATGTTTTTAACATTCATTGGTTATGTTCGGTGGATATATAAGCAAAAACTTATTGTAAAGGACTTGAGTTCATTAGCARTAGGAATATAACTATTATAGGTTTTAATGGGAATTTTACATGAAATTGTAAATTTATTTCAAATGGATATAACTTTTGAATAATATACATTAGAATTGCTGGAAATTTCAACTTTTTATTTAAAATTATTTTTAAAATAACTATTTTTATTGATATTTTTTAATTGATTTATCAATCGGGTTTACATCAATCAGGGTAAGCTTTATTTAAAAATAAAGTGTATGAAAATGAGTCTATTATTTTAAGAGATCAACATTTTCAGTATAACATAAATTTTGCTGATTGTATATATATATTAGAAAATTATTAATTTATAAAAATAGATAATATATACAAATACTAAACATATAATTTATTGTAAATGTTTAAAACTAGTGTTATAATTGTTGTATAATTACTAAATATTATTATATTACGGTAGAAAACATTTAGCTATTAAACAAAATATTTGAATTTATATTTAATGACAAAAACATTTGTTATTTAATAGATTTGAACGAATCAGAGGACACTTATCTTAATTACTCTGACTTTTCTGCGCCAAAACCTTATGATTCGTACGAAAAGGCTTTTGGATTTCAGAAGTGTTTCCTGAGTCGACTTAAGAAAATCCAATGTAAAGATGTTAGACTTGAATTGCATTTGTGGCCGTCTATTATGAAAGGCAACAGTATTTGTTGTGTTTCGGGACCAAAGAGTGGCAAAACTAATACATATTTAATACCACTTATGAATTGGTTTGATTGTCAAGAAGATACTGAGATACAAATAGAAGAAGCGGGTATCGGAGCTATTGTCATATGTAGTAACACTCGACAAACCTATGATATCGCACGTCAAGCCAAACAATGGCGAGACCCGGATATTAAAGAGTCACTTAAAGTTATTTCAATGAATTCATCCAATGCTACCAAACTKTATGCATCTCTTGCAAATGGTTGTGATATTTTGGTGACCACTCCCGAGCCATTACTCAAAGCTATTGAAGCCCAGGTATTGTTGTATAATATATTTTAATTTAATATATTTTGATTGAAATGCATTGAAACAGATTTTTGGATGTTCGACAACCAAATGCCTAATTATAGATGAGGCCGATGTTTGCCTTAATATTCATTTAACAACAATCCGAAAAATTATCATTGAGTTTGCCAAACAAAGGTTTGTTTTTTATTTTTGATAATGTTTTGTCTAATTGTATTATATTTTTAATGAAGATATTGTAAAAATGATGAAAATGATAAAAAAGATGTCTTAGCGTTTCAAACACTGGTATTTTCAGAAAAATGGACTAAAGGTGTTGAATGGTTTGCTAAAGAGATTCAGACACATCCTGTTATTTGTTTTGGCTCTTTCTATGAACTCTCAATCCTTTTTAAAGTTAAGTGCAATCTTGTAATAATCAATGAAGAACAGAGAGACGAAGCATTGCAAATGATATTGAAGAATGCAATTAACCAAAAACTGATGAGAATAGCCGTCATTTTTAGAACAATAGATGAGTTAAAATTTGTTAAACGATTGTTAAGCAAATCATTTAAGACAAGAACAGTGACTCATTTGACTCCACATTATGAGGTCGAAGAGATTCGTCGAGTCTGGAAAAGCGGTGAATATATTCTGTTAATTAATGATAAGGCTATCAAACAAGTGGCGGGATTTAAAAAGTGTCAGTTCATTGTTCACTATAAACTTCCAGATCATTTTGATAAGACATTTGGCGATAGATTTCAATTAATGAAAGATTACTTCAAGAAATATAAGACAGTATTCAATGTTCAAAATACAGATAAACTAAATCAATATATTATTTTCAGTCCTGAAGATAAGCAACACATGGCTCATATGATTTCATATATGAAAAGAATGAGAATTAAAATTCCCAATGAGTTGACTAATATTTGTGATTTACCCGTTTGTAATGTATTTTCATCATTAAATGACTGTCCTTTTGAATCATATGACTGTCCATATATGCATTCTTTTGCCACAAAGACTGTTTCAGTTCCAACATTGCCATCAAATGGTCAAATAAAAATAACAATCACTTATGTGTTGAATGCCAATGAATTCTACTTTCGGATAATTGAATTTCGTAATGAATGTCATAAATCTGGTCGATGGCAGAAATATGATGTAATTTATGAACAATTAAGTAGAGATCTGATTTCACTCAAAGATATGTCATATAATACTATTTTGTTTAATGAATTATCTGACGTTGAAATTTATGGCATTTCAATTCGTGGACAAGTATTCAGAGTTTGTTTAACTAAAATTCTGGGCAAAGATGATCTCAATTTTTATGAAGACTACAATTCCAATGATTACAGTCAGAAAGTCGAACTTTTTTGCATTGATTTTGGCCACAAATTGCGATCGAATTCACGACAATTGTTTAAACTTCCGGCTCATCTTAAGACACATCCAGGACTTGCATTTAAAGGATACTTATGTGGAATAAAGCCCATCGACAATGAGATTCAATGGGATTTTAGAAGTACTCAAAAGTTGTATGATTTGGTCGATAATTTCAGAATAAGTCAAATCACTGCTTGGATTCTTAAACAAAACAATGGAGTCTTTTGGTTAAATCGAATGAATGTTCAAAAGAAAATGAAAAACACAAAAGTAAAACTCGAAACAAATATTATTGATTACATGACTAAACATAAATTTGCCGAAAATAACAATAAAAAGTTATTAAATGTTAACTTTGATTATAACAAGATTACTAACATTTGGTATAACTTTCTTCTCAATTCTGTGGCCTTTAATTCGTGTTTAGTCGACGAAACCACTTATGTTGTGGTCAGTGATTGGGTTTCTACTGAAGAATTTTATGTTATTATCGAGAATAGAGTCAATCGATTGCAACAATTAGAGGATAAATGGATGTCTTGTTTGAATACTTTGAGACCATTGACTGAAATCATTGAACAACAGATCTGTTTTTATAAATTTTATGATAAAGTTTATAATGAAAGTACATTAAATAGGGCCAAAATATTGGTCATAAACGGTGATAAAGTAGATATATTTCTTGTAGATCACGGCCAAACTGTTCGCAATGTTTCAAAAGATAATTTGTATTTAATTCGTGACATATATCTCAAAGAGTTGCCCTTTCAGGCTATTAAAGTGTCTCTATTTGGTGTAAAACAAGTGAGCAAAGAGATAACTTACGACCAAATCTGTGAGTTGACTCGTAATGATGACGACCAGTATTTGATGGCAATCGCACAGAAAAATATCTTAGAAGAGTCATCTCATATGATTCGTCTTTTTCTGGCCGACAATAAAAAAGAAACCGAATTCACAGCTTTAAGTAAGCTTTTAGTAGATTTAGGTTTATGTGAATTCATTGATAACGAAAATAATAATCTACTAAATCTTGTCATTGAAAGAGATAGTAATGACTCCGATGAAGAATCTAATGATTTTATTGATAGAATTGATAATGAATTGACTGATAATATGATTCAGGATTGGGTTCTTAAGTATATGGATTTGAATGAAAATGAAGACATTGATTGTACTCTTAAGAATAAAATAATTAATGGTTCCGTCAAAGAATCGCGAATAAGCAAAAAGATGAGACAATTAAGAGATCTTAAGCGCAATCAAAATGGTGTTGATAGCGATGAATCAGATGAAGAAAATTCAATGACTACTAATAAATATTTGCCATCAATTGATTTGTCTAATTATAAGCCATACGATAAAAGCCAACCCATCTTAGCCTACGATCCCGACGATGATCTCGACAATGACTCACTTCATAGCGATGAAGACAATGCCATTGATGAGTACGACTTGTCGTAAACTTAAATTCAATTCACTTGAATTCACTGCCATTTATCACAAATTTCAAATCACTGCCAATTAGTAAAAGTCTAATCTTTTAATTAACAAATTTTAATCACTATAGCATTTATATAATTGTTTTATATTCTCTAATATTATTTACTAATTATGTTATTAATTAAATTTTTATTATTGCAATTTTAAATAAAGATAACATTTTTACTTAAATAATTTAATAAATGGTATTATAATTTAATATAAATTTAATATGAAAAATATTATTAATTATATTTTAGTTATTTTATAACCTACAGTATTAATACAAAATTATGCACCAAATTATATAATATATATTATCGTATATAACAATTTTTATTAATAATTTTAAATGTTTATAATAGTATCATAATTTTAATAATATATTTTAGTTATTTGTATAAAAATAAATTTCTTAATTAATACAGTATTAATCAATTATTGTAAACTTTATAACAAATGTATATAACTTTATGTGTAAACGTATTTTGTGAGTAAATAATTGTTTATTATTGATATTATTATAAAATTTGTGATAAATGTATTGATTATGAAATACAATCATTAATTGATTGATTGATTGATCATTTGATTGAATGGCTTCAACAGTCAGTATTACCGAAACCACTGACCAAAACATTGACATATCAATGATGACCATCGATGGTATATATTTTTAATACAACAAATACATATGATTGCCTTATTAATTAAGTTTTGGCCACAGATTCAGCCGACAACATAAATCCAATTTATACGACAAATACATTGTTGGTTAACACAGTGACCAACAATCTGACCGATGGTCACAACACTAGTATAGCATCAGTTGTTGAAATGGACGACTGTTTTACCGATCAAATGACATTATATGAGACCAACGTTTCGCCAATAAATCAAGTGTTTATACCAATCGATGTGACCACTGGTTCGGCGAAATACAGCTCTCAAAACAAGTCACTGAATGGCATGTCTTTGCTTTTAAAAGATAATGTATTTAAGTCATCAAATGTTTTGGTCAACGATAGGAAAGAGTATAAAAAGCATCGCAAAGTTGCACTCAAGACTCAAATTATTCCCGTTTTAGTCGAAGATGGCCAACAAGTAGCTACTGATTGGGATCCACAGGACATTACTAAAAACGGTGATACTTATCAATGTAACCATTGTTTACATAAAGCCAATCAATTACAACATATTAGACGTCATATCACTCAACTTCATGCCGAAGACAAACCATTTAAATGTACCGAATGTGACCAAAGTTTTAATATTGAAGTTAATTATTGGTTGCATATGAATGGCCAGCACTACAAACCAGATACTGATTCATCAAAACTTCGTTGTTGTGAATGTCATAAGACTTTTGCTCGTTTGGCATCACTTAAGTCACATCTGACTGTCCATCAAAAAGACGATTTCTTGACGTGTGGTCAGTGTTCGCAACAATTTTCGTCACATTATTATCTCAATAAACATATTAAGAATATACATATAAATGCGTTCAAAAAGGTGTGTCTAAAATCTCGATCCAAATCCATTAGTGTAACCAAAGATGAACACCACTGTTCAGTATGTAATCAAATGTTTTCAAACTTGTCTCAACTTAAAGAACATCAAAAACTTCATATAAAAATCAAGTCATCACTCAAACATCGGACGTATAGATCAAACATAGACCGCACAGAATTTGGACATAAATGTGTCACTTGTGGTAAACAATTCAAAAAGAATAGTCAATTGATTAGACATTTGCGGATACATACGGGAGAAAAACCATTTGTTTGTGAATTTTGTGGTTCGGCTTTCAATCAGAAAAACTCATTGGATATCCATCGCACCAAACATACCGGTGAACGCAAATATCAGTGTCGTTTCTGTTCAGCCAAATTCAATCAAAGCGGAAATATGAGGTCTCATATCAAACGATTACACGCACCACAAGCAGAATTGCCGGCCTCACAGCTATTTAAATGTCCGCATTGTAACTGTGTCTTCAAGAAAATTGGTATTCTTAACTGCCATATAAGCCGAAGACATCTAATTGAAGAACTTAAAGAACCTAAAGATAATTTAAACCAAAACCCAGAATACATTGATCTAACAAACACTAAGATTTCCTTAGAAAGCAATGTAGAAAATGTTTCATTAGATGTCATAAAAACTAGTGATCAGTCAATTGACAGCCAAACAAACGATAAACAAATTGCACAGATCTTTGATCCGGCAACTGGTGCTCAACAAACACATATTGTTCGTAAAATTGGTAAAACAAGTTACAGACAATGTCTTTACTGTAATAAAGATTTTAAAAAGTCGAGTGATTTAATCCGACACATGAGAATCCATACTCACGACAAGCCTTTTAAATGTAGTGAATGTTTTCGCGCCTTTACAGTCAAAGGTACTCTTTCGGCACATCTGAGGACACACTCAGGAGTTGTCAAACCTTTTATTTGTCAGATATGCAAAAAGTCTTTTACAACATCACAAAGTTTGAAAGTGCACTTGAGATTACATACAAGTGCTCAACCATACAGATGCGCAAAATGTAATATTACTTTCCGTACGTTAGCTATTTTGAAGTCACATCTCAGCATTCATGACAATGAAAACATAGATTTGATATCAACACAGAATTCAAATAACAATCTAAAATCAAATCGATTTAAAGATATCGATGAATCGATTTTATCAAGAATTCAATTGGATGGACCCGTTGTTATCAATGTTGACTCTTATAATAATAATAATTCATTACTTGTAAAACCAAGGCTTAAACCTGAGGAGGAATCTGAAGCAGAGGCTAAACAACGCAAATATAAATGCCTTTATTGTAACAAAGCGTTCAAAAAGTCATCACATTTATCACAACACAACAGATCCCATACCGGAGAAAAACCATTTCAATGTGAAACATGTCTCCAATATTTTGTGACTAAAGGCAGTCTTAAAAATCATTTGCAAACACATTCTGGAGTTAAACCTTTTGTATGTAATGAATGTTCGTTTGCTTTTTCCACAAAAGGATCACTTACTCGACATATGATTTGTCATCGAGATGTCAGACCTTATATGTGTCCATATTGTCAAAAGACATTTAAATCAAGTTTTAATTGTAAAAAACACATAAAATTACACAAAAATGAATTTGCTTTACAATTAATGAAAGAGAGAAAAAAAGAGATAAATGGTTACGAAACTACTCTTAAAAATGATGGTAAAGAACAACATATTAATTCAATAGACAAATCAGCCCTAGAAATAACAGTTCAGATCAATACAAATGATAATATTTTGCAAACTAATAATGAATTAGCGATTCCTATAGAAACTAATGTTATAGAACTGAGTGAACTATCATTGCCTATAACTCACGTTAATGTCGGTACAGACGGTGTGCGACCGTTTCCGTGTCAGTTATGCGGCGTATCTTTTAAGAGTGGATCACATTTACGGCAACACAATCTAAGACATACCGGCGAAAAACCATTTGTTTGTCATTATTGTCAAAAAGGTTTTGCCACTCGCGGTGTACTCAATACTCATATCCATTCACACTCTTTAGTCAAAAATTTTAGCTGTGATTTGTGTTTAGCAAAGTTTGTGACAAAAAACTCATTGAAACGACACACCAATACTGTCCACTCATCAAATGGTTTACTTTGTCCTCATTGTCCAACAAAGTGTACCACTTGGTTAGCTTTAAATAAACACATTGAAGCCATTCATCCAATTTATAACCTATCCCTTAGTGAAAGTGATAGTAGTTCTCAGCAAAACCACGATTTAAATTTTGAAACAATTAATAATTCCTCATCGGTTACAATGTCTGAAATGGAAGTCAATGAGAATGTTAAGCAATCAGTATTAGATTTATCTAAAAAACTCATAAATGATGGAACAAATAGTTGTGAATTTTGTTCAAAGACTTTCAAAAAGGCGTCTGATTTGACGCGACACCGACGCATACATACCGGGGAAAAGCCATTTGTTTGTCATATTTGTGAAAAACGATTTACTGTCAAATCAACACTCGATACACATCTGATTACACATAAAGGAGAGAAAAATTTTAAATGTTATGTCTGTAACACAAGTTTTGCCACAAACGGCAGTCTAAAAATTCATGAAAGAATCCATTCCGGTATAAACTTTATTATCTTATATTTTAGTTAGTCTTTTAATATTTAAAAAAATTAATTATAATATTATTTTATTGAAGGTTTAAAGCCATTCAAATGTACACAATGTGATCAACATTTTAGAACTTCTGGTCATCTCAAGTCTCATTTGGATAAACATAACAAAAATAAAACTACTATTACAGTGCCATCAGAGTTACCACAATTAGAAACTAATGATAATGATATAGTAGATGTTTATGGTATGTAAACACTTAATCACATTTAGTTTGAAACTTAATAATTTTTTTTTATTAATTGAATTAGTGTCTCAAACCAATCATACTTTAGGTGAAGATATAGTAATAACTTTGCCATTAAACACATCCAACACTTGTAATAGTATTCAAATGGATAGTTCACTATTATCTCAGGTTTTCCAATTGGATTCAAATCTTTTGCAACAATTACAAACTCAAGGCCTTATTATAACCGATTGTGACACTAATTATATTAACAACGACACACTTCTAAACTCATTTGTTTGATTTGATTAAAATTATTTTATGATTATTTAATTTATTTGATTAATTTCCTGATACTTAAATTATAAATATGAAATTCAATATAATAATGTAATAGAAATAATTATTAATTCTAGTTTTGTTTTTTAATTTGTTTTGTTTAAAGTTAAATTCATACAGTATGTAAAATTCTTTAGTTATTAGTAAAGCTATGTTTTTTCGGGTTATGTATAGTTAAAATGGCCAAAATTGGTCGGCAAATCGCAAGTAAACAATTAACTTACTGTACTATCAATTATGTTTCTAACATAAATAAAAAATTTATTACAAAATTCATATATTAAATAGATATTATGAATTATATAGTGGTATATAAATTTACAATATATTTGAGAATTTATTATAATACTATAAAATATGAATATTATTGTATAATAGTTAAAAAGTATTTAATAAATTAATATGTGATGAATATATTGAATGTTATGTATTATTATTTTTTAAACTTCCTGTTCATCCAGGGCTGGAAATCAATGCCTTTACACATTGGATAGTGAAGTAGTGGACACTTGTGATCCTTGCATCCAGTGGTGCGCCAGAAATAGCACTCATTGGTACCTCTTGGCTGATACGGACGCATATAATGCAAGTCTTTTTGATCATTTGATGGAATAAATCTGAAGACCAGCGGACGCTCGCCATTACTAACCCCACAAACGGTTTGTCCATAAAGTGAAGCGATTGCAATACGCGGAGAGTTTTTGTCAAAATAATTAACAAAAGCACAGTAAGATTTTGGCACTACATTCACATAGTCTAGTGGTCCGTATTTGGCAAATATTGACCATAAAAGCGATGGCCGACAACCAGGCGATACGTTTCCAATCCATAGTCCTTTATAACCGAACAAATTCTTTGGTAACCGATGTTCAGCGATCTTATGCTTTCTTACAAATACCTGATCCTGTCTTTTGACACGCAATGCATTATCAACTGATTGGCTTCTTTTGTGTACATATTGTGGTGACTTTGAAGCGTTTGAACAGTTTGTATGACTTGAATGACTACAATTGACGCACGAAAACGTTTGTCTTGCAGGCGGTCGACTTTGAGATCGTCGATAACCATTGAAGTGATTTTTAGTCGTTGAAATTGATTGCTTCTCCGATTGCATCCATTGTCTGTATTGATGATTACACTGATTTGATTGCTTGTTGTCTTCAAATAAGTTTGGGTCCATTAGGCTATCATAAGAAGTGCTCCTATTAGTCAACAAATTGTTTGCAATCTTTTTGTTTTTGTCTTCCGATGCTTTAATGGCCACTTCTATACTATTATAATTGATGGCCGCAAGTGATGCGTCTTCTATATTAAGACCATAATCTCTTAGCGCTAAATATCGTGTTTTAAGAAGTTCTTTATTAGTGTCTTCACAGTTGCCATTGATCTGCAATATCTTAATGAATGCTTTTTCTGCGTCTGAGTATCTCTTAAGACCGATGAGTGCCTTTCCTTGTCTGAAGTAAGGCTTAGGTTTGGTTGGCATAAGAATGACTGATCGCAATGCGTCGGCCAACGACTCTTCATATTTCATAAGCTTCTCATAACAAAAGCTTCGGTTGCAGTAAAGCCTATAGTCTTCGTCGTAAAATGCAATGGCTTTGCTGTAGTATTTGATGGCTTCCATATACAGACCATTGTTTGCCAATCGGTTGCCAATTGACTGAAGTGTTTCACTCTTTTTGTTTAGTGACAAATCAGACATTTGTTCAATTGTTTCATTGATAGATAACTCGGATGATTGTTCAGTATTGGCAACACCTATGAGTTTACTGACGACTTTGTCACCAATTGTTTGATTAATGCCTTCATTTAATGGCGATCCCCGGCGTAAAGCACTTGCAATCGACAATAGACTAAGATTTGTGTCACCGCTTATAAGTCCTGTCTCTGACTTGTCTTCCATTGTYTTCTTATAGATATTTGTCTATATATTCAACAATTCTGTTAATATATTAATTAGTTTATGCTATAAGTCTGTCACTAATGAAAACTGTCGGCAAATATTTGTTAGTTTAAAATAAGTTAATATTTTTAATCAACTTTTGATTAATTTGTAAATAAAATTGCTTTTAAAATAACTCAAATTCTATGAATGCATTGCGCGTGCATTCGGTCGCGCGTTAACTGCTTATACGATCTCACAGTACTTAAACAATACTAATCATACAATGCATTTGTCACCACTAAACTCATTGATTTTATAAAAAAAAAGTTAAATTACAATAATTATAAATTGCAATTGTAATATACATTTATTCATTATCTATGTAATAAAATATAGTATTATTATTAAATTTATTAGTATTATATTTATATAATAATAAATCTTTATATAAACAAATTAAGCAATTTTTTATAGTTCCTGATTTTTGCTTGAATATCATATATTTTTAATTAAAAGTTGTATTAAAATTTGTAATATTAATTATTTAATTATTTTACGATAGGAAGAGTAAATATATTTACGAATACAAATACATTTTATTTAATCATACATTTTAAATTAAATATTATTTTTTTCAAAAATAAATATACAGTAGATTGTAACGAGGGGTAGTTGATAAAAATAAATTATTTTATGATATAATTGTAATTATATAAAAAAATTAATTAAATATTTTTGTAATATGATAATTTCTTATTAATAGTTTAATTATGAATATTTAATCAATTAAATTACAAAATAAGACATAATAGTATTATATAATTATATTTATTATTTTTAAAAACAAATAAACATAAAGAAAAGGAAAAACTCAAATAACAAATACAATTCTATGTTTAATACAAATCATATAATTGTGATTATAATTAATAATATTTTTATGTAAAAATTTAAAATGAAGATTATTTAGAAAATATAGATTCATGAGTCAAACTTCAAAAATATTATTTTTTGTTGTAATTATTTGTTTCCAATTAAAGAAAAACAACATATATTAGAAATGCTAGGAAACGAAATTAACCGAAATCTAATTAATATATTAGATAATGAATTGATTATTTTGTTTGTTAATTCATTTTATTATAATTATAAATATTATGTTAAATGTAATTTTATATTATCAATATATGCTTTAAATCCTATATAAACTGTATTTTATACAATCTATACACAATTACACAATTTATACTGTATTTTCATATTATATGTCAACGACAACCAAATCACTCTCTGGTATAAGCAATATGTGGTCGAAGTTAAAAAAATAAGAGATCTTTAATAAATTTAAATAAAACTAATGTATGAATAGAAGTATTATTTCAATAATTATAAATTCCTTAATATATTTTGTTTCTATTAATATTAATATTAATTGACTATATTTTAAATGCTATACAAAATGTGTCAAAGAATTGTTGATATCTCGATGTAATTGTTGTGATATGAGTGGTCTGTGTAGAGCACACACACGTGTTAGAAGATATTAAATACAATTGATAACCAATTGATAACAATGTATACAAAAGCAAAACAAGTGTCACTTTAATTTTACCAAAAAAGCTGTTATATTTGAAAATATATATTTTTTAAAATAAGAAACCATAGAATTTGATATAAAAAACAAGAGATTTGGTTTATTTAGTTAAGTTTGAAAACTATTTTAATAGAAATACATTGACTGACTCATTGGGAACCAGTGCTTGGATTTGCAATAAGTCATCGATTGGTGAGAATAATTGTGATTCACTTTGTTGTGGTCGGGGTTTACACACTCACCACTTGACTCACAAATACCGGTGCGACTGTCGCTTCCACTTGTGATGTACAGTCACCTGCTATGACTGCATCAAACTATACAACAATAGATCTGTAAATTATATATTTTTTAAACTCTATGTTTTTTATTCATTGTTTTATATTGATATTATTAATTGATATTAACTAATTTAAGATAACTTTATATAAAAGTATAAGTTATTAGTTTAATTACTTTATATTAGTGTAAAACCTAAGCAGATTTTATAAATATTAAATTTTATTGAATATATTGTATATTCATTTTTATAAAATGTCTAAAAAGCAAACAAATGCTGTACAGTATATCAATACTAAAGATTTATTGATTTTAAAGAAAATAAAGTTTTTAAAAAACTTATGGAAACAAGTATTTTATAGAAAACTAAACCATTAAATGTTTTGATAAATGGCTGATCATAAGTCTTATAAGTGATTTCGAGTACCAGCTCTTTATATATGCTGAGAGAGAGAGAGAGAGAGAGAGAGAGAGAGAGAGAGATAGATAGATAGATAGATAGAAAGAAAGAGAGAGAGAAAGATGTGTTAATAAAGTATATATGATATAAATATAATATACATAATATGGTGGGGAAGTGTGTGCCAACTGTGTGTTGTGTGTCACCTGCGATGCTATTTCTAATTTGATGCGCTCAGGCCTTCAAATTTAACAATAGGGACCCAAATATAATAAGTATGGAGTGGAGGACTAAACATACAATACTATTGCTTATCAGAGAGTGCTCTCTCTCTCTCTCTCTCTCTCTCTCTCTCTCTCTCCTCACTTACTCTTGAATTTGAGTGTTTAAAATATGTTATATGTGTGACAAAGATATAATATGATGAAAATGGGTATATATTTGGCGTCATCTGGAAAGGGATGATCATTTTCCCAGTTAGCTGAAGGAACAGTTATTGATATGAGCACTGGTTGTGCAGTACATTGCTATAGCCGGTGCACGACTTTTGTTTGATAACTTCAAAAGTTGTTACAATAATAATAATAGCATTGAAAGCTACATTACTTTTGTTTGAATACAGAAATTATTTATTTTAAATATAATTTTATACGAATTTATAATTAATTATTAAATAAATATATAATATTTATTACTCGTAAAATTTATTAAATATATAAAACATACTTTAATTAAACAATTTTTTTTATAAATTATTGAAAAGATTAAATTTATTTTAAAATAAACATTAAATTTGGTAAATATAAAATAGGATGGACTGTAAGTGACAGTCTGTATTAATATAGGCTATACTATAGTATAGGACTGGTATGGAGTGAGATGTAGAACAAGTGATCTTCAATTATTCACAGCATTAAAGAGATGCTAACAATATATTTACCCAAACTTTCAACAGCTGTGGAGGAAATGATAGTCCCATTTGCGGTGATGTTGACTCTGATCCTATACACCGATTGCAATGCAATCAGTTTGCATAACGAGTCCAATGGATACACAAGCTATTCAATGTATTACATATCAAACTTTATTAAATAATGACATGACTTCTATGGTCACCAAAGACACAGATAGTGGTGACCAAACAAATTATGACATTAATTGTATGGAAGCGGCGATTATTGCCAACACTAGTATTCCGACTAATGTTTGGTCGCAACCCTTCTTCTCAAAACTATGTCTCACAAGAATATTCAGTTCAACTAAAGATATTACTTATTCTTTAAAAGTAATAATAATTTTTTAATTATTATTATTTTATTTACTTTACTTATGAATTATATAATAATTTAAAATAATGATTTTTATAGGCATTTCTATCACCAACTGGTATGCTATGCGTTAATCATTCAATAGATTGGTTACCATTTGTAAGAATAGCCAAAAATTGTTTTGAACAAAATTTGACAGCAATTCTAACTCAAAATAAGTCATCAGTGGTTTTAAAGACAATAAGAAATATTGAAAAAGGAGAAGAACTTAAAGTGTGGCTTTCGGATGATCTCATTATAGCATTGAATATACCGTTTCTTAATCCTATTAACATAATCAATGAAAATTGTTATCAATGTCATCGATGCGGACAAAGTTATTGTCAACCAAATCCTCTTAAGATTCATCTGACAATGGAGTGTAAGAATGAAGAAAAAACAAATATTATAACAATTTCTCAAACAAATAATTCATTCAATGCTAACCCAATGATCACAAATGGACAACAAATTCGTACAATACGTGAACAAAAAGCACATACCTGTCTATATTGCGGTCAGTTTCAACTTTTATGTTAATTTTATTTACTTTACTTTTGCAGTTATATATTATAAACTTTATGTCTAGTAATTAAAAATCTAATTGTAATTTTTATTACAAATAAAAAGTTAGACAGTACTTATAAAAGTTTATTTTAAGTACTTTTGTATACATAAAATAATTGTATACATATACTGGAATACTGTATATTAATATATATATATATATATATATAATTTTATGTTAAATTAAAAATTAGTAAAATAATCAAAATTAAAATACTGGAAAATAATTATTTATTGATATTTTTGATAATCAAATTTAGGTAAAGTCTATACCCGTAAATATGGTCTGAAGATACACGTGCGCACACATACCGGTCAAAAGCCATTGCGTTGTCGATACTGTGGCCGACCATTCAGTGATCCATCAAATCTTAATAAACATATACGACTACATAACACACATCWTCACTCAGCACATCCATCCCAACACACATATCAGTGCAAACTATGCGCCAAAGTATTGGTTCGTAGACGAGATCTCGAAAGACATATCAGATCCAGACATCAATGCAATTGATTGTCAAACATATTGACATAAATTTTTAAGATTTTAAGATTTTAAGATTTTAATTTTGTAAATTTTTATTCATTTGTATAAACATTTTATAATAAAATAAATTATATTTTTCATACATTTTTTAAATACAATATAAAACTTTTGACTAAACTATTGTAGAATTTATGATAACGTTATTTGTGATTAAAATTATATTGAAATGTAGGCAATGATGACATAACATAACATTGCATAACATTGTTATTGTTAATCATATTATTAATATAATTATCATTTGATTGAATCAATAGTTTATTAAATAATTAATAAAATAGTGAATTGAGTATCAAATGAATGAATAATCAATGAAATGATGTCAAACAATGTCTGAATATTTAGTCAAACATTTCAATAAACTAAACAAATGGCAAATCAAAGTCATTATAAACAAGTTTTCTGTGTCTTATTGTTTGTGTCTTTCACTGCATGTTTGGTGACCAAAGTGACCACCGATGACAATGAGGTTTACACGGATGATGACCAAAATTTTGACAATCATTACCATATATTTAGGACCCGATCGGGTCTTTACGACCGAAAGTACCGTCACTTTAGTGAAGATGAACGGTTGGAAACGCTGTCTTTGGCCAAACAGATGTTTCAATTTGGTTACGACTCTTACATGACTTATGCCTTTCCTAAAGATGAACTCAACCCCATCGACTGCACCGGTAGAGGACCTGATGTTGACGACCCGTCAAACATTAATATCAATGATGTATTGGGCGACTATTGTCTCACATTAATTGATTGTTTGGACACTTTGGCAGTGATGAAGAACGCCTCAGAGTTCAAGAGAGCCGTACAATTGGTCATTGAAAACGTGTCTTTTGATAAGGACAACATCATACAGGTGTTTGAGGCCAATATCCGAGTGTTGGGTGCTTTAATATCAGCTCATCTTCTCATTGAAGATGAGAACAAACCATTTGGTGATCTCAGACCAAAGTTTTATACGAAGCAATTGCTTGAATTGGCTCACGATTTGGCCACGAGATTGCTTCAAGCCTTTGATAAAAGCAAGACTGGTCTTCCATATCCAAGAGTCAATTTAAGAACAGGAGTTCCCAGCGGTGATCAATGCAATTGGTGTCAATCGCATACGTGTACCTCTGGTGCCGGTTCTCTTATTTTGGAGTTCGGACTTTTGAGTAGATTATTAGGTGATATATATTAAAATTGTATTTCATTTGATATATTAATAATTTTCATATATATTGTTTATGCTTAGGTGATCCCGTTTATGAAAGTGTTGCCCGACGGGCCACTCAAGCCTTATGGCGTATGAGAGCCGAGCAAACGGGACTCTTAGGAAATATTATAGACGTAGAAACTGCAGAATGGATCGACAAAATGAGTGGACTCGGAGCTGGACTCGACTCCTTCTTTGAATATCTTTTAAAAGTTAGTAATTTACTCTAAATTATGTGTTTTTCATTTTTCTAATTATCCGTAATTATCTGTAATTATCTTTAGTCATATATATTGTTTGGCGAATCAGAAGATTACCGAATGTTTAATGAAAGCTATACTATAATAAAAAAATATTTAAGAAAAGGAAGACCTCATTGTAATAGAGGTTCTGGTAATCATCCGCTATATGTTAATGTAAACATGTTTGATGGCACCACATCTACTCTATGGATTGATTCATTACAAGCTTCTTGGGCTGGCGTCCAAGTATTGGCCGGTGATATAGAGGAAGCAATTTGTGGTCACGCTTTATATTATAACATATGGCGTAAGTATGGCGTACTTCCAGAGCGATTCAATTGGCATCGAATTAGTGCCGACGTCTCGTTTTATCCATTAAGACCAGAGTTAGCCGAATCAACATATCTTTTATATCAGGCGACAAAAAACCCATTTTATCTTCACGTCGGAAGAGATATATTGTTTAGTCTTAACAATTATACGAGAACTCAGTTCGTTATTTGAAAACATTTATTACTTTATTATATATTTTTATATTTTATTAATTATTTAGATGTGGTTTCGGAACCGTTCACAATGTTATCGATAAATCACTCGAAGATCGAATGGAAAGTTTTTTCTTAAGCGAAACGTGTAAATACTTGTATTTGGTATGTCTTTGATTTTATATATTATTAATTACTTTTATCGATAATTATCATAATTTAAATGTATTTTAATTTACTAAAGCTTTTTGATTTCGATAATCCTGTAAATCGAGACTCACATCGATATATATTTTCAACTGAAGGCCACGTGTTTTCAGTGGACAAAAAATTAAGGACTAATTTATGGTCAGACAATCAACTTATCAATAGAGAAAAAAATGATAACAAAGTCAAAGTCGAGTCAATTGTTATATCAATAAACAGACGAAATACCTCTTCATATTCATATTGTCATCGCATTGACTCTGAGAGACAATTTTCACTGCCTTTAAAAAATCAATATTTTCTTCAAGTGAGTCAAGCATTAGGTATTGAGGACAGCCCTCTATAATGACCATTAGATGACTTATTTTTTGATAATTATGTTTAGTATATATAAAAAACATAAAAACAATATAATGTTCTAATTATTGAATATTTAATTTATTAAAAATTTTACTATTTTTAACATTTTTCCAAACAAATTGATTTATACCGGTAATATTTTTATAGTTTCTATTATAGCATTGTTAAAGATTTTTTATATAAAACAATTTATAATACATTGAAAATATAGAGTAATTTTGTAAATATGTTTATATATTTGGAATTAAGTCGGAACTTATTTAAACATTTTATATGCAAATTAATAAATAATACATTAAGTTATCTGTTAAAGCATTAAATTGTTAACATTATAGTGCCTTTTGATCTTTAAATATTATGTTTTATTTCCTAAAATTTAAGATATTTTCATATTATTGTAATTTAATATTTATTATTAAGTATTTATAGTTTATTATAGTTATCAAATTAATGATTGTTAACCTAATGTTGTATAAATAAGCAATTTCGTAATTATTGCTATATAAGTATTAATAGTAAAATTGGTTTTTATTTAAAGTAAAATTTTGTTTTAATACGATATTTTATTTTTACTGAATGTTTAATAAATTTTTATGAAAAAGGTTTTTATTTTATCAAAAATGAAATCATAACAAATTTATAACAAATTATAAATTTCTTTTTTTTAAATACATGATTGTAATGATGTTCATTATTATTGATATAAATTTACATGTATTATAAATTCATTATTTTAATTAATTTGAAAACCTATTTATCTATTTATAAAAAATACAAAATATATTAATTAATTTATARCATAAAACACAGAAAATACTAAATATTATTAAAATATTGTTTTGCAGAACAATCACTGATTTTGATGAGTTAATCAAATTATTGTTAATGTTATGATTAATACGTATGTCATAATTGTATTGAAATAGTGTAATGTCTTGATTATAAACTTTGGCTAATTTGTCAATTAATATGTCCGATACATTAGTATAGTATTGTGATATAAGATCACTGGACGGTAGGTTACTGTAAGTGTCTTCACGTTTAGGGAATTGTATTAAATGATTGATACGAGCTTTTCGTAAGACTAGCTGTACATCACTATGCAGTGTCTCATACTTACCGATAACATCATAATCTATAGCACAGGGAAAGCATAAGTTAGTGACTGGTCTCCAGTGTTCATTGAATTGGTGATTGTGGTCACTAGTGTTCAATTGTGATATATAAGTGAGAAACTCTTCAAATGTCACGTCATGTCCTCTCTCTAGTGATTCATTGGTGGGCTGTTGTCTAAATTGTTTGACTATTTTTCTACCAAATCTCTCACGAAAATAGTCTTTGAAAGTGTCTTCAAATTTATTACGAAATGCAGATAACAGTCTTTCATAAGGATTCCTAACAAACATAAACTTCAAATATGATCTTAATTTATATGTTATTTCTGTGGTATCGTTGTATTGGTTTAATGTCCTAAAAGCTTGTGGTACATGTGATTCATTGCCTTTAATATCCAATGGATTCAATTCATTATAATTTTCATTTGGTTTCATATTTATGGCTAAGAGTACGCGTTTCCAATTAGTTGAGGCAACTTTAGGTACAAAACAATAAATCAATTTATTTATATCATCCACTATGAGGTGATCCAAATATTTAGCTAAAGATGTAACTTTGACTTCATATAAACTATCATTTAATGGACGCCATCCGTATTGATCGTAACAGACATTTCTTATATAGGACTGTCTTAGCTGTTGATTATCCTGAGCTTCAATCAACTCAAGCAAACGGCGTTCCCTTTTCTCTCTAAGCGAACGCTCATCTGATTAAATAAATAAAATTCATGTAAGGAATCGACTGTATAGAGTACTATAGACCCGGAATTCCTTAATTATAAGTATACAGTATATAAAATATTATAAATAATATGATTCATACAAAATATTTCAATAAAAACTTATTTATTTAGCTGCAATTATTGTTAAATAATAATTTATATTATGTCAAGAGTTTTTCATATTAACTAATATTATACAGTAATATAAAGAATAATATATTAATATGTGTATTTGAATCTAAAAAGCTTTTTTAAAAAAAAACATTTCAATCTCTAAAGTATATTAATATAATTATATAAACACATTGAACAGATTGTATATTTGATTTTCATGTTATATAATTTATTTTATATACTGTATATATTATTTATAAATTTAGGTATATTTATACTTACGCTTAGCTATGCTAATAATGAGACCGACAATGAATACAATGGTTCCCAATATAATCCATAATAATAAGCGAAATTCATTTTTGTTTCTCATCGATGCAACTCTTTATTTGATGATTTTAAAGTAAATCATAATAAAATTCACAATTTATTTTAATAATTTTTATATGATTTATATACTAAATATTTAAACCAACTTATTTAAGATAATAAGTTTAAAGCTTATCAGCATAAAAATATTTAACTACAATAAGTAAAAATTTATTTAAATAAATCAAATGAAAACAAAAGCCCAAACATTGTGTACAGTGGTGTCAAAGTGAAAGGCCTTACAGCCTATTCCTGGAAAAGGCATTACCAATGATATGGCCAAACCTCACAGTTATTCTCAATTGTCTAACTCAGAAATATTGCTATAAACTGACTTAACTGACACATAAAGTGTGAGAAAGAAAGAGAGAGAGAGTAGGCGTCTCTCGCACTTCTCTCTGCCTTTTCTCAAATTCTTGTCATTTAATAATCATAGGTTTAACTCAATTACAGTTTATGCCTACTCTGTATTTCAAACAAAATAATTTAACAAAATAGACAAAATCTAGTATTTTATGTAATTTAAATACCGGTAGTATTAAAAAAAAACTAAAATATATTATATGTAAAGTAAAAATAAATAAAAATATTTTGTTAAAGTATGTAAAGTATGTATTATACCGTATAAACTATATTAAAAATTTCAATTGTTTATAAGTAAATGTTTTTATATAAATCGTATAAAACAAATAATTTTATATTTTATATTTTATTTCAAATATTTAACTATAAAAATCATTACTAATAATCAATTACTCCATAAGCTTTCCCTTTGCCCGATACGCGGCCCACCAAAGACCGATTGCTGCCAAAGTGGCCACAAGTTCTGTCTGAACAATAGGTCCCTTATATGGTGACGAATGGCTTACATCTAAAGTAAACAAAGGCTTCACTTGTGATGAATCGCCGGCTCTCTGGGCCTTACGAACTGATGCAAAGCCCTCCTCGTCATAGATGGCAATCGAGTGACTGCCCGAAGAAGACTTCAATAAGTCAACAGTCCATGAGATCTATTTATAACCAATAGGTCATTGAGTAAACAATACTTAATTGACAAATCATCACCTGATAAGACGACTGTCCAGTAGATGACTCATCAGATCGGATCACTGTTAATGTCTGACCATTGAGATCAGCATATAGTGGAAGACCTKCGGCACAAGTAATCAAATAATATAACATTATTATTACATCTCATATATGAGTTAGTAGTGGTCAGTAATGGTCATACCTTTTGGTCTGTTTGGACACTGAGCTGTGAATTGTATGATATGCGCCACTTTGGCCACAACTAAACCATCGTTAGTTGAATACGTTGTCGACGAGACCGTACACTCACCCGATATAAGTGGTGCGATTGCGGCCAACAATCCAATAAACAACAAAAATACAATCATTTTAACCATTTTTTAAAAATTATATTTAATTTTAATACACGTGTTGTTTAATGGGTTGTCATTCACTACAATATTATACAATACTGTATATCATATGATATGACAACAACTCAATGCATATGACGTGTACTTTCAATCAATTATAACAAACATTATATTGATTTTATTGCTATTATTGATACAAATAAATCAAATTTACATCATTTGTATTGCAATTTTGATATATTTATTAGTTTATATTTATTAAAAAAAACAATTTCATTAAAATTGAAGTATCAATAAAATAATGAGATTAAAGGGTATCTAAAAGTAATGTTTAATAAATGCATTGAATGTTTGAAAAGTTCATGACTTGTAATATTAATAAATGTATTATTGAAGCGATGATCGTATCATATGATTGATTGATGTTTTAATATATTATTGGATATAATATACGATTGAATTGTAATAACATTGAAATGAGTGCTCAATTGGTAATCACTTGAATATTAATTAATTTACAAATTAATTGTTTTAAACATTTGATTACAACAAGTGATACCATACTTGTCTGATCTCAAGACGTTTGTGATAATCAGCGAAAAAAAACAATGACTTCAATGAATGGGTCGTTGAGTGTAATTGAAGCGCAAGCGATGGCTCAATACATACAGACATTTCTGGATTTAGTGGACAATATTCCCAATGATATCTCAAGACATGTCACTCAACTTCATGTCATACACAACAACTACCTTAAACTCATCAACAGAATGGATCAAAACCTCGATAACTATAACAAATTGTTGACCACTGAACAAGATATTAGTTATCCTCAAAGTCAAGTCATGATTGATAAAAGAAGAGGTTTGATGAAGAAGATTGAGATACAATTGATTCAAATACAAGAGTTGGCCGACGAAAAGCTTAGATATTCACAGCTAATCATTGATTTGATTGAAATGAAAGCTAAAGAATTGGATTTAGATTATGAAGAAGTGATGAGATTTAATAGTAGGCCTAATAGTATTGTTAGAGATAATGTTGTCCACAATGGAAATGGTGGTCACAACAAACCCATCGCTAACATAACCTATCATTCCTCAAATGCCAGCAATTTTGAGATAAAAGAGGAGAAATACACTAAAAATGTTAACAATGAAGACAAGAGTGACGGCAAAGTTAATGACAAACGATTGCTTCCTCGCAGAGCTTGTGCTGTAAAAAGTAGTCAAATAATTGATATAAAAGATACTAATGACGAGTCATATGTGCCGAAAGTGACACAAAACAAGATAATTAAGTCTAAGAAATATTCGAAAAGTCATAATTTTGGTCTTTCAATGGCAAACTATTACCGAGATATGGCTCGTAGACGGGCAACACTTCCCAAAGTGGCCAAAATGGTGGCCAAATTGAAAGATAAGAATTGTTTGCATTCGGTGAAACAAAGCGCCAAAAAATCTAATCGAAAGCCAATTAAACGTCTAATTGAAGTTAAGTCTAACAAACAAATGAATTCAACAAATAATTTAATCAACAAAAAGGTTAACAATAAGTCTAGCGATTCGATGTCTTCATCTTCGAGCTCTTCATCATCGAGTAATGACAATGAAATTTATGAGTCTCCGAAAGTTTTGAACAATTCTAATATAAATGGTAATCAAATGAATACTAGAAGAGAGTCGAAGAGGACATCAAGCAATACATCCAATAGTAGTAGCAATAAGAAAGGCAAAAGTAATTCAAACCATACGTCGAGTTCAAGCGTTGAGAACATGTTTATCGGGGAACCGGTCGATCCAAATGAACCGACCTATTGTTTGTGTAGTCAAGTGAGTTATGGAGAAATGATTTGCTGTGATAATGCTTTTTGTCCCATTGAATGGTTTCACTTTCCTTGTGTTCATTTGTCTCACAAACCTAAAGGCAAGTGGTTTTGTCCCAAATGTAGAAAAGGAGATAAATATTCAGTGCCTAAGCGTACCTTACATTCAGCCAAAGATTAGTCTTTTCTTAATCTATTCATACTTTTAGCTTAGTTTTAGTTAATTATTAAAATTTTTATACATTTTATGTATATTTAAATATTATTGCAATTATATCAACATTTTTTAGTTGTAGTTAATTTAGTGACAAGAAATTCAAGTGATTATTAATTTTTATATTAAGAATTTTATAATTTGTTTTTTTGCCAATATTTTTTAATCAAATAATAATTATAGTGGTATTAATTATTAAGATTTAATTAGCAATAAAATTTATATTGATTTATAAATAATGAMATTCAAAATAATTTAAGTTTATTATTTAGTTTAAAATTTAATAAATCTTCCATATCTGATATTTTTACTAAATTTTCTAAAATTTAACCAAAACGGTAATATTAATTTTAGTTAATTTAGAAAATTTTAAATATAATTAAATGAATGTTCTTTTTTAAATTAAAAAAAAATATTTACCAAAACGTTATAATAAGTTATTTGTTGAATATATCTATTACTTTGATTCAAATAGCCTGACATTTAGTGCATTGTTTGTAGAGATTGTGTTTCTTTTCCTGCAATGAGTAGAGTTTTGATACCTTTCTGAGTGCAGATTTGGTTAACTCTTTGCCTTCATTGTCATGAGTTGGTAACCCTTTGTCATCAAATTGTGAATATTTATCGATTTCAGTCTTAAACATAACCAATGGACACAATTTGCTTTCTTCTTCTTTTTTTGATTCAGCCAATAGTTTCTCTTTGAGTTTCCTCTCTTTTTCTTTGTCTTTAAATTCTTGTGCTTTTATTTTTTCTTCTCTTTCTTTCATTAAAATTTCTTTATCGACGAGTTTGAGTCTAGTTTTGGTTAGTCCATCACCCACTTCACAATCTTCAAGACGTACGCCAACATTTGGWAGTACATCATCACGTAATTGATCACAAATTGTTAACAAATCTTTATTTGCCAATTCTTTTGCTTTGATTCGGAAAGTTTCTCTTAAATTTGCAATTATTTCTAAAAATGGCATAACTATTGCCTCTCTATCGCTACTTTCAGAACTCTCATTTGCAAATCCCAAGCCATGACTTTTAGACCCGACACCAAAAACATTAAATATCGATGTTATATAACCGGCAATATTTGTAATGAGTGTTATGTTCGGTGATTTTGGACACTCCTGAAGGTACGAATTGGTGGCAGTTATCAGTTCCTTAATATGTTTACATGCAGTCTGAGTATCGATATTATTACACAATGCAAAGTCAATATTATTGACTAAATCATGATATCTAGAGTTAAAGAAAACATTAGAAACAGAAACAACTTGAGTGACAATCTTTGATACTTTTTGTTTAATGAGATCTCCTTTTCAGTCCACTTCACAATAGACTTATCACTCGTGCGAATCAAGTCTTTAACCGTCAGAAAAAATTCCTATAAATTAAGTTTATATGAGATAACAACTACTATATAATACATCTATATTAACAATTCATAAATATTTACATACATTTGCAAACTTTTCAAAATTGATGGCATCATTCATAGTATTGTCGCTGTAATCGAGGGTATCTTTCCAAGAATGTAACAGAAAAGCAAATCTCAATTGTCTCCAAGTGTTGCGTTTTAGGGCCTCTTTGATTGTAACGAAGTTCTTAAGTGATTTAGACATTTTACAACCAGATATAGTCAAATGTCCAGAATGTAAAAAATAGTTAATCCATGGCTTTCCTGTGTTATAATAAGCCTCTGCCTGTGCCATCTCATTGTCGTGATGTGGAAACCTTAGATCAATACCACCCGAATGTATGTCCATTTGTCGACCAATTACTGAACTGGCCATCACCGAACATTCAATATGCCATCCGGGACGTCCATTACCCCATTGTGATGACCAAAATGGTTCACCGGGTTTGGAGTTCTTCCAAAGAGCAAAGTCGTTGACATTTCTTTTATCTGACACATGTGACAGATCGCCCTCTCCTTCAGCTAAGGCTTTACTGTCACCAAAAGCTTCGGGAACTAATTTGGCGTAAAAATGTTGATCACATGAATTGAATTTATTTGTATCGAAATATACGGATCCGTTTGATTCATAAGCGAATCCGTTTTTTATGATAACTTCTATGTATTCAATGATTTCGGGTATAAATTCTGAAACTCTAGTGATGGCATCGGGAGCTAAGATATTCAATGCTTTCATATCTTCATTATATTCGTCTTCAAATTTTCGGGACAGAGATTGAAATATTGAATTATCATTAACTTCATGACCTTTAATACGATCCAACCATTGAGACAACACATCGGAGATACAATTGTGTTCAAGTATTGCATTTAAATCCATTGTTTTATTAATAACTTCGTTGGCATTAGTTATCAATTTTGTTAACATATTCTTCTTCTCCATATCTGTCTCAACGTCTAACTTACTCTTCATTTGATTAATAGCTTCATTGATATCAATCAAAAATTGTTGTCTATTTTGTCCGATATTATCCGAGTATTGTTTAAACAAATATCTTTGTCGAGCTCTTTGAATAATCTTGTCATCGATGTCTGTCACGTTCTGGACAAAGAAGATATCGTAATTGAAATATGATTCAAGAACTCGTCTAATGATATCAAATGAGATATAACTTCTTGCGTGTCCCATATGGGAGCTGTCATAGACAGTGGGACCGCAGTTATACCACGTAATGGTGCGACCATTCATTGCCACAAACTCTTCCTTCTGTCGGGTCAATGAATTATGAAGAACCAACTTATTGGAGATCCGATCGCTGACCGGTACCGACCAATCGGGTTGTCCGCGACGACTACTCATTTGTTTATTGTTTTTAAATAAATTAATTAAAATTTKCAAAAATAAATTATAACTTAATTTATATGAAAACAAATGTAATTATAGTAATGATCATCAAATGGTATCAAATTGTGATTACAATTAAATTAAACAAACAATATGTAAGACCAACACATCATTGGGTGAGTCTATAGTACAGTATATATACAGTAGTATTGGTTTGCATTGTATTGTAGTTACACTAGTATTACATAATAACATACAATTGTCGGCACTTTTATTGTTAATACAAAACAACTATAACTTTCATCAACTTTAATAACAACCCATAAAATCATTAACAATAAACTACTCATTACTACATTAATAATATATAAGTATTTTCAATATTTCCACTTTTAGTATAAACTATAACACTATTTATGAATAACCCATAATATAGTCAATTAGTGATACAGTAATCATGTGTTTAATTATTATGAATTGAAAACTAATTCAATGATTATATATTTGATTGAATAAAATACTTAATTTTATCAATAATTAGATAATTTTGATTTTCACACCATCTCTGGTAATGACAAAAATCATTAGAAAAGACACGTTAGTATTGGTGACCAAATCTGGTCAACAAATTCTTTTGGGACTCAAGAAGCGGGGTTTCGGTTGCGGAAAATGGAATGGATTCGGCGGTAAAGTAGAAATGAATGAAACCATCGAAGAAGCGGCCAAACGGTTAATATTTGGCTAACAATTGTTGCATTGTTTTAATACTAAAAGTGCTATAACTGTCGGATCCGTTTCATATCATATGTAGAGAACTTCTTGAGGAGTCAAACCTCAAATGTAATGATATGAAGAAAGTCGGGATTTTGAGCTTTGAGTTCGTTAACGACTTGACKGCACCCAAACATCTGGAAATTCATGTCTTTCATACCGAAGATTATTGGGGAGAAGTCCAAGAATCTGATGGTTTGTTTGTTATAGTTTAGGATATGATATGATATATTATGGTTAGTGAATGTATTGATTATCATATATTGTATATTATCAGAAATGATGCCAAAATGGTTTAATATTGAAGACATACCATTCAATAATATGTGGGTTGAAGATCATCTATGGTTCCAATTATTACTTAAGGGATCCCGATTTAGAGGTTTCTTTAAATATAGTGGTCAATCAATTATCACTGAATATATTCTTCAAGAATTAAGTAAAGAATGTAAATTAGATCCAATTGAGTATTGATTTGATATATCTTATCATAAATTGTTTATAACTTTAATATTAATACAAAACTTTGACAAACTTTTCAAACACATTGTTWATTGCATTTGAATTGAGCGCTAAGTTATTGAACACATGTTTTCATATAAATATGAAATAAAAATATTGTTAAAACTATTAATTGTTTATAATTATAGAATAAATCAATTAAGTTATGATTAAATACAATCGTATTTTAAATAAGTTATTTGTCGACACATTTCGGCCAAGAATATGCCGACGATTGGCCTCATCGTCATCGAGGCCTCAATTAAAAAGTGGACCCGATTTACAACATTTTTTGGCCACTTCTCAAACCAATTCAATTCTCGACCCATTTGTTGTGACCAGAAATTTGCCGATTCCTTATATCAACGAAAATGATTTGAATGGTAACGGAGCCAAAGGTATGTCCGTTGAGATGTCATAAAAAAGTCAAATTTTTATTTACTCGGATCTAAATGTAGTTTTCATCCGCACTTACGGCTGTCAGATGAATGTCAACGACACTCAAATCACATCAACAGTTCTCAAGAACTCAGGCTATGAATTAGTGGACGATATAAATGATGTAATTGTTTATCATTAAGTTATTGGATGATTGGATTAATTGTTTTGTATTAATCAAAGGCTGAAATCGTATTTCTGATGACTTGTGCCATCAGAGAGAACGCCGAGACAAAGGTGTGGAACAAATTGAAAGAGTTGTCACTTTTGAAGATTAACGGAAAGATCAAACAAATTGGTCTTTTGGGATGTATTGCCGAACGATTAAAAACTGAAATACTTGTAAAACATCAATTAATTGACATTATTGCCGGACCCGACAGTTATCGTGATTTACCGAAACTATTGGCCATCAATAGGATGACCGGTCAGAATGCTGTCAATGTGTTGCTATCATTTGATGAAACCTATTCCGATATAATGCCAACAATTAGTAAATCTTCAGTCACTGCTTTTGTATCAATTATGAGAGGATGTGATAATATGTGCTCCTATTGTATCGTTCCCTTTACAAGAGGTAGAGAGAGGTCTCGAGCTATTGAGTCGATTGTTAATGAAGTGAAACAACTCTCTAATTCTGGTGTCAAAGAAGTTACTCTTTTAGGGCAAAATGTTAACAGTTATCGAGATTTGTCTCATGAATCAAATAATACGAGTATCTCATTAGTTCCCGGCTTTAAGACTGTATATAAACCTCGTTTACGTGGATTTACATTTGATATATTACTCGATGAGGTGGCAAAAGTTGATCCAAATATGCGAATCAGATTTACATCTCCACATCCTAAAGATTTTGCAGATGAAGTGCTTCATGTAATCCGAAAACATAATAATATCTGCAATTGTATTCACTTACCCGTACAAAGTGGTAGTAATCAAGTATTGGCTCGTATGAGACGCGGATATACTCGTGAGGCATATCTAGCATTAGTTGATCGCATCCGTCAACTAATACCTGACTGTGCCCTCTCTAGTGATTTCATTTGTGGCTTCTGTGGTGAAACAGATGACGACCACAAACTAACTGTTGATATAATGCAAAAAGTAAGATATATGTCTGCCTTTACTTTTGCATATAGTATGCGTCAAAGGACTCATGCCTTTCATAAACTATCAGATGATGTCTCCAGTGATGTCAAAATTCAAAGAGTCAATCAAATCAGTCAATTGTATAGAGATATCGCTCTTGAAATTAATAAATCATTTATAGGTAAACAACAGTTAATTTTAATTGAAAATGTGAGCAAAAAGAGTGATAACTATCTCTACGGTCGTAATGAAGCAAATCTTAAGGTAATTGTCCCTAAAGTAGTGATTCCTGTGGTCGACCAAAACCAGAGTAGTCTTAAACTAATAGAAGCGGGAGATTATGTCAGAGTAGACATACAAGACTGTACTGCCATTACATTAATGGCTAAACCTATTTGTCATCAAAAATTGTCTCATTTGCCATAGTATTGCTTTTTAACTATATTTCAATTTAATTGATTAATAAATTAATTGATATAAATATAAATTAAAATATCAAATAAAATAAAATTAAATTTAAATTAAAACTAAAACATTTGTAAATAAATTATGTCAATCAATACATCAATCAATACGACAATCCTTACAATAAAAATGTTATAACTTTTTAAATATCTGTAAATTAAAAACATTCAGTAATAGTATTGATGTTATTGTATGTCAATAGCAAAGCACGTGTTGACCAAAAACACGACTTTTGATGACAACTCTAGAACTGAAGTATTGATTGTTGTGATAATGGATGCGATCAATGAATTTAATTTGTTGACCACAAATGCACAACAAATTGAAAGCAATTGTTTTGAATTAATGGTCAAAGAATTGTTAAATGAAGTCAAAGTTAAAGACAAACTTTTATTAAAAATTAATGATTGGATCAAACAATTTGAGTCTAAGTTGAGATCAATTAAGAGCAGCAAAAGTTATCAATTGACGGATCAGTTGTGGTGTAAATCATTGAAAGTGCCTATAATTCAGGAGCCATTTGAAGTCAACGGAGTGTTTAACTTTGAGACACCAAAAGTGATCAAAATTATCGGTAGTTATGATTTGAAAACATTAATCGGACCACAGATTGTGGTCGATTTGGCCGTTGAAATACCGACTGAATGTTGGCAAAGACAAGACAATCTCAACCATAGATACTTTCGCAAAAGAGCTCTCTATATATGTTATATTTGTCAAATGATTAAGTCATGGGAACTAATTGGTGACATGAAGTTTACATACTTTAATGGAAATCATATGAAACCTATTGTTTTGGTGACGCCATCGGATCAACACTTAGCTAAAAGATTTAGATTATCGTTGACAGCATATCCTAAAAGTGACCAAAAAGTTTATCGGTTGATACGCTTTATACCGGAGAAGAATAATGTTCGCAGCAATTGGTTTAATATTAATGATTCAATTAGTGATGACTTTGCCACTCCTATATACAACTCAAGCATTCTTCAAGATATGAATCTTATATTAAATTATGAATATTTAGCCAAAACTGTTGAACACAATCAACACATTAAAGAGGCGCTAATAATGTTGAAGATTTGGCTCAAACAAAGACTATTGAAGACTGAGTTTTGTTTTCCGTTATCACTATTTATTTGTCATTTGATTGAAAGACAAAAAATTAATAATAATTTAAATGGTATCCAAATATTTAGAAACACATTATTAGCTATTTGTAAGTTATTATTAGATAATACTTTTAAAAATTTAATTATAAAATTAATTATAATTTATTTATCTGAAGCCACATCCAAATGGGATACTGAAGGCATTTCATTGACCGACGATGTCTATGAATCAATTGACTATTACATGACATACTTTCCACTTGTTTTCATTGATATTAGTGGTCACCACAATCTCTGTTGGGATATTACTATTGATCAATACAACAGATTAAGACACGAATCAAAGCTTACGGTTGAATGTTTGGATTCAACGGATAGAAACAGTTTTGAGACGATTTTTATAAAATCAATTTCTTTTGAATTAAAATTTGATATACTTTTTCAGTAAGTTTTTTATAATAATTTTTTGTTTACGATTTTTTTTATTAATTACATGTACCGTAATTTTTTCTATTAAATTATGTGTTAATAAACAGCATATGCGTTGAACCACTTTTGAAATGTTCAAAAGTAACTGATATAAGAAATGACATAATAGACAATTGCGATGATATTATTACAGCATTTGTCGGACATTTAGTGCCATTATTTCGACGAGTTGTAGATAAAAGAGTCTCATTATTACAACATAAGTCAAAATCATATGACAGCTGTGAATGGACTGTTGATGAGTCACCTCCGCATCCAAATGACAGAAAATATTTAACATTTGGTTTGTTAGTGGATGAAGAATATTCATATAATAATATAGAAAGAGGTCCATTGGCTGACACCACAGAAGCTAAAGAATTTAAAGATTTTTGGGGAGAAAAGTCTGAATTGAGACGATTTCAGGACAACTCTATTTGTGAAGCCGTCTATTGGGACGCAAAAAAATTATGTGAAAAGAGACAAATTATAGCAAATTCGTTGAAATATATATTAAGTAATATTTTGGAAATTCCTACGGATTCACTTCTGGCCACTACTTCACTGTTGGATCCGTTAGTTAGTCTTACAAATCTAAAATTTGAAAACAAAAATACAATTTATGGTACGTCTGAAGAATTTTCTATAGCTCTTTCACATCGATTTGATTCATTAGCTAAAAAGCTAAGAACATTGGATGGATTGCCACTAATGATAACAAATATTCAATCAATTGATTCAGTATTTCGTGGCACAGATGTGAGTTAATTTATAGAATATATTTCTAAATAAGTATTTTTTCACATAATTTTATTATTTAGGTCTTTCCGCCGATACCTTTAAATAGTGAAAAGTCATACAAATATCAAACAAATGTTAATTTATTTGATCTCTTAATTGACGAAAGAGTTCCCAAATATTTTAAACCACTGAAAGTTATACTTAATTTGGAGGGAAGTGGCAAATGGCCCGATTCTTTGGATGCTTTCTATAAAGTTAAGGCATCTTTTTATGTTGAAATGGCACAAAAATTATCGGAACAGTTCGGACTTATATCATATGCCAACACTGATTACGTTGACATATATGAAGAAGGATTTGTATTCAGAGTTATCATTAGTTTACATAAAGAATTGGTTTTATTGAGACAAATGACTACAAGTGATGGACAGATAAAGAGAATTGAAAACAAATTGGCCGATGATTTAGAAAATACATTTGAAGTGTTGCCTAAAATAAACAGTGCTTTAAATGCATTAAATCGAAAACATCTCTGTTTTGGTATTACCTGTCGATTAGTTAAACGTTTTATATCAGCACAGATGTTGTCTTATTATTTTGAAGATATTGTTTTAGATCTATTAGTGGCTTATATTTTCTTGAATTCACATCCATATACAGTTCCAAAGTATAATTTTATTATAATATTTAACTATAGATTAAATTAACTTTAAATTTTATAATTGTTTAGTTCTCCAGTTTGTGGTTTCTTCAGATTTTTGTCGTTGATATGTGAACACAATTGGAAAATTTCACCACTAATTGTTAATTTTAATAACGAATTAAATGAAGAAACAATATCACAGATAATAACAAAGTTTACTAAAGATCGACCAAATTATCCGCCAATGTTTGTGGTCACTGCTTATGATAAGCAATGGTCTAAATGGACTCAAAAATATCCCGATCCTATTATTTTGAATCGATTTATAAAGTTAGCAATTGTGGCCAGAAATACGTTGAAATATCAATTGGAAAATCCATTGGAAGTTAATCCAAAAGTATTAATTTTAGTAATTTAGTTGAATATTAAGTCTTATTAATTTAATTTTAATTAATAGGTAATATTTAGACCTGATTTGGATATCTATGATATTATTATACGATTAAAATCACATCAAATACCTAATCAAATACAAGGCATAGATTTTCCTGAAAAATACGAGTTTGTGGTCAAAGATTTCAACACAGAGTTCACTCAACGAATGCCAATAACAGATTTCCATCCAATCGACAAATATCTAAATCTATTAAGAAGTTGTTATTCAGAGTTTGCCCTCTTTTTCTACGACTGTTTCGGTGGCCGTCAAATTGGTGTCCTATGGAAACCATCAGTATTTGAAAGCAGATCTTTTACCACATATTCAATTAAAGGCGGTATACTGTCTTCTACTGCAGATAAAAGTGGTACACAAAATGTGGTGACAAATATTGAGGCTATTATTGAAGATTTTAATATTTTAGGCGAAGGCATTGTTAGTCAAATTCAAGTAATGACACATAATATGAGTAAACGAATTGTTAATTAGATATCTTTATTTTACAAAAAAATAATCCTTAAAACACATGATATTATGCTTTTAAATTAAAATTTTAAAGCTTTTCAAGAGTAGAATATTTTGTGAATAAGTTAACAAATATTATATTCATTAGTGAAATATTGTATACAATTCCAATAAATTTTCATATACTCTACAAATTGATAAAAATATATTCCGATATAACTTACAATATAAAGTGGTACTGTATATGCATTAACATTAAATAATAAAAATACAATTAAAGGCTATAATTGAATTAATACCTTAAGTTAGGAATGTTAACAATACCCCAAAAATGCCAACAATTATAACGACTAATTCATTTGAAACATTAAATTATAAATAGTAAATGTTATCATCTTATATACAAATAACTATCGAATACTACCGTAAATATAATAACATTAGTGTAGAAAAATATAATTAGCTCATCGATTAACTTAATGCAAACAAAATCAGTTTTTTGAGGTGAAACTTGAGATTTTTGTATTGTTATCAATAATGTCATTAAGTCTGACCACTTCCTGGGACAGGGAGTCTAAGTTTTGTTGCAAATGCATATTTTTAGTGAGTGTTTCCTCAAGCATTCGCTGCACTTTACGGTTTATTTCACGCATACTTTCGTCGCCTTTGTCTTTAATAAAGTCGACGACACGTTTTACCGTTAATTTGTCGCTATTGTGAAGTATCGACTGTTGAGAATTAGGTCGAGTAGACCGACCTTCCATTGAATAGTATTGAATTATATCAGTTTTTCGGGATATATCTTCATTCATGGCATTAATACTTAGCTCTAATTGATTGAGTTTCTCCTCAAGAATCCACTTCTCTTGTTGTAAACTTGCAATTCTAGACAACAATTCGTTGTTTTCTTTTTCTAACAAAGAACCGTTTCTTTCATTAATTGYTTCATCGACAGTTACCACAGGATTAACGGGTGAAGTAGCAGATTCGCGACCATCAGAACTGACCGAATGTATACTCATTGATCGGTTGTGCGAAAAGTTATTGTCTTTAGCAGACATGAAACTCCAAGAGCCAACACTACTGGAATCGTTTCCATTATGACTTTGTTTTCTTTGAATATCAGTTGATATGGAAGACGTCGATTCATTCAATAGTTCTCTGAGACGTTCTTGTAATTTATCGGCACGTTTTCGTTCAGAATTTAATTGTCTCTTCAACTCCTTAACCATAAGTACCCCTTTCTTTTCATGTATTTTTCGATCTTCAATTCCGTCGACAATCTTTTGATTTAGATCTTTGATTTGTTTTTCCAAATCAAAGATTTTAATCACATATTCGTTACATTYCTGTCTTATTAACTCAATTTCTTTCGTATATTTTTCATTAAATTCTTCCAAATGTTGTTTTTGTTGTTTCTCCAGACGTTCAATAGTTTCTTCACTTTGTGTCCGACAAAAACTTAATTCTTCTTTATAAGAGTCGACTTCATTAATCATTTTATCATTTTCTTTGCGAATACTTTCCATTTCATTCAATTTATCAATTAATTCACTGATTTTTTTCTCGAGTTCTTCTTTAGTCTCTTCAGACACCCTTATATTTGATTCAAGACTTTCAATATTAATCTGATGTTCAGCTCTTAACTCATCAAAGTTTGTCTTAAATTTAAGTTCAATCGATGTCTTATGTTCTCTCATTTCTTCAATCAAACTGTTTTGTCTTTCAATTATATCATTACAATCACTCAATTCTTTGTTAATATTTTCCAATTCTTGCAATTTATTTCTCAATTCTTGCATTTCAGTACCAAATAATTGTTTTTCTTTTTGCAATTTATTTACCAAATCTTGTAAGTCATAAACTTTAAGCTCTAACTTCTCTTTTTCTGCCAAAATGGCAAACGACAGGGGATTTGCGTTAGAATCGGTACTTATAGTAATAATATTATCTTTTGTCTCACAATTATCTTCATTACGAATCGTAGACTTAACGCCTAAATCGCAATCATTTGGCAAATGAAATGAATTCAATTGCTTTTTGAGCGCATCATTGGTCGCAATCAATGAATGGATTTCCTCTTTAAGTGTTTGATTGGTAACAGTAAACTCCTGTTCTTGTGATTCAATCTTTCGGATCAGATTCTCATTTTCAATCATCAAATGTTCATTATCTTTGTCTCGCAATTTATTGTCCACTTTATTGGCAATATTTCTGGCCAAAGATAACGGATTGATTTTGTTGACAGTCTGTAATCTCGACAATTGTTTGTCCAACTCATCGACCCGTTGTCTCAATTGACTGATCTCTAGCAGATGTCTTCGTTTATCTTCTTCTAAAGCATAGTTATTTGTCTTTAACTCCAATAACTGAGTCTATAATAATAATAATAATAATAATAATAATAATAGATATTTGATTTGTGTCACTGTTTAGTCATCAAACAGATGAGACAAACCTGTAATCGTTGAAACTCTTCATCAGAAAGTCCCGAATCCATTGATCACTACTTAGTTTATATAATCTCTTAACGACTGATCCGATACTAATTACTTAAGTTATTTTATTTCAGTTATAACAATGGTTTGAATAAAACATCACAATTTAGTTAATCCATTATTATATTGTCTTCATTTTGATCATACTTTCAATTAATATATCATTTAATGTGTAATTAATTACTAAAAAAATATTCAAAATAATATCAAAAGTAATAACAAAAGCGTTAATACATTGTATTAGTGTTTACTTTAAATCAATTCAATAATCAATGGATGCGTTGATTGACAATCTATTATACATTTATTATAATATACTTTATTTACAATAATATTGCATTCAATGACATATTATTTCAATTAATACAATAATAACTTTAATATTTTGTTCACAAATTATGTAATATTTTAGATTATAAACTATAGACAAACGTTACGATAATTATTATTGTAAAAAAAATTTTGAAAATAAATCCATTCAAATGTAAAGCAATAAACATTTATTTTTAAAAATTGTAATATTTGTGGTTAACTTTAATTGATAGTTATATTAATATAATATAATAATTTATTATTAACTAAATATAATATTATACAGTATTTTAATACAACAAATATGTGTCACATATGTTGTGAATGTGTTGTTATTGAATACATGTATTGTTTTTGCAATCATTTCAAAACAGATATAATTCTTCATTGATTTTAATTATCAATTGATTGACCAATTGATCCACCAATTGATCGCCAAATATCATAGTCATCACAATGTCATCAACACTTGAGTCTTATGTTAATCGTAAGTATAATATAATAGTAACTTAAATTAAGATTATGAAAGAGTTAACCATTGTTTTTATTTATTGATATTTTTAGACACAGTTTCGGTGATCACAGCCGATGGCCGACAGATTGTGGTGAGTGTGAAGACACTGTTAATAATTATTCAATTGTTTTGGTGTTTGATTTTTGTTTGATATGATCTCAATAGTTGTGTGATTGTTGTCTGATTTGTTGTCATTTAAAGGGAACCCTTAAAGGCTTTGACCAAACAGTTAATGTCATATTAGATGACAGTCACGAACGTGTTTACAGCACATCCCATGGCGTTGAACACGTGGCTCTTGGATTGTATATCGTTAGAGGAGATAACGTGTGAGACATTACTGTCATTTATTATTATTATTTTTTTAATTTTATAAACATTTGATATAAATATTACCACTTTTTCATTCATTTGATTTATTTGTCTGATGAGTACTTTCTTGTGATTAATAAGTTTCTTCTTTTGTATTGATAAGAGCTGTCATCGGCGAGATTGACGACGATTTGGACAATAAATTGGACTTCAGTACCATTAAAGCTGAACCATTGAATCCAGTGGTTCATTGATTGTTATTGATTTTGATTTTATAATTTTGACATCACTTTAATAAATAATTTATTTCATTAATAATAATTTAATATTTGGTTATAAACTTAATTTATAATAAATTAAAAAATCAAAAGTAATTGTCGTTATAGTGAGGATTGATTGTATAATTGTGGGCTTTAAGTCTAACTCTGAAACCAATTATAAATATTTAGACTAATTTATAAAAGTCCCATATTTACGGTTTTCAGTAGTTAAGTATTAGTACTATTTTTGATAAGAGTTATGAGTTTATAACTGGTTTCAGACTTAAAGGACTTGATTTAAAGCAGACATTTGTATTACACAACAACTGACGTAAAACATGTGTGACTTTTGCTGAATAGACAATACATTACATGTTATGTTAACAAACATTTAATTAATAAACAATACATTGATTGTCAAAAGTATTTGTAATTAATATTTAAATTAAGATAATTTCTAATTTAGTTTACTATTAATAGTATTAATGATATAATTTGATGACAACTTTTGCCACTTAACGGCACAGACAGTCGTATGACTGGGTGTTAGCGATACACAAATAATTGATATAATTATATAAAATCAATTTTATCTATAATTTAGTGATATATATATAACATTGAGATAAAATCCATTGATGTCCTCATCCCGAGCTCGGGTCACACTAGTGGCTAGTATTGTGGTCAGCGTTGGTCTCATTTACTACGTTCACAATCAACAGGAAAGGGATAGACAGCAAATGCATTTGGGAGTCATTAAAGACATTGAAAGACAACAACTCAAACATGAATATAACGGATCCACTGTTGGTGATAGTCTTAAGCCAAACATACGTTAACTTAAATTATTTGAATTATTTGAATCAAATGTTTGACAAATTATAAGACGTTATTATTTATTATACATTTGTTTACAAAAATTAGTATTTATATATCTATTCGATTGTTTAGTACTTTATTACATTGTTTTTATTGTAAATGAAAAGCTAGTCTTAAACTATTAAAAAGTGACAAATGTTTTGCTTTAAATACACTGTTTTTACATAAATTTGGTATTTTTGGCGCAAAACTATAGTATTAACTGATTGAGTGATTGAATGAACATTTAGTATAAATTTATAGAATAATTGATTACATTATTAGTTAAGAATCGATTGGTTTATCATTTGATTTGATTGACAACTGTTTGAGTGATGACTTCGTATCCAACTCTTGAAATGATACCACAGTTGAGTGGCGGTAGTCTTGAGAGGATTATCACTAATAATTGTTTGAATGAACGACCCATTGTTCAAATAATGGCCACAAGAGTGGTGCCGAGCGGATCCATTCGTTGCAATCTATGGGATGGCATTAAGTTGATTAAGACGGCTGTCATCAAACAAAGTCAAGAAAATAGTGATAAATATAAAGACAATCACTTCAACAGATATTCTGTGGTTCGTCTTAACAATTATTCGGTCATTACTGTCAACGAAAGTGATGTTCAGGTGCTTATCATTGCAGAGTTGGACACTATTGTCAAAGGTTTGTCTCATTTTAGTATTCATTTGGTATAATTGATTTGATTATTATTATTATTATTATTATTATTATTATTATTATTATTATTATTATTATTAATTATTATTATGAAAGGTTGTCATCTAAATAAAAAACTTGAGATCAATTGCGATGCGATTAACACTACAAAAGATACAATTGAAGGAGTGATTCAAACTAATGACAGACCAATGAATCCAGTGATTGATATGAGTGTCAGCAATGGTTTTACTGAAACAAATGCAAACTACAGACCGAGAACACTGACCAACACTTGCAATGATACTAATAGTACGATAAAAGTGGTTTCAATTGATAAGTCGAAAGTATGTCCAATCAATGCAATCACTCCATTCTTTAACAATTTTGTGATAAGAGTGAGGATATCATCTAAGACTCCGATTCGCAAATATAAAGGAAAAGACGGTAGAGATGGCAAACTATTTTCATTTGACGCGACCGACGACTCATCGGAAATACGAATCACTGCTTTCAATGTTGAATGCGATAAATATTACGATATGATTGAAAAAGATTTAATTTATTTGATTTATAGAGGAAATGTCAAATCAGCGAATAAAAAGTTTTCTAATCTTAAGTCAGATTATGAAATAACATTAAATTCTGATTCAGTTATAGAAGTTTGTGAAGAATTGTTTGATACCATTCCTTTGCGCTTTAATTTTATACCAATTGGTCAACTCGTGACACTAAATATTGGCGCATCTGTTGATATCATTGGTATTATTAGATCTATTGATGACATTCAAACCATTACATCAAAGAAGAACACCAAAGAATATAAGAAACGAGACGTATGTTTGGTCGATAAAACACTGTCTGAAGTTAGACTAACTCTTTGGGAGAAAGAGGCCGAAGAATTGTCAGCAATTGTTGGTCAAGTATTAGCCGTAAAGAATGCTGTGATCGGAGAATTTCGAGGAAAGACATTAAGTTGTGTACAAAATTCAGTCATTGAATTAGATCCCGACATAAACGAAGCCCACATTCTGTTGGGTTGGTATGACAACATAGGAGGCGTTATAAATGTTACGCCATTGAGTAAAGTCAAAGAAGACATCACTTCAAAAAGTGATATCAAATATTTATGTCAAATTAATGAGACGTCGATATCAAACACCTCTGTTTTATACTACAATTGTAAGGCAACTATATTAACAACAAATCGTTGGGATAAACACTTGTATAAGTCTTGTGGACTCAATGGCTGCTTAAAGAAAGTTAGGGAAGAGAATAATTTCTATTATTGTGATAAATGTGGTAATAATTCATCACAATTTCAATGGCGTCTAATGATATCTTTGTGTTGTTTTGACTGCACCGGCGAACTCTGGATTACTGTTTTCCAAGAAGTGGCCGAAAAGATTATCGGCAAATCTATTACAGAATTAAGTGCTGTATTCGAGTCGGATCCAAATCAATATCAATTAGCAATATCTTCATTAAATTTCAAGACATTTATCTTTAGAATTGGTTCTAAAGTTGAGGAATATAATCAAGAAAAACGAGTTAAGTCGACTTGTATTTCGGTTAAACCTATAGATCCGATTAATCAATCCAAACAATTGATACAAAATATCACATTAATGAATAATCAAACGGATCATTAAATTATTTATCTAAATATTACAGTTACTTGAAAATGATTATTGTTTAAATAAATTTTTAGTTTTCAACAAATATTTTGAATAGTTTATCTTTACATACAGTAATTATTTTCAATTAATTTCATCAATAGTCTAAAATTTTATCTAATGATATTTGTTTTTATTTTTTCATTACTATTGAAATATTGATTGAAAGCAATAAAATATTTTATTTTAAAATATTGACTCAATTATTAATATACCGTAAAATAAATGTACCTTAAATTGAATACAGTATAAAGTTTATACATAGTCTATAGTACTGTATAGTCTATAGTATACACTATAGTACAGTACTTTACAACACTATAATTGAGTGAATGTTATGCATYAGACGTCACGCAATGTTTACATACAATAGGTTTACAGTTATATCACTATTAGATTGATATTACAGTTATTGCCGACAATTTGACTAAATCTACAATAAATTAGACTATAATTGATATCAATTGTTATATTAATTAAATTATTTTTTATATTTCACACCAATTGGTCATAAAGTGAATCAATGAAGATGTCTATTGATTTGATATCGAGTCGTAAAATCTTATATCCAGGAAGTGGTCATTTGCCAGACTTCACTGATGGCACTAAAGTAATGGTCAATGAATACAATCAATCATTTTAATGATAATCCGTTGTATTTGATATTAAAACCACTTATAGGTGACATTTCATTTCAAAACAGTCAAACATAGCGATGACGGCACTCAAGAGGAACAAGTCATCGATGAGAGCAAAAAGTCTGGTAAACCTATGGAACTAATTATCGGAAAAAAATTTAAGTTAATCCTATGGGAAGAATGGATCAAACATATGCGGGTCAATGAAGTGTCACAATTAGTGGCCGACAAACTCTTGTGTACTGATTATCCGTTTGTCTCAAAGTGCTACCGAAAGTTTGCAAAACAGACAGATTCACCTCATGATTCAAATGAGGATCAGATGCCATCACATCATTGTTGTGGTAATTCGTTTATATTTTATATAACAAAACAGTTTTAATCTCTTGATGTTATACCAAAGGAATGGCTGTTAAAAGCGGTTTGGGTCACAAAGATTTAGATGATTTAGTGTTACATCCGAGTCCTCTTAAGTTTACAATAGAGTTATTGAAAGTTGAAAATCCAGAAAATTATGATAAAGATGTTTGGCAAATGAGTCCACAAGAAATGTTAGATTCAATCCCTAAGTATCGCACTGAAGGAAACCGATTATACACTAATGGTTTGTATTCAGAAGCGGCACAACTTTATAGCAAATCTTTGTCTATTGTGGAACAGTTACTCCTAAGAGAGAAACCGGGAGATGAAGATTGGAAACAATTAGATGATATGAAGATTCCATTGTTGTCTAATCTATCACAGTGTAAGCTAATTGAGGAAGAATATTATTTGGTGATTGATTTAACAACACAAGTGCTCGACAGAGAGCCAAACAACACGAAAGCATTATTCAGAAGATCAAAAGGTCATCAAAAAGTATGGAATTTATTGGAAGCCAAACATGACTTACAACGGATTTTAACATTAGATCCGAGTCTTGAAAAGACTGTTAAACGAGAGTTGAAGATAATTCAAGAATTAGAGAAAAACAGTTATGAAAAAGATATGAAACTCTTAAAGGGAAAGTTGTTTTCATAAATTAATACATTAATTCATTTTCGTTTTCAGCATTTGTTTTATTTATTTATTATTTTTAATTATTTTACTAATTATTTAACTTTTGTTATAATTTATTTAATTTTGTTTTAATAAATTATATGAGATTTTTAGCAATTATTGATTGATTGTATTATTTAACGACTTTTCGTGTCAAACAATCAACAGATGTCTCTCAAAATGCATTACAATATCATTGAATGTGCAGTACTTTAAACCACATGTTTTGTCTGATTATCAATCATTGAATCAATTAGTGATCAATTGTGGTGATAATTATGGCACAGGAGACTCACCGATCGGGTCCTTTCAAACAGGACAACAAGCGGCACAAGTTTGGTAGACATCGATCTAATCGGGCCATCAATACGACCAATAAAGGTCGCAAAGAAGACATTAAACATGTGACCAAACGTAAGGATTTAATTAAACGCCACGAAAGACGTAACCAAATGAAACAATTGCGACAAAACAAACGATACGACACTATTGCCAACAAAAGAGGTATTGGTTCCCAAACAGATATATGTCCACCCATTGTGGTGACTATTTTGGATATGAACACCGCTGATGACACCAAAATTAAAGATTCATTCTTTGAATTGATCCGCAACTGTGACCCAAATTGTATTATCAATTGTGACAAAAATGATCGCAATATTCACATCAGTTTTCCAAAACTGAAGACGAGATTTGAGTTTATTTTGTTGGATAATCAGGACTTGTATTCATCTCTCGATGCGGCAAAAGTGACCGACATTTTGTTACTTTTGCATTCACCCAATGATACCACAGATGACGGCAATCATCCGATTTTAGACGCAATATATAGTCATATTTTGCCGACAACTGTACACTTAATTCACGGTTTGGATGGTTTGAGTCTAAAGAAGAAAAATGATGTGAAGAAAGTGATACAAAAATTTATTAATAATAAGTTTGGCGACGAAAAGTTGCGAAGTGTTGATACTATTTCGGAAGCGTTACAATTGATTCATTTCATATCAAATTGTAAACGAAAAGACAATGCATTTCGGTTACATCGGTCTCAAGTATTGGCAGAAAGACTCGACTTCAGTGAAAACAGTGATGACTTACAGTTAGGTACTCTTAAGATATGGGGTTATGTGAGAAACAGAGCTCTTGATGTCAACTCATTGGTTCATATTCCTGGTTTTGGTGACTATCAGATGAATGTTATTGAAGTGCTAACTGATCCAAATCTGTTTAATCGAAAAAATAATAAACTTATTAGTAATATGAATATTGATGATAATAACACTAACTTAGAATTTGTGTTGAGATCTGATCCAACTATACAACAAACTCTTGATTTTGAGAACATTGTAGACCCGATGGAGGGCGAACAGACGTGGCCAACACCAGAGGAATTGAATGCCGCACAAGAAAGTCAAAAGAGCATTAAAAAAGTACCAAAAGGCACATCCGATTATCAAGCGGTTTGGATTCTGGACAATGAAGATGACAATAATAGTTCCAATGATAATAGTGAGTCTGATGAGGAAGACATGATTATGGAGGCAAACAATGAATTAGATTCTGTTGATGAAAATAGTGAAGATGAAGATAAAGATGATGATATGGACACCATGTCTGTCACAACCACTAATGAAGCAAATTATGACCAAAAAATTGATATCACTGAAGAAGAGGCGGCCCTTAAGAAATTTAAAGATCAACGATTGAATGAAATGTTTCCCGATGAAGTAGACACACCTATTGATCAACCGGCCAAAGTTCGATTTGCCCGATATCGTGGTCTTAAAAGTTTCCGAACATCTACGTGGGATTTCAATGAAAATTTACCGAAAGATTACTCCAGAATTTGTCAGTTTGAAAACTTTTTACGGACTAAAAAACGTGTCTTYAATGCGGACGAATCGGGTGCTCAAAGCGGTTGGTTTGTTTGCGTTCATGTGATAAATTGTCCGAAAACTGTTTATGAAATGTATGGCAACAACAACAAGAAACCACTTATACTTTACAGTCTCTTAGAACACGAGCACAGGATGTCGACAATCAATTTGGTCATCAAAAAGGTTTCATCATTTAGTGAATCACTCAAATCAAAAGAATCGTTTATCTTTCATTTGGGTTGTCGTCGATTCAGAGCTTCTCCTATATTTTCTGCCCACACTAATGGAGATAAACATAAGTTGGAGCGCTTTATGAGAAGTGATGTGCCAGTAGTGGCCACACTATACGCCCCAATAACTTTTCCGCCCTCATCGGTGCTCGTATATAAACAAAGAGAAGATGGCTCTCAGCAATTGGTGGCCACCGGTTCTCTATTGAGTTGTAATCCTAATCGTGTAATTGTTAAGCGAATTGTATTAAGCGGTCATCCGTTTAAAATCAATCGAAAACATGCAGTCGTCCGATACATGTTCTTCAATAGAGATGATATTATGTGGTTTAAGCCGATAGAGTTGCGGACAAAGTATGGTCGCAAAGGACATATAAGGGAACCATTGGGAACTCACGGACACATGAAATGTGTTTTTGACAGACAACTCAACTCTCAGGACACGGTTCTCATGAATTTATATAAGAGAGTGTTTCCCAAATGGACTTACGATTCATTAGATAATGTATTGCAATCCACTTATAATAATAATAACGAAAAGATGAATCAATAAATTTTATTAAATTTAATATGTATTAAAATATGCTATAAAATAAATATATAAACAAATTATGAATATTTTATTTTTATTATAATAGTTTTGTAATAATTATTGATATTATAATAAATTGCAAAATATTTGTACTATAATGTTGTATTTAATGTTAAGTTATACAGTAATTACTAATTACCGTAAATTAAAAAATCAAATAAATTTATATTAATAAAAGTTTTTAATAACTGAACTAATTTACAGTACAGACTATAATCTAGATATTGTCGACGTTTTATATGAATGAAACAAACAATACATTTACTAATTGATTGAATATTCAATACATTGATTGGCAAAGACTGCACAAGACTTACACCAATTGATCCATAAGTTTGTATTGATTTGATTGCTATTACTTGTTGTCTTAAGTATACAATGTCTTCACGAGAGGGTAAGTGTAACACGTCTTTCACATGAATTAACATAACATATATGTTGATCCAAAAGGTGGTAAAAAGAAACCATTGAAACAACCGAAGAAAGATAACAAAGAAATAGATGAATCAGATATGGAGTTCAAGAAGAAGCAACAGGAAGAACAAAAAAAGTTGAAAGAAATGGCAGCAAAAGCCGGTCAAAAGGGTCCACTTGTGAGCGGAGGGATCAAGAAATCTGGCAAAAAGTAGACTCATTTTATCATATTTCTTAAGTTGTGACCATTGATTGATTAATTGATTGTTTTAATTAATGATTAACCACTTTATGTCATATAAAATGTCTACTTTTATAAACTATAAATTTAATTATAAAAATTGTTTTTATTATTTAACAAATACTGTAAACATTAAATAAAACTATTGTTTCTGTGAACACACGCTCTGAACAATACTTATAATTAAATTGTAATTAAATTGTTAATTCAAAAATCAATTCAAAGAATAAGTTTAGATTTGAATTGAAATTATTTTTAATATTTGCGTTAATCTGTAATACAAATGGCTTCAAAGGAAACATATAATAATAATGAAGACTTTTGGACGACTGCTCCAAAAGGCAAATGGTTTTTACCGAAGACATTGTTTGGACAGCCGTTTCCTACTCAACAATCAGTTAAACATCCAATGAGTTACCCGACGAGTACTAAAAGTACTCAAACTCGACACCAAAAAGATCTGACCCCTCGTCACAGCAATACTTCTACCACCAGTCAAACTGATCACAAACTTAGATCCCAATCATTTTCAGGATTTCCTATAAGAAAGAGAGTAGATGTCCGTCGACGCGCTTTTCAAACCAAATCAGTTGAAACACAAACACAAGATGTAGATTTGGATGACACGGGTTATCATAGTCATGACAGTAGAAGTGGAAGTACTGCTCAGAACCAAACGACTTCTACTCAAACTCCAGATGAAAATCAAGAATTTAATCCAAACGACTTGTGGGATAAAGAAGAGTTTGGTGACGTCATTGCTTATTACCCGAAAGACTTCTTTGGATATAAATTGCCCTCAAATGTCCAAAAAAGACAAACTCGAAAGGAAAATGAAAAGGAAAAGCAAAATGAAAAGCAATCACAAGATATCGATTTGGATGATACGGGTTATCAAAGCCATGACAACAGTAGTAAACGTTATGATCACAAGAAAACAACTTCAACACAAACTCAATATGAAAGTCAAAAGTTTGATGCAAATGACTTGTGGGATAAAGAAGAGTTTGGTGATGTCATTGCCTATTATCCGAAAGACTTCTTTGGATATAAATTGCCATCAAATATCCAAACAAGACAAAGTCAAGAGGACAGGCAAACACAAGATGATTATAGAAGTACTGCACCGAAAGATATTTGGGATACAGAACTGATGAATGGTATTGAATGGCATTTTCCCAAAACCTTTTTTGGTCTTCCATTTCCATCCAAAACTAAAAGACCTAATTGGAGTCCACGCAAGAGTCGTAAGACTAATACTCAAACTCGAGACCAGAGTGAAGCATTTGATCCAACTGGGCTTTGGGATAAAGTGGAGTTAGGAGGTGTTGTTGGCTTTTATCCAAAAGACTTTTTTGGATATAAATTGCCGTCTAATGTCCAAACAAGACACAGTCAAGAGAATAGACAAACACAGACTCAAGATCGGAGTCAAGAATTTGATCCAAATGGCTTATGGAATAAAGAAGAGTTTGGTGGTGTCATTGCTTATTACCCGAAAGACTTCTTTGGATATAAATTGCCGTCAAATGTTCAAACAAGACAAACTCAAAAGCAAAAGGAAAAGCAAAAGCAAGAGGAAAAGCAAACACAAACACAAGATATCGATTTGGATGATACGGGTTATCAAAGCCATACCGACACCAGTAAACGTTATGATCACAAGAAAACAACTTCAACACAAACTCAATATGAAAGACATAGAATTACTAAAGACAGCCCTCAAACAAAATCAAAGGCTATGTATAACCCAAATCGTCCCATTCCTCCCCGTCCTCTCAGTCCTACACTTGAAATACACTACAGAGTGCTTCCAGACTAGTGTCTGTCTGTTTCACACTCGGTATCAAAAATGAGTTACATTTCAAATAAAAATCTTTTCCGGTTTTATCAAAATTAAAATCTCATCACTTGTTTTGTTTGTTTGTTTGCATTTAATAACAAAAATTATTTATTTATTATAATGTTTTTTCCTTCTTTTATATCAAAAATCAAATATAAATTTATTGTTAATATAGAGTAACATAACATATAAGTAGAAGTTATGAGTTTATAAAATACAGGTATGAGACGTGATATTGCATTAATCATAAGGGCATTGTGTCTTCAATTGATTAATAGAAATAATAATTTCATATTTATTAGGCTACAGTTTAATGTAATTATTATTATTATTAAATAGTTTTAAATTAGTAAAAGAATAAATATTTTATAAATTGTTTTAAAGTTATAAATGGATTCAAAATATAAGAAATCGATTTATTTACGTGAAGAATATCACTCTATGAGTCCTCCACACACACCACCGCCTCCTCCACCACCACTCACTGATATCTTCAATCAAATGGATGGACTTAAGTATGAATTTATATATAAATCAGAGATGAAGTATACAACAGGTAAACCATACAAGAAAGTCATTGAAATACCAATGATTAAGTCGGAAATACAACAAACAAAACTACCCATCAGTTCGAGCACTACTGTAATGTCTTATAAACATCTTTCAGGTATTAATTGAAACTGTTTTTGGTTTTTTCAAATGATTTAATTTAGTATTTTTTATTTTATAAGGATTGAAATAAATGAAAAACTTAAATAATTACAGTAAAACTGCAATGATATCTAATTTTATTTATATATTAATCTAATATTAATTTTTCCTATGGGTTGATAATTAACATTATTTGTTTTTATAAAATTATAATTTTTTAGAAAAATAAATTTATTATAATCACTTACCGGTAATATATAAATATTATTTGCACTAATATAAATTAATTATTTACATTTAAATGATTGTATTTTACTCATAATAATTATTTATTAAAATATTGTAAAATCATAAAATGTATTTAAAATATTAATAATAAATATATAGAATATATAAAATAATATATAGAATAAAATAAAAATGCAATTTTTTAGTAACAATTCAACTGAAATGTAATTTTATTTAAATTATAAGTTTCGTTAATTTTTAAAGGAAACTTTGGTATTGTTTCACAAATAATAATAAGACATTTGTTTGTTTCAAAGTAATGATTAATTGAAAATTTTAATTATTTCTGCTCAAAATATCTGTTTAACCAATGAATACTATATTATTAATAATGATTAAATTCATTCATTATAATTTTGACATATGAATGCATAACAATAGTCGTAACCAAATATACTGTGTTTTAGTGTATATATATATATAATTAATAATTAAAATTTAATTATGTTTTAACTTTTAAAATAAAAAACTATATATAAGTTAATATAAGTTACTTGCAATATTACAAACTATTTATTTTTATAACTAATTTATAGCAAAAACAAATTTAATTTAAGTTGAATTTATTGATTTAGATTGAAATACAAATTTTATGTAAATATTTATTATTTAATTAATAGATTATTTGAAAAAAATATTAATTAAAAAACTGGTTTCAATTATTTTATATTGTATTATATTTATATAAAATATAGATGAAACCATAAGTTGACAGAATATTAACTTGGTCATTTGACATATAACTGTAACATTTGTATTGTAAGTGTTTTACATACGATAATACTGTATCTATTTGTGATCATAAAATTGTAACCTAAATAATATAAGTAATATATCTAGTTATTAATTATTTCACTTAATGTTTTAATTGTGATTTTAAGACATATTTAGAATCATTTATTAAATGTTTGAAAAATTAATTTAATTGTGAAAACACATAACAATTCAGAAATTGAGATAAAAGTTTCAACAAAAGGTAACATTTTTTCTGTAAAATTCTTTATGTATTATATTTACCTTATCTTTAAAAGCGTCGCTATAATAATGGTTTTCATTTTTTAAAAAATTTTATTTTTAATATCTTAGTCGTGGTGTGAATCTTGAAAATGTTATTTTTAAAAATATTTAAATTAATGGTCACATTGTATATTGTAAAGCATGGTAAGATCATTAGAGTTACATGTTACTTTATTATTATTAGACAATTGATAGATATATACTACTTTATATACTACTAAAAATAGTAATTGAAATTCATATATTTAAAATACTAAAGTTTTTCTTAAAAATAATTATTAAAGTTATCATCTATGTCTATACATCAATATATTGTAAATCACTCATGTTATGCAAGTTTTAAATACTATTCATATGGTAAAGCTTTGACTATAAATCAAAGCCAATAAAATGATTATATTATACATTGTGTGACAAAAAGTTTGATAAATAGGCGTCATTTTAGTTATAAATGCCTTTTTAGAGCATAAGTCGATAAATTGTAATTATAATACATATTACTATAATTAATAAATATTAAGCAAATGCTGTGCTTTAGAGC